TCTTTTAAAAATTAGAAATTTTATTTCCAAAATATGACTACACATCGAAACTTAGACTAGAGACTCTATGCTTGGGTACGGGAACCCCAACGCTATTTCTAAATCCTTGGCTGCGGGATTGGGCCCATGAAACCAGGCCTGAGTCCAAAGAGGTGGGGCTCGAGAACTCGGTGCTTGTGCCCCGTTCCCCAAAGCTCGAGCTTGGGCCTAGGATAGGGGTGCCTGTGCCAGGGTCCCCGATGCTTGGGCATGGGTTCACAAAGGTTGGGCTCAAGTTCATAGAGGCTGACCCGAGACCCTAGTACCGTTTGTGGCTCCTTGACGTCTGAGCTTGGATCCGTAGAGGCCAACCTCAAGACCTAGTGCTTGTGCCCCGGATCCCCGGAGCCTAAGCTCAAGTTCGTTGGGACCGGGTCTAGGTCCACATAGATCGGGCTCAAGAACTCGGTTCTTGTGCCTTAGCTCCCTCGCACTTGAGCTCGGGTCCATTGAGGCTGGGCCTGGGTTTGTGGAGGTCGAGGGTTGGGCACAGGGCCACTGTGCCTGCGCCAGTGCCAGAGTATCCAGCGTTGGGCCCAAGTCCATCGAGGTCGGGCTCGGGACTCCAGTGCTTGTGTCCGAGTCCTTGGCGCCAAGCCTGAGTCCATCGAGGCCCATGTTAATGGAGGTCGAGCATGGAACCTTGGTGCTCGTGCTTGGGTCCCCAAAACTTGTCTAGGATCCATGGAGGCTAGGCCCATGTCTATCGAGCTCGAGCATGGAGCACTCTACGGGTCTCGGCCCTTGCCTCGATGGACCGTAGCCCATCCTCGATTGTTCCAAGCCCAGGCGCAAGGGATCAAGACACGGGCACCGGGGTTCCAAGCCCGGCCTCAATGGTGAATTGTGCATACGACTGTTCTCCTCGTGTCCACTATATTCCTTGCTGTTCTTAGCTGCAGCTCTTGCATCAAGCCTTGAGGTTGGTTCGGCCATGAGAATGACGGAGGGGTTTGCAACTAGTTCAACCACAATGGTCAGCCTTTTGCGTTGCTCGGTTGATAGACCATCCACAACAGGCAAACCGACCGAGGCCTGTCTCAGCGGATTTACCTCCACAAGCTCCATGACTTCCTCAATAAACAACTACAACATTTTTTTCCATTAGAAAAATGATTCGAATTATATTGATCCTCGATTAGACTTCATAACCAGCTAAGCAGCAAACACTTCCACAGTTTGTTTTGAGTTATGAATGCAATCCTGCTAAAAACATATTGTGGTGGTAGATGCAAATATTTCTGGTTTGGTCATCCACGCAGGGAGGCAAACGCAGCCATGTCAAAGTAAAGTAACGACTCATAGATAGAAACACGAGGTGAATAGATGTCGTTTTATTCACAGTACCCTAAAATCCGAGCAAATGTATATTGGTTCTCTGGATACCCAGAAATTGTTATGTTCCCTTTGACGTATCCTCCGGTTTTTCTCCCAGCCAACACATCCATCAGAGTAGTTTTACCAGCACCGTTAACACCCATCAGTGCTGTGAGAAAACCTGGCCTAAAAGCACCAGTTACACCTTTCAAGAGCACCGACTTATCCTCGAGAACACCTTGATTCTTCATTTCCTACCGAGATAACAACAAACACTTCGTTGTACTCTGGATAAACATCCGAGGTTTAACGCTTATGATTATACTATGATGATATATCGAGAGTATACTATCTTTAGACTTTTCATAACTTAAGATAGTTACTTGTGGCATGTCAGCGGAATAAGTTATTTCATTGAAAGTAATTGAACGCTGCTCAATTGGGAGCGTCATTCCTCTTTCCTATAGGTGGTAATGGCTGTCTCGAGCTGTGCAGGTGTAGACCTAGATGACCTCACTACAAGTCCCAAAAGAAAAGATAGGCCAAGAAGTGACCCGAGTCCTTGATGGACCAAAGTCTTCTGTTCACCCTTTTGAGGTCTTAACTACTGCTAAATGATAGACGATGAAAAGAAACTAACTATCAAGACTTTAAACTCGATCCATTTTTGTGACTAGAGCCTTGAGATTGCAACTGCATTGATCCATTTTTGCCAAAGGCTGCATCATCACATGGAGCTTGAGTGCGCAAGCTCTTGTTAACGGAAACCTCAACAAGAAGAAATACATAACGCACTTACGGTTGAGAAGAGCAAGAGCCACTGAAAACCCAAAGTTGAAGACGATGACAAACCCAAACAATGCCCCGGCTCCTATCCAAAACCAGTATACTTCAGTAAAGAACCCATGAGACTTCAAAACTTGAATTCCCAGTGGTTCGTTTGAAGTTGAATTTGGAGGGGATATATATTATAGGGAATAACACAAGAGGGATTGGTTAGTCAGGGATTCATATCTATGAAAGGTCAAAATATTGGCATTAAGCAGTCACAAAACTTTTACCTTATCCCAACTCGATCCTAAAAACTCATTAATGACTATCATGCTCTGCCCTTACATTAAAGGAGATGCTAGTAGCCCCAAATCCATTGTTTCTTCATGTCCTCTGCTATTCAAAGAAATCAGGATTAACACTTTTTTATGGGAAAAGAAGTTACGAACAAAATAAAAAAGAAAACGGTTGAACTCAAGTATCTGTAATACTAGCATCTGAAATTGGGTGGAATCTCTTGTCGACATGACCTAGGCCCGGCCAGGCCTCTCTGGACCCCGGCTTGTCCTTGATTTATCTGGGCATGGGCATCGGAATCCCAGGCTCGGTCTCCGTGGATCCTGGTCCAGGCGTTAGGGACCCAAGCACGGGCATCGAGGTCCCGAGCCAAGCCCAGGCACCGAGGACTCGGATACGGGCACTAGGGTCCTAGGCTCAGTCTTTGTGGGCCCAAGCATAGCCTCCATGAACCGAGGCTAGCCTCTATGGTCATCGCTCGACCTTAATGGTCACAGGCCCAGATGCCCGTGCCCTGCTCCTCAATGCTTGGTATCGGGTCCATCGAGATCGGGCCCGGGTCCACAAAGGTCGGGCCTGGAATTTCGGTTCCTGTGTCCAATTCCCTAGCTGCCTGTGCCTAAGTCACTCGCGTGCCGAATAATGCATGTTTATTTAGAAAAAATAAAAATAGGTTTTCATTTCCAAACAACGCAAAATAACTTCCAATTCATTTTCAGATTTAAGCTAAACACTGTATTGTCATTTTCGTGAAAAAACAAAAAAATGTCAAATTTTGAAATAGACGGAGCATCGTCTAAAATGTATTCTCCATAATCAAAGATAAGGGATTCACGACAAATACTTTTTCAAGGTACGGTTTCGAAAATTTATTCTAGTGGCTACGATTATATAGTTTCTACTATCTAAAACTGAGAGTCTCAAATTCATATCCCAAAATTTTAACGAGGAAGAAACAACACCGCAGTGTCTAGAATCAAAACAACAAAAAGGGTAAAAAACATATAAATAAAATTCCACTTTTTTTCAAGTGGCCAGTGTTAGGCTACGTGTACGCATGCCAAGCGCCAGTGCCACTCTTTCCTCTCACACCGACTGGGACCCACAAACTCGTGTCACGCACGGAGCCACCAATCACAGCCAACCACGTTTATCAATCTAATCCATGAAATAAAATCCAGCTCCCCCCCGCCAAAAAAGGAAAAAAAAAGAAAAAATATCTTTTTCTCCTCCTGCAAAATTCGCCACGTAGATCCTTCGGTCTCTCTCTCTCTCTTTCTCCCCTAGCTGACTTGTACGTCGCATCCGCCCTCGGTTTCTCGCGCCATCGATCCCCGCCGTCGATTCGTTCATGAGCGGCGATTTAATTTGTGGACGAGGTGACTCTGAGAATTCCTGCTTCGTGCGGTATTAAAGCCCCAAAAATCTCGCTCGCCGGAGAATCTCTCCTGTGTCTGTGATCTGATTCGAGTTCCGACATCTCCATCATTCGGAGCGAAATCCAGACGTGCGCTGCGAGGTATCTTCGGTGCTTCGATTGATCTTTTTGTTGTTGTTGTTGATGATGTTGTTGTAATAGTGATCTGAAGTAGTTCCTCTGGCATTGCTTCGTTGATTCTTGTCTTGTGTTCGCTCGATGAATCGGTTCGTGTCGCTTCGGTTCGCTAGCTGCGTCCCGTTCGCATTTTGCGGCTCCGAGGGGAATGGCGAACTTGTTTTTTGTCGGGTCAGTTTGTTTTTTCGATGAGGGAGAGAGTGCGTGGTCTGCTCGCCATTTTGGGAGTGTTGTTGGTTGTTCCTTTTCCAGTTATGTGGATTGGAGCTATTGTCTGTTTTTCTTGTATGGTGAAGTTGTTGAGTGTAAGAGTTATTCAATGGAATTCGATCATACAGCAACTGTTGTTTATATGAAATATTCAGGGGATTGAAACAAATGATTCTATAATGGTGGCGTAATCGGATCCCTTCCTACTATAACCAGTTGAACTTGCTCCAAGTCCAGCCATGTCCTTCCACATGTCCCGAGTTAACTTACCTTTCATTCGGACAACCCCACGTGTTTTTCACCACCATGTGTCTTTCCATGTCTGGAATTGAACTCTTCGCACTCGTTAAATTCCCACTAATGACCTTGTTTTGGCAGTTGTAATCCAAGGCTACTGATTTTCGATCTTTCTTCCATGTGCTGGACTTGTGGTTACATCAACTGAAAATGGTGACATGAAAAAGTAATGATTAATGATTCAGTGTGGATCGGGTTCATATTGCCTTTTGCCCTGTCTGCATATCGTCCCGAGACTTTTTTTGCGTGAAATGAGTGCAAGTGATTGACAGAATTTCATGTGATTCTTTTTGGGGCCAAAATGCTTTCACATGTCTAGTTCCACATGTTTTTATGTGCCTTTACTATACATAGTTGCCGCGGCATGCCTTTCTCTTTGGACAAGTGTGGACGCTGTATAAAGTTTGCTGCAAATCAGGAATTAAAATCTCATTATATGTGTTCAACTGGAGCAGAGTTTTTTGCACTGAGAAAGCTTCCGTTTATCACATTATATACTCTCCGACAACTTGGTATGGGAGTTGTGACTATCTCAAGCTCAGCTTCTCGCACACCGCTGGGATTTAATTCGAAGATTACAACTAGCAGATCTGCATCAAAAAGACCCTTGATCATAGAATTCAGATCGGATAAGAACAATAGCGCAGCTTTGCTGACGCACCATGAACAGACATACTATCCTGTAGAAACCACTAAGGAGCAACAGAAGAAACGGAAAAATGCAAGAAAACCATCGAGAAAGGCTGTTTGTACAGATGAAGTTTCCCCGTGTACCTTGGAAGTTGATTATAATGATGCTGCGGCCAAACTTGAGAATATATACAAGCTGGCACCTGCGGCAGAAACCTGTTATGGCAAAGATGTTGATCATGGTGTGAGGAGACGTAGACGGGGGACGAAGAAGACTAAGGATGTTGATAAGGGTGAAGAAATTAAAACTAGTAAAAGAGTGGTCCGTACCTGGAATAAAAATGCAAAACGTTTGAGCCTAGATGGAAGGATTGCACTAAAAAGGAGAAAGGAAGAACAAGCGACCTTTTCAGTTCAGAGGAAAAAAGTTGTTCTGGATGAAGAAGAGAAGATTGAGAAGCTTGTTAGGGAATATTCATCTTCAACTGATTTGGTTAGCTTGGACTGGAAGAAGATGAAGATTCCTCCTGTTCTTCCTTCTTCAGAACATGCCTGGTTATTCAAGTTGATGCAACCAATGAAGGTGAGACTTTTTCACTCTTAGCAGTCAAACTGATGACAAAAGAACATAAAAGCTTCCTGGTCCATGTCATGGGCGAGATTGATTTTGATTTAGTTGTCCCTTTAATGGATTGAAATTGGATAGTTTTGTCATACTAATCTGTGTCAACTCAATTTTAGGCTCTTCTTCAAGTGAAGGAAAACTTACGAAACGATTTGGAAAGGGAACCGATAGAAGGTGAATTGGCTGATGCAACAAATACAAGCGTAGCTCAATTAAGAAGACAGTTGGAGGTCGGCCATGCTGCCAGAAACAAGCTTATTAAGGTACAACCTACTCCTTTCTTGTTTAGATCTTAACTATCCCCTGAAATTTGGATGCTACTGATAAGAATTTTTATAGACTGGTCACGATGCTTTGATGTGTGTGAAAATATTAGAATTTTAGGCAGGAATTAACTATTGACATTTCAATGTGTATTGAGCTATTTTTGTCGCTAAATGTGATCCTCCACCATGGATACACTCGATAATCTTAGAGTTTTTGGTTTTTGTGTCCAAGGCTTGTTGGCCGTGGATCTTATGCTTAAGATTCAACTGACTTATGGAGATCTGCTTATTGTGAATGGAAAAGAAAGAAAATGAGAAAACCTAACTTTTTGGCATGGTGGAATGCATAAATTAGTGAACTAGAAACTTTTTAAGAATCCTATTTATGTCTGACTTACCTCCTGAGGAGCTCCAATAATGAACAACCTTGTCTAATTCGGTTCAGCCATCCAAGGATGTTGTTCTTTTCTTCTGTTGCTATCGTGGTCCCATTCCGTCATATTTATTTCTTGCTCATCATTCCCTTGGAGTCTCGCTGGTCAAAAGACGGTCCCAATGTCCTTCTTTCTAATGGTTTGCTGCACCTGTAGTAGCTGAAATGTCTTTAGATTTACTTTGGTCTCTGCAGTTTTAAGTATGAACGATTTGCCAATCTATTATATTGACTTCTTACATTTATTGCAGCATAATCTTCGGCTTGTCCTGTTTGTTATGAATAAGTATTTTCAAGACTTTGCAAATGGTCCAAAGTTTCAAGATCTTTGCCAAGCTGGGGTGAAAGGACTTATCACAGCGATTGACCGTTTTGAACCGAAAAGGAAATTCCGGCTGTCTACTTACGGCGTCTTCTGGATCAGGCATGCCATTATACGTTCAATGACCGTTTCCAGCTTCACACGTGTGTCATTTGGCCTTGAGTCGGTAAGTTTCTTTTCCTTGACCGGTAACAGTTACTCGTGTTCCATGAGCATGTATGCATCCTGGCTGTCCTCACCCTCTAGAGATATAAGATTCAGGCAATTTAATGTTAGAGACCTATCGTGCATCATGAACACTGCCTCAGTTGTTACCATGGAAGACTAAAATATGTTGACAAACTTTGCTTTTGGAGCATATCAAGTGATTGAACTTGCTGTGACTGCAAAAAGTGCTTGTTTTTCAGTTTTTGAACTGCAAAAGCGAAGTCTCATATTGCCTTTTAAGAGGGAGGCTCATTAATGGCTCTGACCAATTGTCTGTTGGTTTGAGAGAAAAGATACTTTTTTGGAACTAGTGGAATTAACACCTAAAGTTTGCCAATCTGAAATGATTGAAATGTTTGATGAGATTAATAATTTTGCAGGTCAGAGTTGAAATCCAAAGGGCAAAACTTGAGTTGATGTTTCAATTACAGAGATTGCCAACAGAGGAAGAGATAATCAATAAAGTTGGTATCTCACCTGAGAGGTACCACGAAGTTATGAGGGCCTCACGGCCTGTTATCTCTCTTCATTCTAGGCACTCGGTCACGCAAGAAGAGTTTATCAGTGGAATTACTGATGTTGATGGAGTTGGTGGAGACAATAGGAGGCAACCGGCTCTTCTCAGGCTTGCTCTTGATGATGTGGTAATCAAAGAAAGCTTGCATAACACTTTTTATTTTTTTTTAATTAATCTGGAAGTGTATGGCATGATAAGATTTCCGCTTTTGTTTGGATATGATAGTACTCTGGTATGACATTGGAGATTGACTGCAGAGAAATTACATATACCACCAGATTTCCATACCACTTGATTAGATTCGTGAGATGTTAAATTCATTTGGCTATACTAACAAAACAAGCAACTCGAACTAATGGTAAATGATATAGAATCATCGATAGTAGGATGAACAATGTAGCTATTTATAGCCACATCTGACAATGCATACAAGATGGCGCTGAAAGAATTTCTGCTTGTTGGTCCTCATTTGAGTTGGTTTTGACTGCGTATTTTCTTGTTCCAGCTCGACTCCTTGAAGCCCAAGGAAAGTCTAGTCGTCAGACAGAGGTATGGGCTCGATGGTAAAGGTGACCGAACATTGGGAGAGATCGCTGGGAACTTGAACATATCCAGAGAGATGGTCCGGAAGCATGAAGTCAAGGCTCTCATGAAGCTCAAGCATCCTGCTCGAGTAGATTATCTTCGCCGTTACATAGTTTGAACCTGTCCACTGTACATATCCTCACTTTCCTATATCTTCCCCCCGCCGCTTCCGATCTATCATAGCCTGAACAACTGTTTGCATACTTATTCTGCACCATACCCTGTTGGCTATATACATGCCAATACACATCTTATACCACTTTACTCCTATGCGGAGGTGTATCATATTGCAGAGCAGACAAGAAATAACGTACTTCTCTCCCCTGTAAAGGTTGTATTTCTATACCAAACAACACAATTTTCATGACAAGAATCGGTGTGAAAAGGTTGTTGTGTTCTTTTAGAATGTGCTTCTGTTTTAACCAGAAAATCTTTATTACCAGCTTCAATTGTTGTCTGAGATGGAGAGGAAAACAACGAAGCTAAGAAAGAAGGGACCGGGTGCTTCAACTGATTCCTTTGTTCATACATGTTTTTAGTATGAACGACGAAAAAATATCGACTCCACTACTGGACCATTATATTGACTTTACTACTTTTAAGAAATTCCTGCCGACCAAGCTGTTGGCAACAAAACTCTTAACATTTTCTTGCATCGACGAAGACCAAATCGCAACACAATTACGCTAAAAGACTACGGAGGCTTTTTAGTCACGTTTAGTCAAGCGATGGTGTTGGGAGTGCGCAATAAAAGTCTGACACTTTTCGTTTGGAAAAATATCGCCAAGAGAAAACCCAAGTCCAAGTCCATCAATATATCTAGTTGGATTCACTTTCAGTCAAAAGCTTAAGCTTATGAGGTATAAGTTAACTTAGATATATTAACTGCTCTTTACTATAAATCATGCTGAGAAGGAACTTCCCCCTTGAACCCGGCCCAAAACGTTCCCCCCAAAGCCCGGCCCAAAATCGTTCCTCCAGAAGCCCGGCCCAAAGCTAAAACCCTGTGGGTTAACGAATCGTAATGGCGGAGACCGACCGATGAACGGATGAGCAGTGCGCGAATGTCCCCCTCTTTTCGCTTTGGAGTCACTTCCATGTCGCTCTCTAGTCTCGCTTTCTTCCTCATCTCCTTCTTCCTCCTCCTCCATTTTTCAAGCTTCTGATCGGCGATGGAGATTGCCGTTCACCGCTTCTCGTGAAGGTTGTCGCGGAAACTCGGAGCTTCAAGGAGCTCGCGTCGCTTCGAGCCTCATTTCCATCTCCCGATTCCACCCATTGCATTGCTCTTTCGGTGCCTGAGCGCTACAACTACCTCAGGTATCTCTCTCTCTCTCTCTCTCTCCCTCGCTCTCTTCCAGCAGTCGTTTGTCCTGGTTCAATGCGTTTCGTTTCGCCGGCTGGTTGCGGTTGTCTCCGTCGATGCGGCGCGCTAGAGCGCCGTCGTTGAGGTCCTTCGATTCTCGATTCTCTTCATACGTGTGCTGTGGCGTTCTCTCTCGACGCCGCTCGGCGCATCTCTCCGTCGCCGGTTTTGCGCTCTGCTTTTGCGAAGAGTGGACGCGCAGCGGTTGCTTGGATGGAGGACAGATTTGGAGGCATGAGCGGTCGCCTGAGCTAAGATACATTAGTTTTTTTTTTTTTTTTAATGTAGGTTCTTAGTTCGAACTGGATTGATTCATCTTAACGAGAAGCTCTGCGGAGATGGAAATGGGGCTTACTCCCGGGTTAGATTGTTGGAACGGCGATCGTTCTTAGGGAACGAGTGCAAATTTGCTGTTCAGTTTAAGCTCCCTCTTGTTTTTGTCAAATTGTTTCTTTTTGTCTGCTTCTGACTCTGAGTATAAGACATGAAAGGTCATTGGAATTAAAGCTGGTTGCTTATCTCCTGTAATGCTCGATTATGGAGAAGACTGTCTTTCGTAACTTCTGGCAAATTGTATGAGCTGATAACTTCACTGACGAGCTTATCCTTGCTCTGTCATTAATTGTCTGCTATCCGTGCACAGGAATTTGCTGAAAATCTGTATCTAAACAAGTTCAGCTTCAGCCTCTGTCTATTGAATTTGGGAGGAAACTTCCTGGCCACCTTAACATATCCAGGCATCCTTGTACCCATTTGGACATGTCGACCTGTATATCGACAAACCTTGCACCATCGGTTGGTGGGAATCGTAAGGGAGTGCTAAATTTAATAGGAGGCAGAGTGTTGGTGGAGAATCGGTGGTTTAAAGTGAAGCCCGAGAAGATGATTGGAACAAAGAATAATTTTCAGGGTGCAAACATGAAGTCTGTTCTGCCTCAGATTATGTGTTCGACCAACTCTCACAGTGTTAGCCCATATCTGAGTAAAGATCCCTTTCTGAATTCACACCCTGAAGTTGCCATGCTTAGAGGGGATAAAGGCGAGCGAAATAACACAGCAAACAAACAGAATGATGGTTTGGGGGGAAATGTGGTGGAAAGCTTAAGAGACACGTCTAACCAAAGTAATTACAGTGAAGCTAAGATAAAGGTTATAGGAGTTGGAGGTGGTGGGTCTAATGCAGTGAATCGCATGATAGAAAGTGCTATGAAGGGCGTTGAGTTTTGGATCGTTAACACAGATATCCAAGCCATGAGAATGTCTCCTGTGTTTCCTGAGAATCGTTTGCAAATTGGTTCTGAGCTCACTAGAGGTCTTGGAGCAGGGGGGAACCCTGAAATTGGCATGAATGCTGCCAAAGAAAGCAAAGAAGCAATAGAAGAGGCACTTTATGGCTCAGATATGGTCTTTGTCACGGTAGGTTGTACATTACATGGTAATCTATCTTTCAGCTTGCAGTCGCAGTTCCAGTCTACTATTGATAGTATATGCAGAGTGTTTTCACATTGTCGTTTAAATTTTCTCCCCTGCTGTTTTTTTTCTGTCAAGGACTTATAAAGTGGTTGTAAATGTTGCATCCTGATTCATAAATGGTGATGAACTTAAAATATGGTTCTACTAATTGTCATTTCCATTCGTTGAAGAGCCATCTCCCTTGATGTGTCTAGGACCAAGGTCTTTGATAAGCCAATATTATGGTTACTAATCATCGCTTGAATCATAATTTTGTGGTGGAACTACCTTGACCTTAGTTCTAAATAATTACTTTACAGATATGGTTGATCTGGATGGCAATGCACATAGAGAGTGATAATATGGATGGACTAATGTGGTACTTAGCATAGTTGATGTCCTGTTGAACCTTTTGCTTGTTCATCATCATTGAGGATTGATTTATCCTCCATTATACCGTTCATGGTGATTAAGAACAGTGTCGCAACAACGATTTCCACTTCAAATATGTATCATGAGTCGAGGGCCCAAATTGTAAGCTAGATGTTCATTTGATTTCCTTGTTCCTTAATTATTGTGTGCAGGCTGGAATGGGAGGAGGAACTGGCACAGGTGGTGCTCCTATAATTGCAGGAGTAGCAAAATCAATGGGTATATTGACCGTTGGTATTGTAACAACCCCATTTTCTTTTGAAGGACGAAAACGAACTGTTCAAGCCCAGGAAGGAATAGCATCTCTGAGAGACAATGTGGACACTTTGATTGTTATTCCAAATGACAAGTTATTGACTGCAGTTTCGCCATCGACCCCGGTGACGGAAGCATTTAATCTGGCTGATGACATTCTTAGGCAAGGCGTTCGGGGAATCTCTGACATAATCACGGTATAGACTACTACCACCTCTTTTGAGGACTTTAATTATGTCTTCTTTTGTAAAGCATTGGACAAATGGAAATTTCAAAAGAAATACATAGAGTTTGGGATCATAGGTTGAGTTACAGCCATTGCATGATGACTTGCTTGTTGGAAGCTCTTTGATACATAGGGCGGAAGTCCTTCTTTCAAGACTCAGTATGACTTAGATGAGGCATGCTAGCAAGACAAAAAGAGGAGAGATGCCAAGGGTTGTCAATGCTTCATGATGTGCTTGATATTTCAAGCCTCATTTTTCTTCAAAAGACATACTGAATATGAACCCTTCTATACAGATCTCCTCCCAAACAAATATTAAGGAGTCAGATGAATGAGTCATCTTTTGATTTTGGGCCCTGTTAGTGAGAAGTTTGAGGTCCTTCCATAATAAAAGCTTGAGGCAAGAATACTTTGTTTAGTACTTTGGGCTCTGATACAACTTATTAGTGATATAAGAAGAAAATTGTATAAGACAATCAAGATACACACATGCCAAATTATGTCAAATCATATGGAACATTCTTTGTCTTGCAATTGCTGTACACATTTCATATCTACTGTATAAGACTACATTTACATCACTCACTCTCACCACAGGAAAATACATAGAGCAATGTGCTCTTGCTGATTGACCCTCTCTACTCTTTATTTTCTCGGACACTCTCTTAAACATTTCTGATTCAAAGCTCTCTGTAGCTCAGTTCAAAGATCATACAAAGGTTGGTAACCATAGATTGCTTCTCTGACCCTGGTGCACAAGAAGCAGCACAAAGATAATGTTATAGCCGCTAACGCGAAGCATTTACAATTTTACAATTTTCTTCTCTTAACAGGAAAATCTTGTGTGGCTAGAAAATAAACTTAATTCCCTTTTCATCAAGGTTGTAAATGCACGTCTGCATTCTCTAGCTAAGTGAAGCATTGCTTTGTAGGTGTTGACTTTGATCATCCTAAACGTACAATCACCAAGACTTCGTTTGCCCTCCATTGTGATTTGGTTGATATCAAAAGTTCTTTTTTGCAATAGAACCTTTTGCATCATACATTTCAGATGATGAACTAATGTTTCTATTCGTTGAAATTATCACTCTTAAGGATCAGCGTAGTTGTTTTACTCTATATGATGCTGAGTCATCTTACATGCAGATACCAGGACTGGTCAATGTTGATTTTGCTGATGTGCGGGCTATAATGGCTAATGCAGGATCTTCACTGATGGGGATAGGGACTGCAACAGGTAATATTCAACTTAGCTATCTAAAAGTTTTTGACTTCTTCTTTCAGAGATTGTTCTCAAGAAGGATAGTAAAGGTTCTCACAACTAGGGTGACACAAAAAGCTAAAAGTCGACCATATTACTTTCATACGCAAGTCAGATACCCTTGCTTATGAAGTGTAAGCTTCAGTTGACCATAGAATATGAACTCTGCATCAAGCACTAGTGAAGCAATATATCTGCCCGTGTTGTGAAGCCATATATAAATATTAAATGGATGACGTATTGTACAATAAAATCTGGGAATTAATTGCTAAGAAAGAAAAATGCTGACTTTTTAATGCAATGTGGTTCAAACCGGTGGCTGGTTTTGCTGATTGCCAAGAATCAATATGAGGATCATAAGATATGCTGAGCATAATTCCAGACGAATCCATGTTATGCCAGATGTATCTTATTGTAAGTGTAGAAGTAGAACTGTACTTAGTTGTGAAACCTGGGGGTCTTTGAATTTAAATTGACACTTAGGCTGATGAGGCCACCTATCACTTTAATTCTAATATGCTTTGCATGCAAACCACACATGATAGTCTCTTCTTCAAATTTATATTGCACAAAACAGTATTTAGCTAAGATAGTTGGCTGCACTTAGTATTTTTTTTGGGTTTAAGGAATTTCCTCACGTGCGCGAGAGCTCCACATGGACTCTCTTACCATTTGAGGAAAATTTTATACAATATTGGAACTTGTCATATAGAAATGAAAATGAAAAAAATGATTCTCTTTTCGTGGGCCTCATTAAATAAAGCCACTTCTACTTTCTCTTTTAACTCATTAATATTATTGGGTGTCATTTTCTTTTTTTTTTGTCAGGGAAGACAAGAGCAAGAGATGCTGCATTAAACGCCATCCAATCTCCATTACTTGATATTGGTATTGAGAGGGCTACCGGAATAGTTTGGAACATAACTGGTGGAAGCGACCTGACCTTGTTTGAGGTATTCTCCTACCCTCCCAGTTTGAGGCATTCCCCCTTACTCCCCAAGTCTGCGGAAACTTAAATAGATGAATCACATTATCTGGCAATTTGTTATTGTTTACTTTCAATTTTGTGTTGTGAGAAAAGCTTATCTGATAAATGCAATGTTTTTCGGACCCCAAGATGATTCATTTATTTTTCTGCTGCTAATTAAACCTTTCAATAGTTGTTATAAATGAGACAGACTTCTGCTAGATTTCTTTACTAGCACGGACAATATGCTTGATAACAAGATGCTTCTACTTTCATTTTGGAAGGCACAGTGCAAATCATGACAGGTAGCAGCATAAAGAAATTATAACATGAAGTCAACTGTCCTGTCTGGGCTGTATGCATCACGAATGAAGAATTAGCTGCAGTTTAGGCTTTTGATTCTTGGGTCTATCCAACTGATGAAGGTTGGGTGCATACAAGTCTCTAGCTCAGTAATACTTTGGTTCCAATGGACCTTTTAGTATATCATTTCCTAAATGACCCAGTCTCTCATTCTTTTCTTTTGTTGCATGACAAATTGGAAAGTTGGGCCCTCATTGAGTAACAATTTGGTCACTTGATCTTTTCTGGACGCTGTAGAATACTCGCATACTAAATTCCTGATCTTGACATTCCCTTGTCCTGTTGCTTATGGGGGCTATGATGCAGGTAAATGCTGCTGCAGAGGTCATATATGACCTAGTGGATCCAACTGCCAATCTGATATTTGGAGCAGTGATTGATCCATCACTATCTGGCCAGGTAAGGGCGTTTCAGGGACTATTTTGTTGAGCACTAATAGAGGCATTATTACAAAGATATGATTACAGAAAAGCGAATTTATGGTAAACAATCAATTTAGGCACAATAGTGGCCATGTATAAATGATGCACTTATTTTGTTCTTTGGAGTGCCATCCAAATATATCCTTATCACTGGAACTGCTAAAGCCTTCATGTATGTCATTAATAAGATCACAAAGAGGTTCATCCTTTCCCCATTTTTCTTGCAACTTATGCTTTTGCAGCCTGAATGTATTCCACAGAAGCAAACTATGATTGGTCATTCTGGCTTGCAATCAGATGTCAATAAAGAGAAGAATACTTTCTGATTGGACATTTGTCTTGTTTTGCATCAGGTCAGCATTACCTTAATTGCAACTGGATTCAAACGCCAAGAAGAAAGCGAAGGAAGGTCACTTCAGGTTTCTACCTTCCCCCCCCCGACCATCTAATCCCTGAAGATTTTGCTCCTTTATCTTCTTGTATCTCCATTTGTGTGCTTGTTTGTTACATCTGTTTGCTTTGGTACCGAAGCTGAATCATTTCTTTGAAAATATAGTCAGGCCAGATACAAGGAGATGGATTAAATAGGCGACCCTCTTCATATGGTGAAGGCACTTCAGTGGAGATCCCCGAGTTCCTGAAGAAGAAGGGGCGTTCACGCTTTCCAAGAGCTTGAATATCTTATTTGGATGTGTTTATATTACCATAAAAGAGTTGCCTCCCGTGAGATTTCCGCTTCTTACCTTTCACGAGAGGTCTAAGTTTTGTAAATCATGTATAGTTCTTACGCAACTTCAGGTTTTGTTTGAAACGTAGCCAAATGCAAATGCGTTGGTAGTGTTTCCTTTCTACAGGTATTAGAGTTGCTTTATGTTGTATCTGGACGGCCATCGGATGATGGTCTGGTGCAGCTTTTGGCTGTCACATGTTCGAGCTGCATCCACACGTTTAAAAGTCTTAGGATTTCCTACAGTTTGTTAGCTTCATCTACTTAGCAGTATATTCGCCCAAACGTCAGTTTATCTTATTTCTTTGGATGAAAGAGATATAAACTTTTTAGTACTTTGGTGACATCGTAGAGATGGTCATCTGTCGTTGTGGGCTATTGGCATGTGATAAATGTCGTGGTGACAAATTCTTAAACTCTTTCTATTCAGTGCTCTCATGATCTAAGTGTCAAGATTTGGTTTTCCGTGCCCCTGGCGCTTCATTGCCTGCTTGCTCGCTGGGACTTTGGTTTTTGTGCGACTGATTTGTTACGTTGTTGATCTTCCCCACCATGTTGGGCTATTGCTTTTCATCAATCTGCTTGTTCTTTTTTTGGGTTCAATCGATGCAGTCAACTTTAGGTTTCTCCTTTATTTTTTTGGGTTACGTCTACAGCTCAATCTCTCGGTTTGCTGCAATTTGATAGTTTTGTTTAGGAATGTGCCTACCTCTCGTGGGCTGGGAATTAGCTGTGGTTCACGGGAGGATTCTAGTGGTCTGACCTCGGGATTGTTTCGCCGCGTTAGAAGTTTATGTTGGATGACTGTGTGCACGTGGACAATATCTTGTGAGTTTTCAGGCTTCAGCTACACATATTGCATGTGCCATTTCGAGTGTAATGATCATCATGGGTTGTAGAGGTATTCCATATTGAATGAGGGTAGTAGTTGTGGTCATGGAGTCCATAAGCTATATGGGGATACAACAATAAAATGGGTTAATGCATCGATGGTTTTCCGTGTTTTCCTCACTTTCACTTCTCAGCATTTACATGGCCAGACTTCAAAATCCATAATGAAGTTGATGGTGGCTCTCCTCTTTTTGGCCCGTCCCTTCACCTGCTTTGATACAACTGGGTGGAGTTTATTTTCTCACTTTCCTAAAGCCTGTGGAGCACCTTGACTCACTAGATGCTTGGTTTTCTCATGCTGTATTTCCACAGAAACATAAGCCAAAATTCTTGGTGGATAAGTTTCTGTTGTCTTCCCTTAAAACCAATTGGCAGTGAAAATTAAGACGTGCTAACACCTCCAATCCAGCCAATTGAAGGCAAAAGATACAACTAGGGGTGAGCATACTCCGGGAGGGCGGTTCCCAACATGAAATCGGAAACCGCCCACTAAGGACCAGTTTTGAGAAATTGAAACCAGGAACCGCTCGTTGGTGGTCCAGTTCCCAGGTGGGTCGGTGGAACTGGTCTCATCAAGTTTCACGCAAATGGAGATGACCGAAAGTGAGAGAGGGAGGCGATGAACAGCTAGAGGCGCGGTCGTGAGTTGATGGGAGTTGAGAGTCGAGTTTCAAATTAGGGATTTTACGGTTTTCATTTTTCTAAAAATGTTTTCTTTTTTTCTTTGGTTGAAATTTTTCTTAAAAATTATAGATATATGTATATAGGGTTAATACCACGAAAAATCTCAAATTGGTACACCTGTGACAAATTTGCCCCCAACTATTTTTTTGACCACAAAAAGCTATACATTGGTATACTTATGACAATTTTACTCCGAACTATTTTTTTAACCACCAAAAACCTCAAACTGGTATACCTGCGATAATTTTACCCTGAATTAGTTTTTTGACCACCAAAAACGCCAAACTGGTACACCTGTGACAAATTTACCCTTTGTTAATTTCCGTTAAATTTTACTGTCAAATTGCTAAGTTTGATGACACGTGGTAATTGGCAAGTGTAATAGTTTGGGATTTTACCTCTCTGTTTGTCACAAGTTTACCAATTTGTGATTTTTCGTGATATTAATCCAATTTAACGGACACTAACGGAGGGTAAATTTGTCACAAATGTACCAGTTTAGGGTTTTTGATGGTCAAAAAAATAGTTCGGGGTAAAATTGTCACAAGTGTACCAGTTTGAGGTTTTTGGTGATCAAAAAAATAGTTCGGGGTAAAATTGCCACAAGTGTATCTGTGTGGGGTTTTTTGTGGTAAAAAAAATAGTTCGGGGTAAATTTATTACAGGTGTGCCAGTTTGAAGTTTTTGATGGTCAAAAAATTGATTCGAGGTAAAATTATCACAGGTGTATCAGTTTGGGGTTTTTCGTGATATTAACCCATGTATATATGTTTTACTAGTTCGGTCCGGGTGGGCGGGTGGGTGATTCCACGCCTAGAACCGGGAACCGGACCGGTACAACGGGAAAGGCCTTGCTAGTAACTTGTATAAATTGCCCCTTAAAAGTTTCACCAGAGGTGCCGATTTGAGGGACGAAATCAGTCTGATTCAAGAGGTACAAGGGGCTAAATTGCACGAAATCAGAATTTAAAGTGGTCAATGTAGGACTATCTTTCACATTTTCCCCTAGACTAAGATTTTTTCACGGACAAGGGGATGAAAATATAACATCGGCACTCGGCGGTGGCGGCTACAAGAACTGACTGGGACTACGAATTCCCCTCTCGTTTCGTGTCGCGGCTCTTCCGACGAGCAAGCCAGAAGCAAATAAACAAGACAGCCTCGAGAGCTCGAGTTCGATACTGTACCTCGTAACCCGAAAGGAGGAAATCCAAACCCACGGAGAGAGGGCAAAAAGCTTCCGTCTTTCCAGTTTCAAAATCAACAAATCTCAAGAGTAAGGATGAGCAGCCTCCGCGCCAGCTCGATTTCCGATCCCAGCTCGCTCCGTCTCGGCTTCTGCTCCTCGATCAGCTCGCGCAGCGACTGCTGTTGTGCCCCGACGGTACCCATTTCGAGTACGTGTGGTCTCCAGCCGCGCCGAGATTGCCAAGCGTTTCTGGGTCATTTGCATTCTTCAAGTCCGTCCTTTGATCTTCTTTTGCCTTTTGGTTTTGCTTTCGCGCGCAGGATCCTCGGCGCGAATGCCCGTACGTTGTGCCGTTCGATTCCGTCCTTGCATCGATATACACAAGGTGCTCCCTTTTTGCGAGGGCCTTATAATGGTTTTGAGTTTCGATGGAGTAGCTTCCTTTGGTTGTTTGTTATTGGTGCACTTCATGTATGTTCTCAGTATCTGTTCTTCTGAAGGGGCACAAAAAGAAAAAAAAACATTTTGCTATTAAAGTCTCTATCTTTATGAGCTTTCAAGGAGTCATGCTTAGTAGGCGTACGAATAACTGCTTCCAAAATCTGTTTAGGAAGTGATGCGTCGACATTTGAATGGGTATTGGTGGGTCTGGCGTTGCTCTTCAGATATGGTGAATTCCCAGCTGGAGACTGACTTGGTTGTCCCTGAAATGCATCTTTTTTTCTGCATAAGGATGTCGTGGTTACTGGAAGTAATTTTTTTTTCTTTTGGATTTTGATGATTTTAAGAGTCAATAACGGCTTATTTGTTTCTTCTTATTCGCATTGACTTAGCTCATTGGTCGATTGTTCCATCCACAATTTTGTATCTTTGGCTGCTCCATATATTGCATTTATGTCAAGAGTTTCCATGAGAATAAGTTCCACTTGTTTCTTTGGGATTGCCTCAGATGTCAATTTTGCTTAAATCGTTATTTGACCTGTTGTGTTGCCCGTTGTTTTTCATTGGGTTAAGAAGGCCCGTGCTATGGTTAAATGGAGGATGTTGCTTGTTCCTTTCAATTAGATGTATCATTTGTAGCGTGGTCTTCCATGGAACGCAACCTGCAGCTTCACTTGGTCACTGTATCAGCCGTTTGATCAAATTCAATGTATTATTTTCAGGGTAAAGTGAAACAAATTGTAGGGTCGACCCTTTGTGATTTGAAGGATGATGAATCTGCTCCTGTGACCAATTTTGAATCAGACACGTCATCAGCAGAGTATGCAAAATTATACCGAGAAGATGGGCTGATAGGTGGTCACGTAATCGTGCTTGGAGCAGATCCTCTGAGCAAAGCTGCAGCAATTGAAGCTTTGCATGCATATCCTGGTAGGTTGAGTTTTCTTGTCATTAATTATACACACTTGCACAATTGCTTATAATTCTAAATGAAAATCAGGGGTTATGGAAGAATGTTTTCTGACATCTGCAAGGCTTGGGAAAAGTATATTGTTCCATGCTATTTCTGAGAATGTTTCTCTTCATTAATCATGGTTTGGTGGTTAAAGCCTGTGGCCACATTCCTTCTTATCTTATGGTGGATACTATCACCTGAAACTTACAGATGTTTCTTCTACTGAACTTACGGTGAGGACTTCCTATGCTAGGCGGTCTGCAAGTAGGAGGTGGAATCAATTCAGAAAATTGTCTGAGTTTCATAGGAGAAGGGGCAAGCCATGTCATTGTAACATCGGTATGTCATTTTTACTTTAGTATTTCCTGTTCTCTTTTGCGGAAAAAAATGCTCAGCATTTTTCATTTCACAGTCCTTTTCTTGTTCTTATTTCCTTTCACCGTATTGCTAGGTATTTAGTGAAAGCAGGGGATAAACAGAGCAGTAATTACGAGCTTTTTGAAAGGATAATTAGTTTCCAGATCTCACATGAACATGTTGATTCAAACTGTAGCTTTTTGATGGTATCATTCCCATGCTTGTTTACACTCACAAACTCGCAGCATAAAAAAGTTTTCAAATTTCTGATAGATGGGAATGAAATTGAACATTATATCTGTCATACTTCTTCCTGTTATCAAAACTGTACTAGTGAGTGCAATTGAGCTCTTTTCTTTTGACATTCTTGTTACAGTATGTGTTCAATAATGGACGAATGGACCTTGAAAGGCTTAAGGATCTTGTGCATGTGGTGGGAAAAGGTCGTCTGGTGTTGGATCTCAGCTGCAGGAAGAAGGTTTGATATAGTTTATTTTCATAAATGTTGTCTAACAGTTGGCATATCTTCTTTGGAGGAACTTCTGATTTCTTAAACTTTCTGAAAGTTAATGCCATGTGCTGAGATATAGGTGAATTTTACTTTGGTGTCAAACTAGCTGAACAAAGTTTTCATCAAGGCCAATGTTTCTTTTGTTTTTTTTTTCTTTTTAGTTTCATTAAGTTCCATAATTTACGTTATCTTCGCTGCTGGTTTATGTCCAGGAGGGTAAATATGCAATTGTCACTGACAGATGGCAGAAATTTACTGACGTGTATCTGGATGAGAAGATATTAAAGTTTCTCGCCAGCTATGCTGATGAGTTCTTGGTCCATGGTGTCGACGTGGAAGGAAAGAAGTACGTACCTATGATTCCTTCTCCACCTATTAAAAGGGAAAAGCCTTCTCTGCTTTATAACTGCACCTCTATTAATGCCTTGGTCTTGTTATTGTTTACTGCTATTAACCTATTATATGTGACAGTTTTAAGAGATAGCAATAGTTACTAGATGTCACTGTTTTATGTCACTAATTATTCTTACTGCTGGAAGACTAATTGGAGGAAGAAGAATTTTGGTTTTCTGTGCTTGATGCCGAGCCTTTGTTTTTTGACCCCATTATAAGAATTTGTCAATCTGGTAAAAAGCATTTTATTTCAATACACATGATATTTAACAAAAGATAAACATGATTTTGTCCAAATAAATATTTTTATTATTTTTCTTCACACTGACCTAGAAGCAATCAATTTTTTCCTTGGTGGTGTTCCGGACTTCATGTGTACATTCTTTTTAAGTTGTAAAGCACTTGTAGAGTGGTACTGTCAAGACATTCCTCTCACATGCTAGTCGGTCTCTTTTTCGTTCACCATTTATGTTAAAAAAGAACATCTACTTAACCAACAACACATTTTGATTTTCTCTTTGACAAATTAAAGAAAACAAGTTCCTGGTTGTTCTAACGGTTTTCCCCTACATTTGTCTTCAATCTGCCACAAAATTCAGATTTTGGTTGTCATGACTCGTAGCTTCTTAATGTGGATATCCTTTAGTTCATTTTTCACCCTAATATAAAAAGCCCATTTCTCTTTAAGTAACATTAAACAAGTCCAGAAGCCATCTCTTACCAATCTTTTAAGTGAATGGATGCTCTCTACTCTCGCAAGGGCATAGACATGTCCTTTGCAATAGTATTTTTGATTGTACTAATAAAATAGTCACGTGATTTGTCCCTAGAATGTGGAATTTTATCACGAATTTTCAACTAGTAACGGTTAGGCAGTGAGTCAATGCTGTCCATGACAATAGTCCCCTTGTGCTTTGCAACTTCGACTTTCACTACATTTTAAATGTACTGATCTCCATGTATCTAACCTTAAATTCTTGTTTACTACAGACTAGGAATTGATGAAGAGCTTGTGGCTTTGCTTGGCAAGTACTCTCTGGTAAGTAATACGTCAATTTCCACTTGGCGAGTTCTTTGCTGGTGTCTATATCCTTTAGTTATCATTTGGTTGATAATGTTTCCTTCCAGACTCGTGTTAGAAATTCATTCAATTTGCCATAAAGATTAACATTTTGCATGTATAATGCATAGATAGACCAAGACCTGAAGTTTCATGAGTCTTATGATGGTGATCCTCACCTAAACCTCAGTGGATTTTAAGATGTGGCAAGTCATGTGATGGCCTTTTTCTTTTTTAGAACATCCTACTGCATTTTTGAGATTGTGGAAATGCTATTCTTTTTTCACTTTGTTAGCAAGACGTGTGTGTTTTCATTTCATTGCCAAAAAGAATTCTTTTCACTTTGCTGTTTATCTGTTGGTTGCTGGGCATCAAGTATGGCATGTTCTGCATGCAAACATTGACATTAGCCTGTTTTGGATGTCAGATTCCGGTGACCTACGCAGGCGGTGTCACAGTAATGGAAGATCTGGAGAGGATAAAAGTGGCCGGCATGGGCCGTGTGGATGTGACGGTAGGAAGTGCTTTGGATATTTTCGGGGGTAACTTGGCATACAAAGACGTCGTGACGTGGCATGCTCAGCAGCAGGCTTTGCCCGTTTAATCATCTCTTAACATTATCTTGTGATTCTTTGTATCGATTCGGCTGGTGGCCATGATCAGTGACTACCATATTGGGTTCTCTCTCACTTAGTCAGAAGGCCGTTTATAACGCTAAAGATCATGTAGACAGTGAAGCTGTGGACCGGATTGAGAATGAAGTGTGTGACCGAGGCCTTAGTTTGGATTGAGTTTGATTTCTTCTTCTATCTTCTTTCTGTTCACGATTTATCAGCATGGATTCATGAACCCAGAACCCTTCACTGCTCGAGAAGCAATTGATTTGGGGTAAATTTTGGATTGTGTCCAAACAATTAAAGTAACTCTGGACACTCAGCATGAATAAAGAATTCTCAGCTTGATGAAAAGAGTAGTTAATTTTTTTAATCTTTTTCTTGATTGAAAAAAGACAGTTTTCTATTGCTTTGATACATGAGACCATTATGCATCAAATGTCTCATGTTCTAAATCCAATAATCCAAATGGCGATTTTCGAGCAATTCACTGTCGGGCTTAGACCAAAATTCAATTTGAGGAACTCTGTAATGTACCAAATGTGATCCCCTGAACCTGAGGCAAGAGTTGAAAAGATAAATAAGGGCCATATAGGAGTTCCTGCAACTTAGGAGGAGTGCTGTTAAATGTCCAGATAAAAGTGACGGTTGGATAGATAATTCGAAGGATGCTGCAGCCGGAGTGGTGGCTCAAGATCACAAAGGAGCTTTTAGCAGGAGTCAAAGGGCAGATTTTCAGACACTCGTCCGGCAGAGGAGACAGAACTGCCTGCTGTGTATTAGGATATGACCAACTCCTCCGAGTCATATTTCTGGACATTTAGACATTGAAGACATTCGTACTGAAAGAGCTAAGCTTCAGTCGTTGTTGTACCACGGGAAGCAAATGCACGGTGCCCATAGGCGTTGCTCTGAAAGCTAAGATTGAAGAAGATGCGCATCCCATCTTCTTCAAAAGCCTTACTTGTTCCTGTGGTCGGGGAGAGACCACCTTGAACGTCATGTTCTTTAAAGACAGTCGAGAAATTTCGGGCCAAAGAAAAGAAATTATACAGTGATTTCTGGAAATAAAAAAAAAAGATATTTTTTTCACAGATAATACACGCGCGAAGGGGATTCCCGGAAGAACAGCCTTTAACGACCACTCGAACTCAGTGTAACAGAAATTCAAATACTGTCCGTCACTCCCGAAATCCGAAACCTGAAATTTAGTTCCCCCGATCGGAACCCGCTGATACCCATCATGTCTCTGCGCGATCCTTCGTCGTGGATCGGCCCGTCCCTCTCGAGAGCTCTCGTACCGACCTCGCCATCTCCCAAGAGATCGAGGAGCGCCGGCTGCGCCGTCGTCAGGTCCATGGCCGCCGACAGAGCCGCCGCCTCCGCCGCCGTTTCTGCTTCGCCGAGGCGGCCCATCTCCGCCTTCGAGGCCCGGGTGACGCTCGTGTTCGCTCTCGCTTCTCAGGCCTCTTCCGTCTCCCAGCGACGTACACGTTTTCCCACCGAACTCTTTCGCCTCTTTCCAAATCGTTTCTCGAGCGTGAGCATGTGCGAGTATGTGTTGGGCTCAATTTGCTTATTGTAATCTGTGGTGTAGTTCTGGTGGATTTGGCGACTGAAACCGCGAAATACGTGTTCCCGAAGAGGTTCGAGAGCCGCAATTTGGAGGAGGCTTTAATGGCAGGTGTGTATAAGTTTGCCTTTTCCTGGTGGGAATAAGCTTTGAATGGAGTGATTGGGATATTTCAAAAGTCTAAACTGTGTTTTTTCGGCATTTTCTTTTGGTTGCACTGTCTGGTTTCAGTTCCAGATCTTGAGACCGTGAAGTTCAAAGTTTTGAGCAGGAGAGACCAATATGAAATAAGAGAAGTGGAGGTATGAACTACGCATGGCGTGCACTCTCTTCCTCTGAGAATTTATGTTTCCTTCATTTAGTTGTACTTGGTGTAAACAGCACGTTTCGGTCGAGCATGTGCATGGCTGTTGATTCCCCGTGCACGGGGCGGATTCTGGTTAAGTTTCTTCCTCCTCTTTGATTCGAAGTCAAGATTTTAGTTGAATATCCACATAAAACTATCGGAACAAGGGGGTTCTTTGAAATTCCTGGACTATGTTATCCGATCACTGCTGTTGTGTTTTTGCCTTCTTGTCAATACTTTAGCTGGTACTTGTGGCTACCACTTTGCATTTGTGAATTTGAACAGTCTTACTACATAGCGGAAACGACAATGCCTGGAAAGACTGGATTTGACTTCAATGGGGCTTCTCAATCCTTCAATGTCTTAGCCGAGTACCTCTTCGGTAAGGTAATTAAGCACTCCTTCAGTTTTTTTTTTTTTTTGGTAAGGTAGCACTCCTTCAGTTACCTTCTCTATATCGTCGCAAAAATGACCGTTCTATTTCTTAATATGCTTTTGTGGATCTTTGTCTAAATCAGAACACAACAAAGGAGCAAATGGAGATGACTACTCCTGTTTATACACGCAAGAGTCCATCTGATGGAGAGAAAATGGAAATGACGACACCTGTAATAACAAAGAAGGTGAGTTTTCCAATGTCCTTGTCGGACGTCAAGTTTGATTTTTGTAGGTTCTAGGATTTTATGCTGCTGGCTAGATGCAGTGCGGTTAAGTCTATGCCCATGCAATCCCTGTTATTTCCTCAAAAGAGAAGGCATTGGCTGATTGTTCATGACGTTAGGGAGGGCACACTGATCTATTGACATCAATAATGTTTTAGCTCTAATTTGTGAATCTCAGACTCTTTTCTCTGCAATATGTTCTAAGTATCACTTTAGAGGATACTTCACAACTTCCAGTTTCTTATGTTGAACTAAGACAATTATTATGGATATCCCTCCTTTGGTTATTAAGAACTTAACCCTGACATGTTGTGTTAATTTTCTTTTTTGCAGCAAAGTATATTTGCTGAGATGATTCAGCATTTTCATTTCAAATTTTATTTGCTTGTTCATTATTGAATGTAGGTGGAAAATGAAGGGAAGTGGCAGATGTCCTTTGTTATGCCCTCAAAGTATGGTGCGAATATACCATCACCTAGAGATCCATCAGTAAGGATTAAAGAGGTTCCACAGAAAATTGTTGCTGTTGTCGCCTTTTCAGGTTTGTTCTCTCCATAAACAGATGAAGCTCAACCTATGCAGCTATTGAGTTCAAAGAAATTCCTTTCTCCTTGGAAATAGATTTACATCCTGAATTGCATGAATAGAAGTGGTCATAAGTGTAGTCAGCATGATGTGTAAATCAATATTGACCGCATAGTTAATATGATGTGTGACATGTATGGATGAGTCAAATCTACATATAACCTTTATTTTTTTCCTGTGCGCAATTTTTTCTTTCGGTATAAGGTGTGCAATTTGGTAAGCATGCACCCTTTCCCATATGTGCATAAACATTTTCGAGTCACCATTCGTGCTGCTTTTCTTCTTCTCGGCAATGTTATATCTTCAGATTCAACATGGACACTGCACTAGTTACATAATATGGTGTTTTTGGTAATAAGGAATTTCTGGCAGGAATCAATTAAATTGCCTAATCATAAGTTGGTTGTCTTCGAAATCAGGTTTTGTTACTGATGAAGAAGTTAAACAGCGGGAGTTAAAACTTAGAGATGCTTTGAAAAGCGATGGAGAGTTCAGAATAAAAGAAGGTACTTCTGTGGAAGTTGCACAGGTAGGTCCAGCGTTCGTTTTTGGAAAAATCTTGTTACCGCAAACTTTTAGTAACAAAAGGTTCTTATTCTTTTATCTTTTGTTATATGATTGCAGTACAATCCACCTTTTACACTGCCTTTTACACGTCGTAATGAGGTTTCCTTGGAGGTGGAAAGGAAGGAACAGTAGCTCCTCTCTGGAAATTTTAGAACTTGGAGGAATGGTGTATAAATAACATCTTATCCTTTGTAAAGTAGAAACTACCTGTGTATACATAGAAAGGTTCTTATTCTTTTATCTTTTGTTCTACGATTGCAGCACAATCCACCTTTTGCGCTACCTTCTACACATTGTAATAAGGTTGCCCCAGGGGTGGAAAGGAACAGTAGCTCCTCTCTGGAAATCCTAGAACTTGGAGGAATGGTGTATAAATAACCTCATATCCTTTGTGAAGTAGAAACTACGTGTGTATATACGTAGAGGTGAACGTGGGTACTTTGAGCCAGATATATTTTGTAAACCAGAGGACTATATGGAACTGGGAGTTCTGAATGTCCTGAAAGATTTCATGTCAATGAAAACTCTTTCATAGCTAATTGTATGCTTAATTGTGCAGTCATCTTATTATATCTAGCTATTAATGTGGGAAGCCTCGTGCACCTAATACGGCCACGTTGTAAGACCGTTGGACCAGAGGAGTCAAATTTATTGCATGATCCCAGTGCACAAGCGCAGCTACTCTAAGCTGCCGGATCATGTGGGCCTCTGTTAGATGCACATGATTCAATGGTTGATATACCCTGTACCGGCGCCTCTATTGATTAAAGCTGATGTTCCTTCACTCATTCCTCGCTAAAGAAAGCCCAAAAAAACGGTTCATGTGCACCAGAAGCATTCAACTACTGCTCTTGGAGGAGGAATTGATAGTTATGATGGTAAGTAATGTCTAAATTTTTCCCTAGATCACAAAATCTTATGAATATCATTGCCAGTGTCTGCTTAATTTAACATCATCTCATTAAGCCATGATCACATGGCATTTACTAGCGTCAGCATGCATCCTATGGAGCTCTACTGTTGCTCCGGCATCTTCTCTTTGCTGGCTAATTCGTCCAAAGTGAAATAACGAATGTATATATAGTAGGTTGTACATAAAGGCTTCCCCAAGTCTACAGTTCTTGGATCCAATTTGTGGAGTGAAATCCATCTTTGGCTAAACAGTCATTTTGTTTATTAATTAAAGGAAGCTATTTGTTTGCCTTCATGATAGCCTCGTTACACTTTTTCTATTCCGATTGTCTGTCTCGTAAAGCTTTCCACAACAAAGTGGAAGAGGGCTAGTCCCTAAAAGTGCCCTGGTCTGTGGTACTATTTTAATTTTTCCAACCTGCTTAGATGGTTAAGAATGACCATCAAGCAGTTACCTCTGTGTTTTTGGGGCCTTTAATGACCGCAAGAAGGATTGAGACTGTGAAACCTTCCAAGTCTTAGAGAAAAAACAATACGCAAGGAGACAAAATCTACGAGAAGACAAACCTTGATCCAAGTGTTAAAGCATGGTCATAATAGGTGTAACAGTTAACTAAATTAAAAATAGCTAGTGTCTAAGCCATTAAGTAATTCTTGATTGACCAAATTAAAAAAAAAACATTATGTGATTGACAAAACTTTAATGGAACAGTTCAGTGCTCTCTTTCTTCATAGACAAACGTGTCCTCTAAGTTGGTAAGTGAGGAGGGGCCTCTCCAGTTGAAAGCATTGCTGCATTTTTCTGTTGCCATGAGCTGTGTATCTTCTAGTCACGGTGTCAATGGCTTTTCTGTATATTGTATGGAAAAATCACCTGATGCAAATACATTTTTCATTGACGGCAGATTCATCAGCTGATAGTTTCCAACTTCCTAGTATCATTCAGTTAACTTGAGCATGTATTTTGTAATAACTATCTCTTGAGACTAGTTGTTAGCGTATTCTTGTGTTGTGGTACGATCACAACAAGCGACATTCAACCACGTAACAATGTTAATCAACTTTAAAGACTTTCTTTTCTTACATCAATAATTGCTACATTGTATACTTGGCATTTTCAGATCATAGAGAGAGAGAGAGAGAGAGAGAGAGAGAGAGAGAGAGAGAGAGAGAGAGAGAGAGAGAGAGCTATATTAGTCTACTTCAGGTATACTTTCTAATATAGGCTTCCATCCTTTGCAATGACCGCTGTCATCAATGTTGACCGTCTGCAAAGTTTGTTCTCTTTCAAGAAGTGGCGATCCCCTGTCACCTACTGAAACTGCTCCTTTCAGTAGCATCTGCCGCAGTTCTCTTCTACTGATTATCAGCTTCACTCTTAAAGGACCAGCTTCCTTGTGATCCTCAATCTGTTGATCTAGTAAAGAAACTTTCGCCTTTTGGACTTTCAGCGCTGTCCTATACTCAATGACTTTCCCTTCTGCTTTCACAATCTTGATCTCCTTTCCCAGAGCTAAGCAGTTGCCCATGCTTGTGCTTGTAAATACTTCTCCAAAATCTGTAGCACTAAGGTAGTCTGATGAATGTGGGGCTTTGCATATAAATAATGACTTTGTAGTGCATGGTTGATTACGAAAAGGACTGAAGATCATTATGGAACCCAGCGTGTTGATAGTTGGTTGGTGCATGAATGGGACTTGTCCCTCATGGGTTTTGATAGTTGACTTCCTCATTGAGGTAATTATCCACTTTTAGAATTCCATTTGATGAATAAAAAAAGGCAGATCACTATAAGTTGCAAGGCTTAGAACACACAAGCTCAACCTTTTCTTCTTGTATTCATCTGTTTACAAGCAGTAGATGAGTGAGTTGAGAAAAAATCTTAATGGTGTAGTTTTGTTTTCGGTGTCACTAAGATTTTGGAGGTTCCTTCATTCAGTCTGTTCCCATCCAGGGAACTCGTGTAGGGCCACGATAAATCTTTGCAAGTGCGGTTCAAACAATAGACTGGTTCAATTTGATCATTGATCATAGCTAAACACACCATGACTGGTTCTCCCTATTTAGGATCTCCCTAGAAGATCCACTAGGGCCGCTCAAAGTCGAACTTTAGGAACGGAGTCAACCACCAATTGGTTGGTTGACTAATTATGTTGTGCAGCGTTGGCCTCTTTGCCTCATCACTTTCCACCAAAATGTTTGTCACAGAGAGAGTTGCTCCACGTTGCAGCATATTGTCTTGGTGTTCAGTTGCCTAAAAAAGTGCTGTGTACAGGAAGCACCTCCATTGCTTATCCGGGCGCGGGATTTAATTTATAAAGTTGTTGCTCTGGATGTTCTCTGATGTGGGGATTACGAGAAGATGATGTAGGCCCACTTCAGAAGCAAGAGCATCGAATCATTTCATGAAGTGGAGAGTGTTCACCAGGAAAAAACTGTAGCGTAGTGCTTGGAGGCCGTCGTCAACAACACCCAATAACATGCACTTGCATGCTAGTTTCTCCATTAGTGGAACACCGTGTTTCGCATTCTAGTGAGAGAAAGCAACAAGAGTTTCCACAGAGAGAGAGAGAGAGAGAGGTTGCCAATGGACCATACTGTCATGCTGACGATCTGTCTGCCAAATGCTTTGCTGGTTGATATTGCTACGCATTTAGGTGGATTTTGAAGAGAAATTATCTTCTAACCCTGGGTGTTTTTTCCTTTTCAAATCATGTAAACGTTTTGTCTTTCTGCATTTTCGTCTTCTGTTTCATAACCTGATTGTGCGCTCGCGCAAAGTGCGAGCAAGTGGTGCTCTTTTTAGCCATTTCAGAATGTAGAAGACGGCGGAAAATCATTTTTTGAAAATTGGCGGAAGCAGAGTATTCATTAGCAAAGAAGGCGAGCCTAAAACGAGTACTGTTTGTTTCCGATGATTCAAAAATCTCACGTAACGACCATTAGACAGATGACCTGGCGACGAGAGATCCTGACTGGGGAGTTAAGAGGCGAACTAGCCCAAGTATGAGAAAAAGAACTATTAACATTTGCTTGTGTAGACAATAAGTTGACATTGTCGAAAACGAGCTTACTGGATCGCAGTGCGAAGAGAACTTATCTCGATGCCAATGTAGAAGAAACACAATCAGGGTTTGATTCATAGCACTCGGGCACTCAAATATTATCAAAGTTGAAACTATAGAACTTGACAGTGTGTCAATCAAAAAATCCAGAGAGACACAGACAGAACCTTTCTCAAGTCAGTCAATCTCGTTTGCGACAGACGCTACTGTTTGGGCATACAGAGAAGATGTTAGATTTCTGGTCTTCCGGTGCCGTCCACATTGAAAGTCACCAACAAATGTAATAGCTATCCTTCAGGGCAAATCCCAAATGTAAAAGCAATTCTACCGTGTGGATGAACAGATGATATTCCTTCCTCAGGTCTTATGAGATTCTGTCAGCACAACTCAAAGCACGACTGCTTATTTTTCGCAGCACAGTGCCACTCTACTCGACACTTTATGGCTTCTAGATTGGGGTCACAGACAAGAAGCCCATTGTCTTAACTTTGCTCACGTGCAATGGGCTTGTCTCGATGATCTAGATGTATTAGCGGCGCATTCCACAATGTCTCCATCGTTAGATCGACGTTGCCTTTTTAATGCTTGAGGCTGATCATGGCATCGCCCGGGTGATTGAGGGGACTCTTCCTCGGTATTAGCCTGTCTCTCATCCGATAACTTGTGCGCATGCCTCGCATTTCAGATAACAATTGGCCCGATGGCATCTCTTCTCCTCAAGGTTATTGTGGAATTGGTGCTCTGTTGATGAAGACAAAAGGCGCTTGCTATCCACAGTGCAGCTCAAGAGGAAGGGCCAAAGCCTCGCCTATTGCAGGCCCTCTTTTTAAGACTTCCGAGTCGATTCCTACTCATGTACGGCGGGTTTAGCGATGAACCAGCTCGGGCACAAGTGGGTTGTGCCATTAGTACTTTGTCGATGTGGATCGACTAAGAAAGAAGTGGAAGTTGTAACATCTTGTTCAAAGTTGCCCATTTGAAAGTAAATTCATCGACGTTGGGCTCTTGGTATCAAAATTTGGCACAGATCATGATATAGTGTTGTGGCCCATGTCTTGTAACTAAAGGAAGCTTCTCTTCAGAATGGCTTTTGAGAACAACTAGCGGCCTCTTGGCCTTCAATAATAGGCTACGCCTGTTGCGGAATGATTTTTACTGTTATGACTAATGTTAAAGGGGCAATTTTGATATTGTAATACTACTCCTTTCTTATTCTATTCGCTATTCGCAAAATCAAGCACTGAAATCATAGATATATTACAGTTTTATTTCATTACAACGTAAGATTTAGGTTGTTTTGCTTTTGTTCTTCCACGAGGTTGTATTCGGGCCTTGTTGGCTTTGTTGTTTGTAAGGAGGGACTAGGGTCTTGGAGAACTTGTTGTCTATATTGTTAACCACTTCAGAATCCGAGGTCGAATATTTTATGGTTTTTACTCATCTATAGCTTCTTTAGATTTATTCGAATATTCTAGATGATGCTCTTAAATACTTTATTAGGAATTTGATATATGTGCTCTTTAATTTAGTAGATACTGTTCGCCTTTTGATATAGTAGATTATGATTTCTCATAGTCTTAACTTGTTATGTTCTCATACATGAGATAGCTTATCCATTGAATATGACATAATCTAGGGCTTTCTTCCGTTGCGCTTTTGCGAGCGTGCGCCTTTGTGCATGTCGCGAGTTGCAAATCTTGTCTACCCGTTTTCACCGCGTCATTTATCTAGTGGATTTCACACTAAATGAGATTTTTTCCCTGTTGATTCTCTGATCTATCTATATTTGATTGCTTTGAAATCGAGAAGGCTGGATTCGAATTTTAGTCCACTCCCATCGTAGCAAAAATTTTGGGTCCATTCTATATTTGTGAATTGATAAAAAGACCCAAAAAAAAAAAAACAGAGATAGAGAGAGAACAGAAATTGGAAGCTACGTAAGCAAGGTGAGAAATGACCAAGGTGCTGGAGGGGGGCCCCCAACTTTTTCAAATTATGTTTAGGCCCCAAATTTTCGAACATATTTTGCATGTCCATCCCAAAAATCTTGACCCCACCAAAATTAACCAATTTCTTTACATTCCAAAGTTTAAGGAAATATAATCAGGAATTGTTTTCTTTTTAAATAAAAAGACTCAAATTCAAGAGCCATATGTTACAACAATCAATTGAAGGCTTTAGATTCCACGCCGTTTACCGCTCTTCTGGCTTTATACGAATGTCTTCACTTCGTTTTATATAATCTTTTAATTTAATTTTGTTTCTTGACCCCCTACCAGAACCACCCAAAATAAAAAATCTCTCACCACTAATATAATTCAAACACATTGACCCTCTTAACAAATTCTCGACACAAACTCGGGCAACCAAAACACAAATCGGTCCGGTTCACTTTGTCGACTTTTCCTTTTGAAGAATATGAGCCGTTACGACGCTCCAGCAATATCGGATCGCATATGATAAATTAATATCGAAAGGGAAATTTTTTTTCCAAAAAAACATGAAATTGTACGTGTAATATCTTACTAATCGAAGATAAGAAGAAAGACACAGATTTACACGCACAGAACGAACTTATGTATATTCTCTCTCTCTCTCTCTCTCTCTCTCTCTCTCTCTCTCTTTTGTACACACTACACAGTCAAAACGACGCTGCCTCCTCCTAATTTTTCCCTCTCCCAAGGCAAAAGGCATGCAATACGACGTGCCACGTCATCGCAACGAAACACCCACCCCCCCGGGATCGTCGTCCCCGTCACCGTCCCCAAACGACGCTGGGCCCCACGCGGCGGTGGCCGACGTACCAATTTTCTTCCCGGCGGGGCCCCACCTCCAAGCCCCACCGACGTGTCCGCCTCGACCCCCCCAATCCGGTCACGCCACGTTGGCCCACGACTCCGACTTCCTGCCGGACGTGAACCGCTTCATCCCGCCCAGGCCCGGCGGCTCCCCGCCCTCAGCCTCAGCCTCCGCCGCGCCCCTCGCCGCCGGCGAATCCGAAGTAGTAGGCGGCGCGCCGCTCGCCGGCGGACGCCTCCTCGCGCCCCGGGCGCCGGGCGACTCCGCCCGCTCCACGTCAGCCAGAACCGACCGCCGTTTCCTGCAGCCGGGTCCGAACATTGCGCGGAGGGTCGCGAGCAGCCCGGTCCTGCTCCTTCCGGCCGGCTCGCCGCCCCTCTTCCGCCGGTTCGCTTCCTTCTTCGATCTCACCCTCCCCATGCACGAGACCTTCGGCGAGGACGGCTCCACCGCCGGCGGATCGGACTTGCCCGCCGATCCCGACCACTTCGGGAAGAACCCCGCGTTGCCCCCCGCCTTGCCGGGTCGCCGGCTCTTCGCGTCGACGAAGCACGACTTCTGCGGCTTCGGGAGGCCGAGCATCGAAGCCTTGGACTTGAAGTTGGACGACGACCGCCGCGAGTTGGAGTTGGTGGGGGAGTTGAGGATCTGGTTGGAGGCGGCGGCGGCGGCGACGGCGGGGGAGGAGCTGGAGTTGGCCTTGGTGGAATCCTTGCGCTCGTAGTAGGCGTTGCGGTCGAACCAGTCGAACACGGCGTCCTTGGAGAGCAAGACGGAGTCGGGAGGGAGATCGGGAGGACCCTCTTCCCCACGACGGCCGCCGCCCTCCTCGCCGCCGCCGGCGGCGGCGGTCTCGCAGGAGATCTTGCCGTCGCGGGAGCCGCCGGCGCAGGCGGAGACGAGAGCTTCCAGATCCACCTGCGGCATCGCGAGGGAAGGGGTGGTCGGAAGGAGGAGTGAAGGGGGGAAAGCGTGACAGAGCGTGCGACCTTATACGTGCCTGTCGGACCGTGGGGAGAGAGAGGGAAAGAGGAAAATTGGGGAGCGAAGTTGACTCGTGCTTCGCGGGTTGGTTTCGGGGGGTAACACACGGGTCACGACTCTGTCTTTTTCCTTTTCCTTTTTCCTTTTCGAGTTAGAACCGAAAAGCAATCAATCGGGCTCGAAAGCACCGTGGTCGTTACTTCACGACTCCTTTAGGTGGTGCGCGCGCACGTACTAGAACTAGAGGGGGGGAAAGTAAAGGTTCTCGCGGGGTCTTCCACCCCGGTTCTTTCGTTTTCTCTTTCCTTTTAAGTCTTGGGTTGCACTTAGGGCGAGGGTCCTCTATGTCCGGGGGGATCGATTAATTCCCAAAACCGTCTATGCTATGGACCCCGAAATTGCTCACCGTGAGTACTGCTGCTGCTGCTGCACGCATCGGGCTTCACGTCGCCGGCTCTCGAGTTGTTCACCTGTTAATCCGCCTGTAATTCTGATCGGCTCGGACCTTGTGCCGTCCTCTACATTTCGGCATTACTAAGTTTTTCGGGGATATCGATTGTTTTTTTGTCCGTTGCTCGGGCGGCGTCGCGACGAGTGTGTTTAGGGCAGGACCGGGACGGCGGGAACTGTTGTGCCGCGTTCGGCGTTTCGTGCCCCAGGCGATGCGATGCGATGGTGTACAATCTCGGGTGTTTTTGGTAATGGAGTTCTTTGTTTCTAAACCAAACAAAAAGAACGAGAGAAAAAGGAGGAGATGGGCTGTGGCGCTGTACGAACAGCTAAGGAACTCCCACGAGTGTGTAGTGCTTGGTGCGAAGTGGGTAAAGCTCAGCTTTTGTCGTTTACCTTTTCATCCTTTCTTTTCTTTTGGGGTGGTTGTTTTGTACCTTTTTCTTTGTCTTCTATTCAAAGGTTAATCTGCATTAAAAAAAATATTAAATGTAATGTGCAAAGCGAGGGTAAAGTGGGAATTAAAAGCAAAAATGCGTGAAGGAAGGGAAGTGGGGGTGAAAGTGGGAAAGTTGTTAAAAGGTCTGTTTTAGTTATATAATTTCATCCCTTATTTAATTAACGTAGGGGTAGTTTGGGGAAACCGTTAAAGAAATGGATGAAAAAGTGGGAAGAGAATGAAAATGCCGATTGTATTTTCCTCTTCTTTTCTTTTCGGTCAAAACCGTGTATCTTTTTTATTATTATTTACTGCGAGGGTAACTTGGAAAAGCCTCTAACAATGAGATTAAAACCCACTTTGGCCTAAGTATTTTACGGCAACGGCGAACCGATTAGCAGTAATTTTGATCAATTCCACGCGGTCATTCTAATTGGAAAAAAAATAGAAACGCGAGCCTTTTTTTTTTTTCTTTTTGTCGAAATCGGAACACGGGTCCACAAGGTTTGTTGTTTCGACTCTTTTACCATGTTAAACAAAGAAAAGGGTTGAATTAGAGAATATAAATATATAGAAACCAAAGCAGAAGTAGACAAAAGGGATTTTAGACCTTCTCTTTTTAACGGATACCAAACTGGTGAATGGGACGACTCGAGTCTTCCTTTGTCTTTGCCCATCATAATCATAATCATAATCAGAATCATAATCATAGTAATGCTACATAACAATTAACATAACATGTCCTTGTCGCTCCCATCCCTGTTCGACATTTAGACACTGACCTACGGTCCACGGCTCCATGTGTGGGGTTTTAAAAGTCGTGCGATCGGTAATGGTGGTTGACCGGAGATTCTCGCGCACCTTCCATCTTCATTAATTTCTACAAATTATATGAACCAGTGGAATTTTTCGTTTGGGCATCCCGAGTTAGTCATCGGATCGCTCATCAATTACGATCTGTCAGTTGAAGACGAAAGTCACGAAGCCCCGTCAAGAGGTGCCGATGTGCAGTGACACGTAATGTAATGCAGCAAAAGCTTTACACGGTTGGTAGTCTTATTCACCGTAACTCGAGGGTTTTAACTATTCGTAATAATTTCGGTAACCATCAAGCGTATGCGAAAATTACTCTTTTTCTAGCTAGGTCCAGCCCAGATTGCGTATTATGACTTAGAAAGTTGCAGAAAATATGAGTTTTACGGAGCGAAGCTTTGCGGGTACCATTCCAAGACTCGTTTCAAAACCCCAGGTTGAGGTTCGCATCGGAGGAGTCCAACATCGCAGCCCTCGATGAAAGTTCGAACTGCAGCACGATTGCTTTGTAGAGAATAAACCAAGCTAGAATTGGACGCAAAACACTGGAGGACCAAATTGAAACTGCTGGAGGTACGTGGTTAGGTGAAAGGGAGGGATCAAGAAGAGGCAAAATTAGCCCAATTAGGTACAACCATACGATAGGACAGGGACAGCATTGGGAGGGAGGAAAAAGTCCTTGATGCCTTCAACAAATTTCGTCGCTTTTCGATTGTTTCTCTATCTACTACATGCGTGCTTTGGATTCCTGTGGCCAGCAATTGATCTGAGCACCTTGTGATAAATGCGGGCAAACAAGAGACCATCCATCTTCGCTTGCCCCATTTCACTCCAATAATTGCACCTACTTTTTTCCACAGATCTTCTTGGTGCAAATGGAATGCTCAATGCAAAATTGCAATCTATAGTGAGTTATGCGAGATTGCGAACACGGAACCGTGCTTAAGGCCGGGCGGAGAGCCGGGGGGTGGTAGGGACGGGATCGCATCCCCGCCCGGCGCCCCGGCGATGAAAAATTGCCTAGACACCGACCGCGGGGCCGCCACAAGGTCCCGCCGTTCTGTCGCGGGACAAAGGAAGGAGAAATAAATTGGAGAAGAGACGTGCTGTTTGACTTCTCAACCTTGTCGTAAGAGAATGGTAAGAGTTCAGGGACCACGCTCGGAGGAAAATCTCGACTTTTCTATTCCAAGAGATGGCCTCAAGGTTTGGCTGTTTCGCACCGTTGTTCGTTGTCCGATCCTTCGGTCGACGAAAATTCTTCGCCCAAAACCGAAAGATCCATAAGACCACCAGAGGATGACTGGTTCAATTCTATTTCCCAATTGACAATGAACTAGATGTGCTTTGAATACCAATTATTTCTTTGGGCCAAATTTTCATACTATGAACCATGGAAGGAAAGGGGGTGTATTTGAGACGCTCGATCTTGCCCAAATCTAAGATGAACAGCCTCAATTTGGCAACCGCATTCAAAACCTCTGTTTTATAATCTCAAATTGGAGAAATTTATGGGCTCCAACACAACACAAGATCGTAAAAAATTCAAGATTAAACAGTAGTATCTGTCATCTGAAGATCCTTAGATGCGAAACTAGACTCGAATGCGTGGTAATAATTCATTTTGTGTTCTGTGGTTACACACAAAATCACAAAGATAACTTATGTACTCTAAAAGATAAGGTTCGCTTTTCCAAATGGCTTTTGGATTTCGAGTTTCAAATTGACCCTAGGTAAATCCCAAAGCCATCATAAGTCGTGAAAGGTTTTTAAATGGGTTCACAATTCTATCTTACAACTCACAAATCAAAACTCATTAAGCCCCTATTTAAGTCAGCATGACAAGGGGTAAAATACGATTAGACCCAATCAACTTTCATCCCAATTTTCGATATAAATACTATAAAAACGACCACATTGCCCCTTTAATGCCCGCGGAGGATAAACTTGGAATGTATTGCTCGAGGTAGGAACAGTTTACAATTACATTATTCGATTGCCACGTCCATATGTAATTTTCCCCTATTTAGAATTGCTGATGTTGAGCATTTGCCATTTTAAGCTCCTTGCATTTTGCATCCGGTGCGTTGGCCCCTGAATCTCATTGTATCCGTTAAAACCTTCTATTTGAATCCGTTTTCACGTACCTCGATTGGTCCACTTCTTTGAACGATCTTAAGGGTACACTTCTCCTGTGGTGTTTCTGTGGAAGCTGTTTCGATTTTCTCCATCATGTAATGCGTGCGCAGCAAATGAGAGCATTTTGGTTTTTGTTAATGCGAATGATGTTAGAGAGTGACACTATTATCATAGTACAAGCAAAGACGAGGACTTGAAAGGACTTAAATAGTATGGGAAAATCATTTAAAAAGTCCTAAATCTATTACATTTTTGTCAATTGAATTTTAAACATTTTCAAGTTTTGCCAATTGAATCAATCCTGTCAATTTTGGCCCGAAATCGTTGACGTAGAAGCCAGCTGTCCTATGTAGCATGACCGTGGCTGACGTGAATAATTTTTAATAATATTTTTATTAATTTTCTTTTCTTTTTTGGTTCAAAGGGTCGACGGGGCCGTTGTACACTAGTTGAGGGTCGACGGGCGAGGGCCACGAAAACCTCGTTGGCCAAGGGTGAGGGTCGCGGCCCTCGCTAGATTTGGCAAGGGCTTGCGAGCCCTAGCCAGATCTGGCAACGTGAGGGCATGGCAGCCCTCGCCCAGCCCTTGCCGGCCACAGCAAGGGCTGCGACCCCTTCGCCTCGCTAGATCTGGCAAGGGCTTCATGGCCCTCGCCTAGAGGCTAGCGGGGGTCGTAGGCCCTCGCCTAGTGGTCGGCGGAGGTCACCGGCCCTTGATCAGTCGCTGACGGAAAAATAATAAAAAATTATTAAAATTTATTTACGTTAGTGCTAGCCTTTCCATGTATGACAGTTGGCGTTGACTAGACTACCATATCAGTGATTTTTGGCCAAAATTGGTCGGATGAGCTCGATTAGCAAAACACGAAAAGGTTTATGAATCAATTGATAATATTAAAAAGTTTAGGGCTGAATTGATAAAAGTGTAATAGGTTTCGGATTTTTTGGATAATTTTCCCTAAATTGTTGGATGGACATTTTTGACAAAAGGAAATGATAGTGGGAAGGACAGTGGACCCAGATGAATGAGAAAATTGACTGAACGGACATGAATTATGTATGCGAGAATTTGATGGTGAGTTTGGCAATGCTTTGTCTTAAAAACTTTGAATTAAGGCAAAAATAAGTCAGAGTGTTAATTGAGATCGGATAGTGTTTGGTAGCGTGAAAAATACTCACTTTTATGAAACACATTTTAGAACGCGAGAGAAAAAAAAAACACTAAAAGTGTTGCGGTTCTGTGAAGGAGACACCACCCACGCTAGAGGTTGCGGGACCCGAGGGGGCGGCATCGAGGTCGCATGACCCTTCGCACTCGCCTGGGGTCGATAGCAACCTGGGCGAGATCTGTCTCACTTGGGTCGCAAGCCACCGGCGACCTACCAAGGGTTACTCGTTGATGCGCCACCGCACACACTCTCTCTCATGAAGATTGCAAATCGAAGAAGGAAGATTAGGACAACGTTTTTGGCTTTTGCCAAGGCAAATGTTGACTCAAAATGGTCCCAACTTTCACCCGGGGTACTTCATGAGCTGCTCGGCAAATCGCTGGCAAATACACCTAACTTTTTGGCCATAGGTCTAACTTTGACTATCTTGTGAAGTAGCTATTGGAACCTGACATTGGAATACTTCAATCTCTACACAAAAAATCACGGTATAACGTTTAAAAACAAATTTAATAAATTTCATGGCTTGGTTGCTAACAGCTAAGTTTAAGCAAAAAATTTACTACTTTTTTACTTTTCCATCAAAATTTTCAAAATATTGTTCCAATTTCAAAATATCAAGAACACAAAAAGTGTAAGTCTGCGTGTCAACATTTATATATCATAAGAATTTGAGGTGTTTAGAGTTGAAAGAAAGTCAAAATACGTTGGACTCGAAGATTCAAATTGAGCAAAAATAGAAAAAAAAATCAAAGTCTATCTAGACACGTCCTTAGCCGTGCACCGGGATCGTCCCGACCCGAGCATCTCACGCACCGACCAATGCCTCTCGTCGTAGTATGCTGTCTTTTGTTCGGCACGAGGGATTTTTGAAGAAGGGGGAAGTCGAATTTTGCAAACAACTGTCGCGAGGCGAGGGCCAAAAGCTAATTTCCAAAAGCTGTGGGGGGGTCTGCAAAAATAAATAAGCACCACGGGGGGGCTCCCGACAAAACACGCACTTGTCATCGTGCGCATTGTGTTGTGTACTAACTGTTTTTTTTTTACAATTTCCATTTAATCTCTCGGTCACATTCGAATTTTCGACCGTTGGGCCCCGTTTTCGGACAGGCCAACGGTTACCCTCCCAACACTCCGCCCACAAAAAAAAAAAAAAAACACCCGAACAAAAGCCACTCGCAAGCCACAGAAGAATACAGAGAGAAGATAGCACCGAGCAAATGGGCTGCGTCTCTTCCAAGCACGTCAGGAAAGAACGGGAACTCGAAGCTCGTCAGCACCACCATCCTCGGCATGGTCACGGTCAGGTCGGCTTCGACGATGGCGGCCGCGCGGCTCGCCCTGCCCCCATGCCCAACCACGTGGTCTCCCTCACCTCCAGCACTTACGGCCTGCTCAGGCTGGACAGCGACGAGCGAGGATTGCCGTCGCCGCAGCTGCCCCAGCAGCAGCAACGAGAAGTCGCCGTGCAGAGCAAGAGATTGAAGGGAGGAGGGTCCCCGGCTCGCAGTGAAGAACCCCCTGAAGTCATCAATGCGTGGGAGCTCATGGAAGGCCTGGAGGACGGAGCGCCGGCGCCGGCGAACCAGAACCGGAAGGCTCCGAGCCCGAGGCCGCGGGGATTGCTCCGAGGTCTGGCGAGCATCGATGCGAAGTCTCCGCTCAACTTCATGAACCAGATTGGTTCCCCGAGGAAGGCGAACACTTATGGAGGCAAGGAAAACAAGGGGAGCAGCGCAGGGAATGGGTCGAACCGCCTCGTGGGGAGATCCGATGTCACCCCGAAACAGGGGTTGAGATCAAACAAGTCGTCGGACAGTTCGTGCAAAGCGGCGAAGAGTCTGAGAATTTCGACCGTTGGGATTCCGTTTGGAGGGAAGAGGAACAGCTTCGGGAGTGATCACGGGGTCTCGTCTCGGCGGAGTTTGGGCCCTCTGTTCGATCCGGAGCTGCTGGATTCGTACGAGAAAGAGCTGTCTCAAGGCAAAGAGCAGATCAAGAAGATGATTTCGCCATCAGCCAAGATCAGAAAGAAGAGAAATTTTAAGGACCCGGAGTCTGTCCTCCGCGCGTTTCAGCAAAAATGCCCACGTGGTGGAGACAATGTGGTCGTCATATACACCACCACGCTGAGAGGCATCAGGAAGACGTTTGAGGACTGCAATGCCGTGAGGTCGGTGATGGAGTCGCACTGCGTTCAGATGCAGGAGAGAGACGTGTCCATGGACTCGGGCTACAAGGAGGAGCTGAGGAAGCTGATGGGGTCGAAGGAGGTGAAGGTGCCACTGGTGTTTGTGAAGGGAAGGCTGATCGGAGGAGCTGATGAGGTAGTGAAGCTGGAGGAGGAGGGAAAATTGGGGATTTTGCTCGATGGCATTCCAAGGACTTCACTGAGTTGCTGTGAAGGGTGTGGAGGAGTGAGGTTTGTGATGTGCATGGAGTGCAGTGGGAGTTGCAAGGTCTTTGACAAGGAAGAGAAGAAGGTTTTCAAGTGTGGGGAGTGCAATGAGAATGGGTTGATTCATTGCCCCATTTGCTGTTGATTTGAGCTGGATTGGATTCGTCTAGCTAATTCTGTTTTTGGGTTCTTTGTTTTTTTTTCTACTGGGTTTTCTGATTTTGTTCCATCTGATGTAAAGACTGAACTAGGGGGTAGGAAGTGTTGGGGCTTGGTTCTGATGAAGTGTGTGTTTTTGAGGAGTCCCTCCTGTTTTGCTAATCGTTTCGATTGCAGATTATTGCTATATATGTATCTGATGTAACAATCTTTTGGTTTGCAAGAGATTATGTTTATATCTCCACAGGCTGATTCAATAGGATGATATGGAAGTTTGTTCATTTCCCTACATCTGTTCTGAATGTAACTACCGCTTACTGTTGCGAGGGGCTTTCAAAAAAATTCGTCTCGTGTGGCATTTCTTTGGTCGGGAAGTTCCAGAACACGTTGTCTGTGCATTTCTAACGAAGGAAAGCCCTCTTATGCCATTTGTGAATAATTCAAGTTCCATGCTGCTGGCCACTCCAGGACGGCAAGGACGGGGTCGAACCCTCATTGCGAGATTTGCAATCGGATACATTTTCGTTACTTCGCCTGGCCAAACCCCGCACCTCAATTTCTCGAACTCAACCTTGAGTGCCAAGAAACTCCCATAGATTATCTTCTTGCCAAGATAGCTGGCCAAGGAGCTTACTAGACAATGAGGTTTTCGCCGCGTCAATCAGCTCAAACATTAGCAAACCACCTTCCGTGGGAAAATTGAAAGTCATAAAGCTCAAACAAGAGCAAGGGGTGATTCCTCAATTCTCAGTTCCATCGATTGCCTTCATTGGAGGGCTTCGAAATCAATCTGTGGCCGTATCGTCCCTGGATTTTTCTAACATTTTAATTACCCACTAATTCATTCGGGCGAGACATCTTATGAGTCACGACGAAAACTCCTCTCATGTCGGTGTATTCGTGCCGCTTAGACATTGGCCAAGAAATCACGGGGGCGAGCGGTGGTAAGAGAAGCAAGTTGAGGAAGTCAGAAAGTGCAAGTGCTTTATCGACAACCTGAAAAAGTCAGTGACGGATTAGGTTGGTAGTGCCCAATCCATAGTCAGAAAAAATGAAGACCAAGACAAGAATGTCGTTGAAAAGGAGAAAAAAGTCTCTTTGACCAAAAGAGGAAGTGTCGGCGCCAACTCTTGTTCATCCTCGGACTCAGACAACGGAAAGCAATTCGATATGACAACTTGAAGCCAGTTCCCAGGTTCTTGGACAGCAGACGAAAGAGTTGCGGCTGGGAACGAGTACCTATCCCTTATGCGAATTGGACCCGCGTCTTCGGCATGAAAAGACCTTGAAGGCCCCAGTGAGCCCGAAGTAATTTTGATCGCTTTCATACAAATCGCCTTGCGCTACCTCCGGCTTTAACGGATTCGCGATCGTTCCAATCTTCCAATTTTCGAAGGTCAAAATCAATTTTCTATAGCCTACCCATAACTCAGGAGGCATTCTGGCGAACGCGTGCATATAGAAAGGCCTAATGAAGTCCCTTTACAGATGAACCTCATAGAAGATGAATTGAAAAGGTGGCCCAAGACTTGTGGAAGGAGTGGCAAGGGCTTTTCAACCGTTGTTGCTTGCAAGCTCGAAATTCTCTCTTTCACCTCTCCTCCCTTTCTCCATTCCAATTGATTCGCTTCTTCCTCTGCGCAAGCGCTTGGTTCGCCCCCGGTTTTTCTACGTTGGTTCAAATCCTGTCTCTCCTACTTGTTTGTCGTAGACTTTAAGAAGAGAATGGAGGGATTTGTCAGCATAGGAAGGCCAACTGAGCAAAGCTCTTTCTTTAATTTTTCTTGGGACAAATGCACTATGGGCCCGTTTGGTTCAGAATTTGAATGCTGCTTTGGGGGTCTAAAGTCCCTTGAGCAAATACAAAGTTGTTTGGCAAGCTTTGAGGAGATGCAGTTGCATTTCCAAAGCTTGGAAAGGGCCTTTGGCTGAATGAAGTCAATGAGGAGCCTTGGGAAGTTACATTTTCGGAATGCAACTCGGGCACTGTTTATTGCCACTGTTCATCATCTTCCCAAGCAACTGGTCCGGTGGCCGACAACCACCGCCTGAGGGCTAGCGCCCTGGCGATCGCCGCCTGGGGGTCGTGCGACCCCGGTGACTGCCGCCTGGGGGTCGTACGACCCTGGCGATCGCCGCTTGGGGGTCGTGCGACCCCAGGCGATGGTCGCCGAGGTCACGCAACCCAAGTGACGCCGCCTGGGGTCGCCGGACCTCAGGCGTCGCCTGGGTTGGGTCACGCAAATTTCCTAGGTTGCGCGACCCATGCGACGCCTGAGGTCGCGCTTGATCTCAGACCAGATCTGGCTGTCGGCGGTTGGCCGGCGACTAGATCTAGTCGAAGGTGGTGGTAGGTTGGCCAGCTTTTTTTTTATTTTAAATCAGCAATAGTCTTTTACGAATAATTTTTACCAAAAGTTATTTAGACAAAAATTGCTTTCAAATGTGATTTTAAAATACACATTACCAAACACTACTTGCATTTCGGAAAAGACTTTTAGCTTAAAGGCCTTTGTATTTTGCCAAATGCATTCCCCAAAAGCCGAACCAAATAGGCCCTACAAGTCCTAAAACTTGCAAAAAGTGCAATCGAGTTCTAAAACTTGTCAAATTGATTCAATCGAGTCCTAAATTTACTAACGAAAAATGCTGACGCGGCGCTGACGTATCATATTTTATTACTTTCTTAAGACACGTGGCAATGATGTGGCATCTAACAAGCGCCACGTCAGCAAAAAAAAATAAAAATAAAAATTAAATTAGAAAAAAGCTATAAAAAAAAAAACCTCTACCAGCGGCTGTGGCGGTGGCCAAGCCCTCGCTGGTGGCTGCCGCTGGGAAGGGCCGGCGGAGGTTGCCTGGGCCTTCCCAAAGCCTGGCGACCCTCGTCGGCCTCGGGCGAGGCCCCATCGGTCCACGACGACGGCATGAAGCCCCCGATCTGGGGGAGGGCGCGACCCTCGCCCCAGATCTGAGCGAGGGTTGCCGGCCCTCGCCTAGGGCCGGCGAGGACCGGCGAGGTCTCACCTGGGGTCGCCCACCTTGGGAGAGGCCTCGCCGGTGGGCGACCCTAGGTGAGGCCTCGCCGGTCCTCACCGGCCCCAGGCGAGGGCCGGCAACCCTCGCTCAGATCTGGGGTGAGGGTCGCCCCCTCCCCCAGATCGGGGGTTGCAGGCCCTCGCCTGAGGCCGGCGAGGGTCGTCGGGCTTCAGGAAGGCCCATGCGACCTCCGCCAGTCCTTCCCGACGGCTGTGGCGGCGGCCACCGGCGAGGGCTTGGCCATCGCCGTAGCTGTTGGTCCTGGTTTTTTTTCCTTTTTTTTGTTTTTGTTTTTTTGTAGCTTTTTCTAATTTAATTTACATTTTTTTCAACTTTTTCTGACGTTGCGCTTGTTGGACGCCATGTGTCTCAAGAAAATTAATAAAATAAGACACGTCAGCGTCACGTCAGCATTTTCCGTTAGTAAATTAGACGGTGTTAACTTTAGGACTCGATTAAACCAATTTGACAAGTTTTAGGACTCAATTGCACCTTTTGCAAATTTTAGGATTCAAATGCACTTTTATGACAAGTTTTAGGACTTGTAGTGCACTTGTCCCATTTTTCTTTTTTGGCCATTCCTTGAAGTAAAAAATGTGAGGATAGCTATAATTCAAGGAAACTCCGAAGCTAGGGTTCAAAAAAGCTTTTCATATGTCTGACGCTAATGCCAAAACATGTTCAATTTCTAAGGTGGTTTGCACTAAGAACTGAATGGCGTTCGTTTCAAAGGTGATCTTCACGAACAAGGAAAGCGGGCAAGCATGCCTAGACTGTCCATTCTAATCGTCTAAGTTTTTCTTCATCAGAGGCCAACCAAACAGCTCGACCATAGGGCTCCTTTAGTAGACAGCGAGCGGGCAATAAGCACCTTCTTATTAATGGGCATATTAGAGAGTTCTAGGCATAGTTTGGGTGCTTAGAGGGCTCTCCCCTCTCCTATATGACTCGTTTTTCCGCTCTTAATAAAAGAAGGTCGCTTAAGCAACCGTCATATTAAGTGGTCTTGTACCAGCTAAAAGTAAAGAGACTTCACTTTTGATGCTTGGTAAACTTCCTTAGCACTATCAATTACTACGGAAATTGTCGGTTTAAGTTACATTCGAAAGGGTAAAAGGACACTATTAGTGCCATAACTTGTGTATGAATGTCACTTTGGTGCCATAACTTTTTTTTGGATAACTTTGGTGCCAACTTTTTTGAAAAACGATCACTTTAGTGCCAATGCTGACATGGCTTGCCGGAAATCCTACGTGACGCTGACATGGCTCGCCGGAGAGGTCCAGTCAGCATTAAAAACAAAAAACGAGGCCGTTTAGTCCGCTGACATGTACTTTTTTAGAAAAATAAAATTTATATTATATTTATTTATATTAAAAAAAAACATCAAACATTGCAGCCGTGGCGAGGGCTCCCTCGCCGCTGCTGCCGCCACCCCACCACCGCCGGGAAGGGCTGGTGGTGGTAGGCGAAGTGGTCGGCGAGGGTCCCTGGCCCCTGGCCGGGGCCTGGCGACCCTCGCCGAGAGGAAGCGATCGCCTTTGCTGGCGAGGCGAGACCTCGCCGTTGTGACCTAGGCGACGGCGAGGTCGGCCTCGCCAGATCTGGCGAAGCTCGCCGGTGGCCAGCAGGGCGAGCTTCGCCAAATCTGGCGAGGCGAGACCTTGCCGTCGTGACCCAGGAGACGGCGAGGTCAGCCTCGCCAGATCTGGCGAAGCTCGCCCAGCCAGCCATTGGCAAGCTTCGCCAGATCTGGCGAGGCCAACCTCGCAGTTGCCTGGGTCACGATGGCGAGGTCGGCCTCGCCTTTGCTGGGCGAGGCGACCTCGCCCAGCCAGGGGCCGGTGAGGCTTGCCCTCGCCGGTGGCCGGCGGGGCGAGCTTCGCCAGAGGCCGGTGAGGTCGGCCTCGCCAGCCCTCCCCTTTGGTCGGTCGCCGGTCGTCGGACCGCCGATCGGGAAAAAGTTGGGAAAAAAAAAGATTAAAAAATTCGAAAAAAAGTCACATAATTTCCACGTGTACAAATCAGACCATTTTTTTTTAAATATAAATGCCACATCATCTTTTTGGCAGGAGTCACTAAAATGATCTATTTTCCTCCAATTTGGCATCAAAGTAATTCGAAAAAAAATTATGTCACCAAAGTGACCTCCGTACATAAGTTATGGCACTTCTGGTGTCCTTTTGCCCATTCAAAAGACAAGAGGATAGTGGGCTCTTTGTACATGACTGTCAACCGCAGAAGGTTACTCTTGTAGACAGATGCTGTAAGGCTCAGCAAAGCTCACGCTTTTCAGAATGTTAACCCGTATAGCAGATGTTTGGGATCCTCTAATTTTCCGATGATGATGATGATGCGAAGCTAAATGAGTACAAATCTGTACAAAAATGACTACACATCTGTACAATTACTTTCATGGATAGATATGAATATGATGTCATGTGAACTTCAACAGAGCAACTCTGAACATTTCGAGTGGTACACTTTTTCCTATGGGAAAGAAAAATCAAGAATAAAACAAATGATGTACCTTGTCTCATTAATGTGACTACACTACTTCCATTTTATGCAGCATAATTCAATGCCGATATGCATGTGCAATATCTTTTTAGTCTGCTATGCCGAAAGAAATCTCCATCTCCTTCCACCAACCAACAAGAAGAACAGAATCCTGGCAGCTTTGCTGAACGCAAATGTTGACGCCAGCAATAACATTTCCGTGCACCTTCATAGTAGTTGCCCAGAGAATTACATTATAACACGAGACCTTCTGATTGTAGATAGTTTGGGCGACCACCCAAAAGAGATGATCGAGTCAGCTCTTGTAGCCTCCCATCATTTAGAGTGAATATTCTGTTAGCCATGAGAACTGTTTCCAGGCGATGAGCAATCACCAACACCTATCAAGTGTTGACATTAAAGTGATTTAGTGCATGGGTCGGTGGCCCAACAGTAACAGCATCACCATAGAAAAGGAGTGATACTTGGACAAGCTAAAGGGAAAAATCCAATACTAACACCGAAAACAAGGAGACCTTTTATGCCCAAATAAACAGAAATGACCAAATTTATTTATTTACTGTTCTTATTATTAGGGGCCGGAAGAGGGATCCTTGAAGCTTGGACCTCAAGTTATTGGTGAGAATTGGTCGACACCAGCATGAACCCCCGAATGGGAAGAAATACAATTAATGTCACTATCTGACCTTGATAAGTCCTGATCAACCATAAACTGTCAAATTCGGTTCTATATAAGAATGGGTGGAAACAGTAATTTCCTCATGAAGTTCACAAAACTGATTTCACTCGGTGTATTGTAATAGTAAAGAGTTACAAAAAGGAAAATTTTATGAGAAAACAAAGGGAGCAGATTATTAAAAAATATTAAATAGGTGGGTTTTCAACTTTGGGATGATGATAAGGTGCCTAGTCTTCTCTACCATGCAAAAAAGGTACAATGTTCTCAGGAATTATCTTCTCTCTAATCATCATCAAGTAGGAAGTGAGAAAAGTAACTAATGAGATGCCGCTTTTTATATGGACCTTAACGTGCAGTATGCCGCTTTCTAATTATTATTACTTAACGTGCAGACCGCCAGGAATCTCATAAGCACACACGTTGTATAAATTCTATGAAGCCTAGGATAACAATGGGGACGTACTTGACAAATGGCTTTGATAATCTGAAACATCCAGATACATCCCTATGAAGAGAAAAACTTTAAGTAATAATAATTAGAAAAGCCACAGTACTCACAGTACGAGTTTCCATCAACTGTTGTAGGGCTTGTCTCACCAATAGCTCGGACCTGCTATCCAATGCAGAAGTTGCTTCATCTAAGATCAATATGGAGGGGTCCTGATAGACTGCCCTTGCTATAGCCAATCTGCACTTAAAATGAGGAAAAGCTAATGAAACTTGACAGCTTAGACTCTTTTACTAATTACTTTGAATTTGCCACGATGAAATAAGCTACATTCCTGTTGCCAGTCATTTAATTCAACAATAAAGGTGACTTGTCGATGTGAGCATCACCTTTGCTTCTGACCACCACTCAGAACTGATCCCCTAGGTCCAATATTTGTGTTATAACCCTCAGGAAGCTTTTCAATGAACTCATCAGCATTTGCAAGTTGTCCCGCAAGCTCAACTCTATCCATGTCAATACCATTCATGAAATCCCTGTACCCAATATTTTCGGCGACCGTTCCTGAGAAAAGAGTCTAGAACATGTGTGAAGGTTAGTCAAGTTTGCCATCCTTAAGATGGATACAATTAAAAAACATAAAGACAGGGAGATGAAAGTGACCAAAACGTATCTATAATTATATCAATAAAGTAGCCAGCACTACTCTATGGAGCTAGACAACTTCATGTCAGGTTTCCAAGAAGTACACCATTTTTCATCCGAATAACTCCTGGTAACAGTCATCGCATCCTTGATGCTTATAATCTTAAAAAAAAGGGCATGCAGAGGAATATCCTCCCCATTTCACTTACAGAGAAGTGGGGTATTATCAAGTACATAGTGCGGAAGCTCCAGCTCAACAATATAAGACTTACTTATGTGAACTTAGACATTATGAGTACATATAAAATAAACCTTCCATCACCAGCTACTTACAATATCTTGAGAAACTAGACAAACATGTCTCCTCAATGATTCCAACTGAATGTTCTGTATATTGTAGTTGTCCACATAAATACAACCTGTTAACATGAAAACTGAATAAGATTACATACAGTGATAAAAAGGAGTATAATTAAAAAAACAGCTCATCATTAAAACGTTCGCTTGGTCAACATAGATAGATCTTCATCTAAAGTAGTGGCCAACCAGATGAAGGATCATAAAGGCGAAGAAGCAGTTTCACAAGGGTTGTCTTTCCTCCTCCAGAGGGACCAACAAGGGCAACTGTCTCTCCAGCCTTGATATGGAGGTCCAGCCTGTCTAAAATAGGTGGCATATTGTCGCTATACCTAAAAGAGACATGACAAAATTTCAATTCTCCAGCCACATTATCTAGGTGGATCGCATCTGGTTTCTCCATAACCTGTTCTCCAAATTCACAAGGTAAATAATTAGACATCATCTAAGCATACCAAAGGGGAAAAAATGGCAAAGGAGAATTAGAAACACGAAGATCTTGCCAACCACAAAGTTCTGCAAAAGGAATTTCAAATGTTTATGATGTTGCCAAGGCTTATTACTAGACTTATGCGGAAGTAAAAGCTAGTTCAATTGTGCAATCAATCATAATTGGACTTTTAATTGCATGTAAAATTTTTTGCTAGATTCATAAGGAGGAGATTCCCATGGTTTGTGCCCTCAAATAAATTGTGACTTCTACATCAAATGCTTTTTCTCCAACTATTGGAAAACTCTCCCAGTTATTGGCCAAATCACATCACTTGTAAAAATAAGGAAAGCCTGCACCAGATTTACACAAAGTATGAGATTTATCAGGGAGTTCAGACAATCCACGAGTTGAGAATTAATTTTACAGAGCCTTTAGAAAATGAGTTCCCATGTACTCTGAGATGACTATCTTTGTTAATCTTTCTGTTTGACTGTGCACTATGCCTTGTGTGCTTGATTGTGCCTAAAATTACTATTTATCAAAAGAGAAGGAGCACACTCCATAAAAGAGATCAGAAATTTTTTAAATTAGCACAATAGATCAGACATGCACAATATTATTGAAGCATATGCACCTTATCCCAGCTTTCAAGAGAACAGATATTCAGATGAAGCAAGTGCCAGGATTTCCAGCTGGCCTGATGTGAAAACGCACTTACAAAGTACTAAAACCAATGCAAAGGCATAACCGTTTCATTGTGTGCTCCAGATTCTTACTCTCCTGTCACTTCCTAAAAGTCTTCATTTAAAAGATTAAAGTATCACATATAAACCCCAGAATATACCTTGGCTTCGAACCTCCCCAACTCAAACAAGCGCTCAATAGCTGGTTCTCCTTGCTTCAGTTCATTGTACGCTTTTCCAACATCCTGTGGTATTCTTTATTTTCAGATTGATAGCTTAGGATAGCTGCTAAAAGGTTGAACAGCACTTTAGCAGAGATAACAACAATAGATAAAATTAATTTAAGAGGGTATAAAGAGCATTGACAAGTGTTACACAGTTATTTATGAAACTAGCTTAGTCATGAAATATTGATGCAGAAAATAAAAGCTGCAAAATCTTCTTCACCAATAAGAGGTCAGAGAACTTGTAAATAGAAGCATGGAATATGTAAACATGAAAACCTTGTGAACAGCAGAAATTAACAAGGAAAGGAGCATATGAGTTGCTTGTTCCTGATATCTCACCTGAATCGGCTCAATTACGAGAACCAATGATGTGAGGAAAGAAACCATTCTACATCCATCAAAAGAGCCTTTTGAAAGTAACAAAGATCCGGCACAGAAAACGAATAGAGCTGCAACATAAATGGACTGTATAATCTGAGGAATAAGTGCCTTCATTTTCCTTTTTTTTCAAACGCTTAGTGAGATCAACATGAGCAAGCCTCTTGAATCTAGCAATCTCACATGGTTCTGCATTGTTTGCTTTCACGAAAAGAATAGCAGGGAGAACCTGAGCCACAAGCATGGTAAGTGCAATAGCTAATTAGCATAATCACTAAAAACATGGGAGCACGCATGGAGTTCAAATGACAATTGCACCCGGACAATTGGGGCTTGTATGCATATCTGGCTGGTCATTAGATACATCTGAATGCATCCTCATACAACAGATGAAATCAGAGACATTAAACCAATAATCCACGATGCGTAAATCATGCGTCAATCAAAGAATGGCACCAAGTAGCTGACACCCCTCATACCTATACTACTGCTGAGAAATCAATACTAAAGGGAACATAAGAAATTAGGCGCCCGAAAACCCAAATCTTAATGTTGTCAACAAGGTATGCAAACAGCAAAAAGTCTTAATTTTTCTTACAAGTCTCTGTTGTTCCTTTACTTCCAAATCAAAGGTAAACTTAATAAAGAAGTCTCTTCTCCTGCGACTACACTTGAAGCAGTATTCACGAAAAGGCAACAAACCTTACCGTAAGGATTCTAGATAGATCACTCTCACACTAGAAAAGTTTATTTTTGACTCCTCAGCATTCTTTAGGTTTGTAACATGCAAAATTTAAGTTATGCCATGAAAGATACCTCGTTCAAGTAGGCAGAGAGAGCAGCAATGCTGAGATTTGCCTCCTTAGATATCTGGCGCAGCCTTTCTCCTAGAAAGGCAATTACGAGAGCCATGCATGGAATTGCCTGCAACAAAACAAGACAATATCAATCAAGTACAAATTTGGGAAGTGTAAAATTAGAAAGTCACCAAAAAAAAATTCTCACCCACCGCAGCAGAAACAAGAGAGAGGGCGGGGCTGATAGTCAACATTTGCATTGCCATTGCAGATAGCTGCAGAGTGCTGGGTACTATGGTCTACAATGAGAAAAGGAATGCAATAAAATACATAAATCAACAACCTTCGGCATTTTCAAATTACATTTGCATTATTTTATCAATACTGACTCATATTCATCTTACTGAGCACAAAAAAAGGAAACCACACATGCATTGTAGGCGCACAACCAATTCTCTACCACTCTTGTTTGAGTTATCCAAAACCTTACAGTTTCTCAATTCACGATACAAATGGCGGTCACCTTATCCGTCCAACCCAATATCTATCCTTCCAACCAACTCATTCCTTCATCATACATACAGTTAAAAGTTATTAAGCAAGTACTAGCACCAGCATCTCCACGGCATTACTTACATTAAGAAGAGCATGAATCGTGTCAGCGACATCAGACGCCTCAGCTGTGATCCGGTACGCAATGTCCCCGGCAGAAACCCCGACCCCGCCTTCGAAGAACCCCAAATCCCGCTCCAGAACCCTCTCGAACACATCCACGCGGACCCTGTACACGGCGTTCAGCGCGGCATCCCATAGGAACGCGTGCTGCAGGTAGCTCGACACGACCCGAGCCAGCACCAGGACCCCCAGCGCGAAGCCCTCGCCCCTCAATCTCGCAACATCGGCGCCGGCGAAGCCTGAGGAGAACTTGCCGATCCGGGGGACGAGCTTGGAGAGAGAGAGCACGGAGGCCGCGCCGCAGAGCCAGCCGAGGAGGACGGGCCCGGACTGGGGAAGGAGGTAGGGCTTGAGGGACTGGAGGGGGAGGGATTTGGGAAGGGGAAGGCGAGAGGGTCCGATTGGATCGGCGACGGCTAGGGTTCCGGGGCGGTTCAGGCGGGGGGCGGCGACGGCGAGGCGGGGGTGCGTCGATCGGAGGAGCGCGGGATTGGGGTTGAGGTGGAGTTTGTAGGGTAGGGAAGAGGAGGAGGAGAGGTGCGGAGTGATGAGGAGATAGGAGAACATGGTGAAATCGAGGAGGAGGAGTTAGTTAGGGGAGCGCGGGAAAGGCAACGGCATATATGAGTGAGTTTTGCCAACTATTTTTTTCACTGTGTGAAATCGCATCTTCCCTATTCTTCTTCTTCTTCCTGCACAAATCGCAAACTCCGTGATGCATTGGACCAAAGTTGGGAACGAGTGAGATGAAATTGGGCCCAATTCCCTAAAAAATCTCAACTTTAGCCTTTGTCCCAATTATATCCCACACTTTTTTTTGTCTCATAAAAAATCCCAAACTTTCACTTTTGTCCCAAATCTACCCCATTAACTTTTCGTCCAATTTTTTAATATTATTTTTTTCGAATTGGTTTATTTTTTCTTTTCTTTTCTTTTTCCTTTCCTTTTCTTTTTTTTCACCTTCAACCTCTGGCCGGCGAGGTCGGCCCCGCCGGCCGCTGGTGAGGCTCGGTCTCGCCGGCGTTGGGCGAGGCCGACCTCGCCAATAGCCCTCGCTAGCCACGGCGAGGCTCGGCCCCGCCGGCAACTGGCGAGGCTGAACCTCGCCGTTGCTAGGGGCGAGGCCGACCTCGCTGCCAGCCGGCGGGGCCGAGCCTCACCAGATCTGGCGAGGGCTCGGCCATGCCGACCGCCGGCGAGGCCGACCTCGCCAACAGCCGGCGGCCGAGCCCTCGCCGGACTATCCTCGCCGTGGTCGGCGAGGCTCGGCCGAGGCCGAACCCTCGCCGTTCTTTGGCGAGGCCGACCTCGCCCCAGCGGCGGCCGACCTCGCCAATCGCCGGCGGGCCGAGCCTCGTCGTGGCCGGGCGAGGCTCGGCCCCACCGCCATTGGCGAGGTCGGCCCCGCCAAGAATCGGCGAGGTCGGCCTCGCCCAAAGCAACGGCGAGGTTCGGCCTCGGCCGAGCCTCGCCACCACCACGGCGAGGATAGTCCGGGCGAGGCTCGGCCCGCCGGCTGTATGGCGAGGTCGGCCTCGCCCAAAGAACGGCGAGGTCGGCCGAGGCCGAACCTCGCCGTTCTTTGGGCGAGGCCGACCTCGCCAATTCTTGGGGCCGAGCCTCGCCGGTGTCGTCGCCGTGGGCGGGCGAGGCTCGGCCCGCCGGCCGCCGGCGAGGCTCGGCCGACCTCGCTTGGCCTTGCGGGGCCGACCTCGCCAATAGCCGGCGGGCGAGCCTCGCCGGACCACGACGAGGCTCGGCCCCGCCGAGAATTGGCGAGGTCGGCCTCGCCATGCGGCAGGTGTGGCCGAGCCCTCGCCGGTCTCCGCGAGGCTCGGCCCCACCCAAGAATCGCAGCGAGGTCGGCCTCGCCCGAAGAACTGCGAGGTTCGGCCTCGCCTGTTGCCGGCGGGGCCGACCTCGCCGACCGGCCAGAGGTTGAAGGTGAAACAAAAAAAAAAAGAAAAGGAAAGGAAAAAGAAAAGAAAAGAAAAAATAAAAAAAATTCGAAAAAATAAAAAATAATATTAAAAAATTGGACGAAAAGTTAATGGGGAAAGTGAAAGTTTGGGGTTTTTTATGAGACAAAAAAAAGTTTGGGATACAATTGGGACAAAGGCTAAAGTTGAGGGTTTTTTAGGGAATTGGGCTGATGAAATTGGGGGTTAACTGCAATACGGAACATGAACTGTTTCAATTATTTACGAATGGTTTCGCAAAAAAACTGTTCCCATGACACTTGTTAAGCAACCAAATAAGCAAAATTGTTATGATTTCGGGTGCACTGATTTTTTCTCATGAAATGTGTACTCGGTGCTTCGGAAAATCAAATAGTTGCTCTTCAAATGGGTTTTACTAAGTTTTCTTAGGATATTTGTTGGCAAGACATCCATGAAATTAAGCATAATTTTAGGAACAAAGCACCTTGTGCAATGGATATATGGAACGTCTGCAAATTGTAGAGCGAGCAAAAGAGGGAGCATTCTGGCATGGATTGATTAACAACACTTTACCCTATTCTCGGTACATAACTGCCCGCGAAAACCGTAGGAAGGGCTGCGCCTCTTTACCATTATTTGTGTCATTGCCCCTGATTTATTGCACCCCTTGCAGCTCCCATTGCAGTAACAACTACAATGCAGCCTTTTGCAGTTCTCTCTCACGTTTCCATTGCCTTGGGTCGAGGATTCGAGACCATCGGAATCACTGAGCTAAAATAAAAACAAGCGGTAGTAGCTCTTTTTAGGGTAAGGATTTGGTGAGAAGATCTCCTAAAATAGTTTGGATAAAATTCACGCGTAATTAGTAAAGCTTGATCTATTATGCTATTAGAGCACTTCAATCACAAAATGCATTTTAACTTCTGGAAAAAAGTTTGGCCGAGTGACTCTTTTGCATAGCGCATGGTATGCCGTTGGAAACCTTATCAAAGCATTACGGTAAGGAGTCGATGTTATCAACGAGACCTCTTTTTACGCATTTTTACATGTTAGAACGTAAGTTCACGGGCCAGCCGCTAAAAAATTTATCAGTAAAATCATTCGATGAGATGATACAATAACAACTCGGGAAACTCTCAAGAGAATACCGTATTACAGCTATGACTACGTGTCCTGAGAACCATCCTCATTCCATTCCGGCAATGGCAGTTTTAGGAGCGATATCATGAACTACTTCCTTGACTTACTCAAAACTGAATCCGGGTAGCGGCGCGAACTATGAGCAATGAAATTTACTTGGCCCCAAAACCGCGAGGCACGGGCCTTGTTGATGCTGAGTCTGCAAATTGCCTCCTTGATTCCGATCTTCTCCTTCTCCTCGCAGTCCCAGGGGGAGCCTAGAATCACACCCAGTTAACTATTAAGAAAGTGGAAAAGAAGAGGCTAACAATCATTTAACGAAAAGCAGTGAGACTTGGGCAGGTTATTTGACGCCCTCAGTAACGGGCTTGCAAAAGCAAGTAAACTTGTTATTGTTACTTTGAATGTTATGATATAGAAACAGATTGGGAAAATGACACAAATAGTCCATGAACTTTGACTCAATGTGCAATTTGATCTCTGAACTTTTAATTTGTTCAATGTAGTCCCTGAACTTTAACCTAATGTTCAATTTGGTCCCTGAACTTTTGATTTGTTCAATGTGATCCCTGAACTTTTAATATGTGTTCAATTTAGTCCTTGAACTATTTGAAAATGTTCAATATAGTCCTTCCATTAATTCAAGTGCAGGGACTATATTGAACATTTTTATATAGTTCAGGGACTAAATTGAACACATATTAAAAGTTCAGGGACCACATTGAACAAATTAAAAGTTCAGGGACCAAATTGAACATTATGTTAAAGTTCAGGGACTACATTGAACAAATTAAAAGTTCAGGGACCAAATTGCACATTAAGTCAAAGTTCAGGGACTATTTGTGTCATTATCCCAAACAGATTCTCAACATTGTCAAACGACCACCACCAGCCATAAACATGCTTAGCCATACAAGTTGAAGTTCTGCAGGGTAAGCATCTCAAATTTGAGCAGCGGAGACCAAATGTTCCAGCAGATAATACGATAGACGATTAATGCCCCTAAAATCAAATTAGGTCACCTTTTGTTCAGATTTAAGCGACTCCTCCAGATTGCTCAGTGCAGGAATGGATCCACCTTCCATTATACCCATCAAATTCTTCATCCGCACGCGCATTTGAAAGAGTTGAGCAACAACTTGACTCACCTAATGTTGATTTCATTTGTTTTAGTAAGCACAAATACATTAGAAATCTAAGGGAAAAGTACAATTCACTCTAAGGGTAAACGAGATTGCTGCACCAAGCATAAATTCCAGAAGCAATCACAATTACCTGTTGCTCTGTTTTTCCAGAATCTTGAGCGACTCTTTTCCTCCTAACCAGAGATTCAGCTAGAAGCTCTGGCTTCTCCCTTTCCTCTAAAAAACAGACAGAACAATCAGCAACCTCTGACAGAACCAGTTTCAGTAAATGACAGAGAAATGAAACTATTCTTTTCTGAGAGGATGAATTCTATGATCAGCTTGACCATGGCAAGATTCACACTGAATCTATTTGAGTTTCACTGATCATATGAAAAGGACTGACAGCTTCAAGACGACCACTAAGCAAAAGTATACTACAAAAAGTGGAGTCCAAAGTGCATGACTGTGCACATTCCACAGAAAAAGTGATATGGCCCACATCACATGTAAGGGAGATCAATCTATCAAACTATAAGGGGCTGGTGTTACGACAGAATCAAGTGCAATTTAATTTAGAATTGCTGACATATGCTGATTCAGTCTGATAGACATGAAGAACACACAAAGCTCCAGTATGGTTGAAGATAGAATACATACCACAAACTAACATGTTCCAGAAAAAATAAATAAGCCACCGCAGCTTTGCAATCGCTGCTTCTTCTCGCAGTTTCTGTGTTCTGTTTATTGTGCTTCAAATTGCTACTTCCCCTTTTGGCCAAAAAAAATGCTTGTTCCCTAACATCCTCCTATTAGACCTATATGTATTGAAGTACTCCTTGACAATCTAATAGTTATCTATAAAGTGGTGTCAATTGAGATTTTATCAGAAGACAAAGTACAAACCAGGAGTCATTGCTTCGATCATTCCCTCCATAACCTTTAAGCTCTTCTCGGCTTCTCGAACTTGTGCAGGAGTGACCTGTTTGGTTCCAAGTATTCAGTTGAGCTTCTATCCATATATAATAGAATCAGGAACAGAGTAATGATATTACGTAATATTTGATCAAGCAAGCATTTTAGTAATGGTATTAGGTAATATTTGATCAAGCATTTTAGTCTTGTTTTAAATGGAAAGAAGAAGGATCAAAACCGACGACCAATTTGGTTCAGGAGAAGCTATCCAATGCACTATAAGATATATCATTACATTCTTTTTATTGTTTTCTCCTGCAAAGTTGAGGTAAAAGAAAATGTTTTCCAAATTGTTTCATTTTACTCTTATTTAAGAAGTAACCAACAAAGAATAACATTTCACTTCTAACAAAACTGTGAAGAACTTTCTGAAGAATTAAAAAAGTCCATAACATCAAACACTATTTCTGCAATCTTTACATACTATACAACCTAAGCCTTGTCCCCCAAAGTGGGATGAGCTATATGGATCCTTCTACACCATAGCGCTAAAAAATTTTCATCCTTATTTGCAGTTTCGGCTTATATGAATCCTTCTGCAAGTTCTCAATAATTAACCAATATCTTCAGTTTCAGCATAAAATGATACTTTCCTAGGGGAATTTCTGATTAACCATTAATCTCAGCCAAAAAGATACAGTGCACAAACAATTCTGCATACCTTTCCCATGCCAGGTATCATCCCAATGACCCTAGTCATCGAACCCATTCGTGCAACAGCACGAGTTTGCTTCAGGAAATCATTGAAGTCAAACTTTGCACTCATTATCTTCTTTTGCAATTCTTCAGCATCTTCTTGACGCATCTACCAAACCAAATAGTTAGGCCCAAATTAAGAGAACCTAGGTAGTTTTATAGGGAGAGCATAACATGTAGGATGAAGGAAGAGGATGCAGCACCAAAAGCATCATTTCTGGGACAAATCCTCAGACATTTTGGACTAATTACTTCTCCGCCAATATAAGCTTGATGAATATCATGTAAAGGGAAAGTGTTATTCGGAACTCACAACTTCTTGAGCCTTCTCTACGAATGACAGAACATCTCCCATTCCTAATATACGCCCCGCCATACGATCTGGATAGAAAGGTTCCAGGTCTTCTAGACGCTCGCCCCGTCCTACGAGTTTAATTGGTTTTCCAGAGACCTGCCACCATCAAGTATCATTAATACACTTCTGAAATGAGAGTTCGCAGAGAAACTTACTTTGTCAGTAGACAGCAATATTTTTGTTGAACACTGATGATACCAACTGTATACGACTGTTATAACATGTGTTTCAGACTTTCAATCTATCATGGCAAGAATACAGGAGATAGAGAAAGGTGCAGATGAGGAGCCACCAAATTACACTAGGAATATTGAAGTACATGAAAAGTAGAATTCCTGAGGCCAAGTAAAACGAGTACATTGGCATATCATTCAATCAAAAAGAGTTCCTCCAGTATATAGAAGAGGATGTGGGTGGATTTGTAGTTATTGTACTTCAAAATTCTGAATAGTTTTTCTTCAAAATTTTGTACTAAATGGTTTCATGTTGAAACGGTTCTGTTGGGAAAAACAAGTCAGTGTGGTATGCGCAGATTTAAGACAAGATGCTCCTAGCCCCAACAATGATGGCCATGGACATATCATATCTTACCAGAGGAACTTTGGCCTCAATAGAAGAGTCAAGAGAAACAAAGCTGTAGGAACTGCGAAGGGAATTGACCTGCCTCTGACAGGCATGTGATTCTAACTTTTGTGGGGCACTACCACACAAATATGCTTGGAAAAGTAAAAGCTCATGAAGTCATATGACTTTAAAGGGCAGATCATCATATGCTTCACTATTATATTATAAAGAAGAGAAAATTGGTGAAGCCAAACCTCTTTGACACTCAAGGCTGCGCCTCCTCTGGAATCTCCATCTAATTTCGTCAAAATGGCACCAGTAATCCCTATCTCAAGATTGAATGTTGTGAGCAGGGCTGCATAAGGAGAGAGATGAAACCAAATAAAATGATTTAACAACTTATTTTCTTTTAATAAGACATTACAATATAAGAATTGCCCTCTAACTGGCAAACACAACAACTTCAGCAAAATAATGCACGTCTTGAAAATTAAGACACCCCAATGTAATAGATCAGTGTTCATATAATGAAATCAGACATCTATACCATTTAGAATGGATAAGGAGGTGTGACCATTGTTCACATGTACATTAAGAAAGAAATGACACAAGAGTATAAATCCATTGCAATTGAGATGGCACAGTAAGATTTAAAAAGTAAGAATGTTTGAACACCTGCAGCTTCTTGTCCAGTCATTGCATCCACAACAAGCAACATTTCCGTTGGATTTAGTGCACGCTTCACTTCTTTCAACTCATCCATCATCGCTTTGTCTATCTATTTGTTAGAAAGAGAAGGTAAAGATATGCCAACATGGTAATTGGTATTCAAATTTTCGTTTCTCGATGATAAATAGTGCCCAGTATATAGTCATATTTGATCGGTTATGCATAAAGAACAGCACCTGAAGTCTTCCAGCGGTGTCCACTATAACCACATCTATGTTCTGCTTTTTAGCCTCTTCTAGACCTTGCCTAGCAATTTCTGAAGGTTTAACTTCAGTTCCTGCAGAATAAACTGGCACGTCTACCTGTGAAAAGATCCACATTAGTAGACAGCAGGATGTGATAGATTTCTATATTAACTTTTAATTTGGATTGTCAAAAGTTAAAATATCACTGCCTTGACAACCCAAAACTTCCTCAAGGATCATTGTGGAAACAGTCATGATCACAGTAGTCTTTGCCATGCATGCCAGCTTACCTAGTCTTTTGCTAGTCCTTAAAAAGAAATAGCACAATTATTAATTATAAAACCAGCTAGTTTGAAGTAGATAAAGAGGATCTCTCTTCTTCTTTTCCCCTAGAAATAACTTGCGAATAGACTCAAAATTAATGGCAATATTAATAGGAATTTATGAGATGCCGCCAAAGAAGAACTAGACTGAATCTTCCCAAGAGTTTCAGACTTGCCCTACGTTTTTCAACTCGACTTTAGGATTTAAGAACACCATTTCTAGTAGATATAAAGTCTGCCGTCTTGAAGAAAGAAAACAGGAGCATCTGTCAATTCGCCCACCGGGAAAGCACCTCTCTATCTGTAGGCTAGGCTGCTTCTCCGATAGTTAGAAGTGTAATCTCATTGATATAACAAAACTTTTTAATCTCATTGATATAACAAAACTACAAGCAGCACAGTAGCACTGTTCATACACCACAACAAAAAAACATAGGTCCGTGATAAAGGTACATGAAATATAAAGAAAAATTTGAACAATAAAAATCTCATGTTGCCTTGGCAGTAAAATAGAATGCAAATGAGAATTAGGTACCTGCTGACCCAAAATGATAAGTTGGTCGATAGCAGCAGGTCTGTATACATCTCCAGCAACCAGCATGCAACTCTTCCCCTGCAACCAAAGAATTGTTAATCATCTGAGCAAATCCATAGAATACTGCCCCAAAACTGCATGGAAGCAACAGCCAACCCAGGGATATGGGGGGAGAGGGAGAGAGAGAGAGAGAGAGAGAGAGAGAGAGAGAGAGAGATACCAGTTTCTTTAGATAGTAAGCCAATTTAGCACATACAGTGGTCTTTCCTACTCCTTGTAAACCAGCCAGTAGTATTACAGTGGGGCCAGATTTTGCAAACGCCAGTTCAGAAACCTTTCCACCCATTAATTTGACAAGCTCATCATGGACAATCTGAAGAAGATAACGATTCTTAGTTGCGTCCTTTGCAGTCATCATAAAATGTCATCTTTCATCAAGCATTATACATTTTTTTCATAACCCATTAGAGTGACAACTTAGCTCTGATGAAATTCGGGATCTTTGAGAGAAACTAAGAGTCTTATTGTACAAGAGATAAATCAGAGTTTTTCGCGCCAAAAGAAAAACTTAACAAAAAGCTTGTGAGAACAGAGTAGGCTAGCAAATGTTCCCAAAATTTAGGAAAAATAAAATATAACAATATGATGACATTATTTTTTCGGGTTCCTCTTCTTTTTATTCTATATTAGTAAAGGTTCTTCATTTTTTTTTTTTTTTGATGACCCGGGAATCGCCGTACAGCCGACAGCCGGCGACGTAAACCCGGGTGACGCTAGCGCAGGACCCACTACCACGGCGCCACACTTAAGAATCCCTAACGACTTAAGAATCCCTAACGACTACGCTGGGATTCGAACTCCCCACCCTTCGTGAGGGGCAGAGAGCGCGAACCAACGCAGCCGCTGCGGGCGGTGGTGTAAAGGTTCTTCATTGGTAGCTGAATAAAGATATAATTAAGCTCACTTTTCTTTTAAATAAATAACCAGTACATTTTCGTAAACACTGTAGACATCCTACCTTGACCAATTGTTGATCTGGCTTTACTCCACGGATAAGGCCGACACCAACAGCTTGGTCACTGACAGATTGCACAAACCTTCTAACGACTGGAAGGCTTACCTGTGAATATAAGATGTAACAGGCATGCTTCTTGCCTCCAAAGACAGAATTTAGCTCAAGCTAACAAATGAACGCACTCACATCTGCTTCTAGAAGTGCTCTTCTTATATCCCGCATGGGTTCAACAATGTTTTCTTTTGTCAAAGTTTCTACAATAAAATTGCCATGAATGGTATAGTCAGTACAAAAGAAAGGTATGGACTTCTACACTCTCAGATTCAGAGTGCAAAAATCATTTTTCACCATTCCACTGTAGTGAAGGAGTGCATTTGATCATTAAAGAAAATGGTAACTTGACTGAGATATGCTTTAGACAATGTAATCATTGATTGCAGAAATGCAGAGAGAGAGAGAGAGAGAGAGAGAGAGAGAGCTATAACTGAGAAAACAATTGAAGACAACATACTGCTTCGATACGGACAATACCCTTCGTGCATCAGATCTCATTTAGTCACCCCAATAAAATGTAAAATCTCTAATCGGATCTCACAGTACTTGGAATCAAAATAACGCGTTCTTTTTGTTTTTTATATGGGCTCAAGGATCGACTTTGACTGAGAAGTATAACAGAAAATCAAATTACAGAAAAGAAAAATCCTATATGATATAGAGTTTTACATTGGTAGAAAACTACATTCCACACACATGTATAATTTTTGCCGAAAGATGATTTCATTCATCTGCAATTTATATTTTTTCAGGTAATACTCACACTCATACTGACTAATATAGTCTTGTTAGAACATACTCGATGACTATGCAGCTGCATGGTTACAAGAAGATGGAGACGGGGAAATTGTTAGCTTACATTAAAATGTGAGCAACCATATGGCATCAGATCACTATATGCCTTTGGAAATTTCTTATTAGTGAAATCCAGATTTAATTAATTGGAACCAGCAGAAAAAATTACAGATCATTGTGTGTTAAATTAAAGCAGCAAGAAAAATAAGAGCAGAGATGTGAATGATGAGACAGAAATGGAAGACGTTCAGATCAGGTAATGAAAGTGCTCCCCATACACATTTAAAATAACCGCATTGTCCTTCATATTTTCTCATGCAAAATTAATTAACATCATATTCTGGAGTCCATCGCAATTTTTGGTAAAAGTTTTTGATGGGAAGTGTCACCAGGAATTTGCTCATGGTGTAGCAAAACATTGCAGAGATGTTATGATCCTTCTCTCCACTGGCTACTACCATCAATGGTCCTTTAGATTCTGCTCAAGAAAACCATACCTCAACTACAAGCACACTTCAGTAGCAACCCCCTCTCTTCAAAATTCGTTCAAATTGCTAAATCTTTCTATTTTCTGTCATTTGAGACTGATCTAGTGATAAGTAAAGCTGCTATAAATAGCAAGTGACATCAAGTGCAAGATTGAAATGCTTAAACAACATGGTGAAAATAGTAGATATCTAGATTGCATATTCCAACACAAGTGTCCAATCATTGACAGCAAGCCTAACCGCATCCTCTTCTGGCCAAGCAAGTTTGATCTAAGACAGCAATATGTAACAAGCCAATGACGACATCAACAATGCGAGAAAGGTAAATAAATCCAACCTTCTCCTTTGAGCTTGTTCCAGGCTGCTTCAAGGCCACCAGTTAACTGCCCAAACATTTCAGCTCGAACAACGCTCCGCATATGTCTCTCGACAGTAACACTCTTTGAGTTCACCAAAGCCCATATCTCTCTCTGTATGCATTTGAAAACAGCAATTAGAAACAGGACCAAAGACCAATCCAATTCCTCATTCATGCCCAACGAAATTCGGCAAGCATCCCTACTTCTGCCATTGACAAATTGCCAAAGCAAAGTTAACTAACACCATATTTGTCAATTTCTTTTCTCTCTCGGAACAGGTTAAACATGTTTCCAGATCAATTTTTCTCAACAGCCAAACAGTGACTAAGAATCGGTACCGCAATTCCCGCCGCAGCAGAAACCGACTCACAGCAAAGATGACTACTGCTAGTTCACACCATTTAGTTCACTCTTTCCACAAGAACGATCGCGCCAAAAGATAATTTCCTAACGCCACTTCCTAGCTAATCCCGAAAGCGATCGAGCCAAGCCACGCGAACAACAAACTTACGGCGAAGATATTCCTCGGACGGAGCGAAGTCGAAGTGCCGAAGCCGGTCCAGGAAGAGCAAAGTTTGGGTGAACGGCTCGTGCATTTGGAGGAGCGGAGGCCTCCGTTCGCCGAGCGAGTTTGCGCGGCGCTGGCGCCGGCGCCGGCGCCGGCGACGGCGAAGTGGCGGGAAGCGGCGGAAGAGACGTGCACGGCCTCCATCGCCGCCGGAGGTCTTTGCTCCCGGAGCGAAGCTCGTGTTGCCTCCTTGCTGGTTCGATGCTTGCTTCTTCGTCTGTGCAGTTCCCGTATTATCCACTGGAAATCCGTTAGTTCTATCTCGTTGCTGCCTGGCCACGGTGTTTCGCGTTCCATGGTAGTCAGTTTGCTTCCCAAGATCGCAGCCGTTGAAAATGTTGACGAGGGAGCTCGTCAACAGACCGGACGTTTCGAAAGGGTCGCGAGTTTACCAGTACCGGTAAATTTTCGTGTCCATGGAAATTCTTTTTCTCTTCTCCCACACCAAGTTTTCAATTTTTATTATCTCGAGGAAAAATACATAAAATGGCATTGTAAAGTGGTACCATTAATAATTAATATAAGTCATTTACATGAATATATATATAATTTAATAAAGGGGTTTCTCGTCCTAATATACCGTGTTAGCAAAAGTGACAAGTGAAAAAACGTATAGAAGTGATCACTCAAGACAAAAGTCTCGATTTACAAGTACTCTCAAGAACCGATCTCAGTATAGATTCAAATAAGTATTGATGAGAATAAGATGATCTGACATAATGTAATTACCAAAGAAAATTATACTTTTCATAATGAAATTTCATCGGATATAATGTAATTACTAGCATTTAATTCCGCGCATGCATAATTAATCTCTTTTTTAAATATGCGAAAATTACGGTAAGAATAGTCATCATTCTTAGAATTCGTAAGTGGTCTAATAATGGAAGTTGAGATCAACGGAGTAACCAACATATGGAAGTCACATACCACTAAAAATCGTATGGACTCACGATTTTATCCTTTAATATTCTCGACTCTCTTACAACAGAACAGGGCCAAGCCCTAAAATTGTTTTAAATAGGGACACGATTAATATCATATCGAATCGGGTTTATTGGGATGAAGTTGCCACTTCCAGGGGTATCTTGAGATAAAGTCCTTTTTTTGGGGAAATTTTGATAAATTGGCATTAATTCGGGGGCAGTTATTTTTTGGAAAATCTCCATGGTATTTGCGTTATCATCCCTCCTTTTTCCACCGCGTATCGGATTCGCATCGCCTCGCTTGGAACCAAGACACGAGCGTGAAGAGTAGAAGAGCTGACTCGCACTGTTATGCGAAGGCAATGCGCCAAGCAGAAGATCCTCCCCCCGCGCGCCCCGCCTCCTCCCGCCTCCGCCGCGAAACCCTCGCAAACCCACGGCGGCGCGACCGCCCCGACGGCCGCCCCATGGAACACCCGCTTGCGAGAGCTCTCCAAGCACTCCCGCTTCCCCGAAGCTCTCGCCCTGTACCGCCAGATGCTCCGGTCCGGCGCTCCCCCCAACGCCTTCACCTTCCCCTTCGCGCTCAAGTCCTGCGCCTCCCTCTCGCTCCCCGCCGCCGGCGCGCAGCTCCACGGGCACGTCCTCAAGGCCGGGTGCGAGGCCGAGCCCTTCGTGCTGACTTCCCTGATCTCCATGTACTCCCGGTGCTCGCTGGTTGACGACGCCCGTAAGGTGTTTGATCGTTGTCCCCAGTCGAGACGCCTCACCGTTTGTTACAACGCTTTGGTGTCTGGGTACACGTCGAATTCCCGGTTCTCGGACGCCGTTTCATTGTTTTGCCGGATGAGGGAGATGGGGGTGTCGGTTAACTCGGTCACCATGTTGGGTTTGATCCCTGTTTGTTCCCTCCCCGTGCATCTGGGCGTTGGGACGTGTCTTTATTGCTGCAGCGTAAAGCTTGGTTTGGACTGCGATTCGTCGGTTGGGAATTGTTTGCTGACCATGTATGTCAAATGCGGGTCGGTGGAGGATGCCCGGGTTTTGTTTGACTCGATCAGTTGTAAGGGTTTGATCACGTGGAATGCGATGATTTCTGGATATGCACAGCATGGACTTGCTAGCCATGTTTTAGACCTTTACGAGGAGATGAAGTCGTGTGGGATTCGACCGGACTCTGTGACTCTTGTTGGAGTTCTGTCCTCCTGTTCTCACCTCGGTGCATACCACATTGGCTGCCAGGTAGAAAGGCAGATAGAGTCGAGCGGTTTTAACTCCAACCCGTTTTTAGATAATGCGCTTGTCAACATGTATGCCAGGTGCGGCAAATTGGCAAAGGCTCGGGCTGTCTTTGATGCCATGCCCGAGAAAACTGTTGTTTCTTGGACAGCTGTCATAGGTGGATATGGGATGCACGGACAAGGAGAACTTGCAGTCAAGCTCTTTGAAGAGATGCTGCAAGGTGGAATAAGGCCTGATGGAGCAGCATTTGTTAGTGTTCTGTCCGCATGTAGCCATGCAGGGTTGACTGATGAGGGTTTTAAGTACTTTGATGCGATGGAAAAGAAGTATCTCTTGCAGCCTGGTCCAGAGCACTATTCTTGCATGGTGGATCTTCTAGGTCGGGCAGGTCAGCTAGAAAAAGCCCTCGATCTTATCCATACGATGCGGGTACATCCCGATGGTGCGGTATGGGGTGCTCTGTTGGGTGCTTGTAAAATCCACAAAAATGTGGAGCTAGCAGAGTTGGCCTTCGAACGTGTCATTGAACTCGAGCCTACCAATATTGGGTACTATGTTTTATTGTCAAACACCTATAATGAGGCCAACAACATGGATGGCATACTCAGGGTCCGGATGATGATGAGGGAGCGGAAACTCAAAAAGGAGCCCGGCTGTAGCCATGTAGAACACAGAGGGAAAGTTCATCTCTTCTTAGCAGGGGATAGAGGTCATGCTCAGACGAAAGAAATATACAGGATGTTGTACGAACTCGAGGATTGGTTGAAGGAGATTTACAATTTGGACAAGAATTATCTGGAAAGGAGAGATGACGAGCGGTTGTCTGGCATGGGGGTCCACAGTGAGAAGTTGGCCATCGCATTCGCACTCTTGAACACGAAGCGTGGGACGGAGATTGTCGTAATTAAGAATCTCAGGGTTTGTGAAGATTGTCACTTGTTTATAAAGTTGGTAAGCAAGGTAGTGGATCGTCAATTTGTTGTCAGAGATGCGACTCGCTTCCATCATTTCGAGGGCGGTGTCTGCTCTTGCAAAGATTATTGGTGAAGTGGTCAAATGTAACTCAGAAGGAACGCGAGTCAGGAAAGACGGGGCAACTTCTTGTTGAACCAGAGTGCAGGAGACTTTCGGGGTTCTTTTGAGTTGGTAATTTGGCAGTGCCTTATGGAATGGAACTTCCGAGATTATTGAGAATCGTCCTTTTGATCGGAAATAGTAGCTCATATTCCTGCATTGCTGATATTCCAACTGAAGTGATTCCTTGTCGCTATTAAGCCTTTCTATCTCTTCCTTCAATCCTCGTGTCTGCTTCAGTTAATGGAAAAGAACTTCCCTGATTTTGGAGATTGTGAAGGGAATGGCTGTGGACTGGTTTACGGATTTTCTTCAGAAGCTGCGGCTGACTTCTTATAAATCCTCGTCCACAAGTCAGATCGTGAGCTTGATCCGAGTCCAGTGTCGGCGTTGCCGTCCTTGGGCGACCCTGGATCTGGTGTTGCCCAAGGCCGATGATGCAAAAGGTGGCTGTCACGAGCGACGTGGCTTCAAGGAGAGAGACAGTGACAGAGCTCGTGTGAGCCAACAGGGACGTGAGGTGATGGGCGACGGCGGGAGGACTCCATGCGAGGGCCGACAGCACGGGGAGGTGGCACAATTGCCGGCAGCGACCAAAGTTTTTTTTTTTGGCAGTGACCGAAGTTGGAGAGAAAATGCTGAGAAAAATATGTTTTTTCAATTTGAGCGAAATGAATTGTACAACCGAAATGTCGAATCGCCGATTACATGTGAGATGCACGTCGGATCTTTAATTGAATCACTGGACAATATATTGACAGGAGACAGATTTCAATACCGACGGAAAGTAAAATTTTTTTGAGACGAGAGAAAAAGTTTGGGGCCGGAGCTGCAACCCATGCTAAAATTTCCCACCACATTCTTGCAAAATCTTTCTTAAATCAATATACTTTTTTTCTATTCTTAAGCGGATCAAGAACATCGGACGGATTATGGATTTGACCCAACATCCACACTAGTGAGATTCTTGCTGTCAACTATTATAGCATAGCAATACTAGCAATAAACGTTACCCAAATGGACAAATAATCTGTCCTCAAGTCAAGCCACTAATTACAACGGCATCGGGTCCAGAAATAAGTTCATCTCGCACATACGGTACTGTTTTCCTCACGGTTAACTTCATTGGAGTAGGCACTTCGCCTGTAAACAACAGCAAATATTAACCATTACAACAGTTACTTGGTCCTACTCGTGACAGAGGCCTGCTTTACCCCTAGATGTACAGTGAGAATTAAGATTATACCTTCAACAGCTTCATCCTTTTCCATGCAGATGGCAGCGTAGTGAGAGCCTGCTAATTCCAGCAGAGCAAACTGCCAATTGCTGCCGAAGCTATTAGCGTCCTCGAGAGATTTCACAGTTATCTCACCCTGAGCATATTGTAAAGTTAAATGCAGATTCAAGAGTTCACAAAGAATAGGCATCACTTGATGAATTGTAGAGATGAAAATGAGCAGAGTAGGATAAAATCAAATCAGAAAGTCGTATTATAGAGACATTTATTCATTTCATAGGAACCAGATCAACACCCCACCAGGGCCATCCAGATAAAGAAGGAAAAACATGCCCGAGAACATTTTCCAACAGTTTATGTGAAGCATACTAAGTCAAGTAGATTAAAAAAATTATTATAATTGAATAAAAAGAAGAATGAGTCTCAAGGCATGAAATGTAGTGCATAAGAAGCCCATCAAAATATTTTCTATATTGCTATTGGGTTTGCTATAGTCCTGCAATAACAGAATTTAAGGTCTCAAGAGGAACATGAGGAAAGCAGGTAATTTCAGCAGCTATGCCGTAAGAAAATGCAGAAAAGCATTCCAGATCTGCGACTTGCTGCAGAACTTTTAGATTTGGCCAAAGATGGAAAAAAGGAATGATGATGGGTCGCTCAATTTTGTAAGTGAAGCTCAAATGTGAATTCTGAAGTAGTAGGTTGCAGTTCCATAATACAATTCCTTTTCATACCACGTTATTTTTTTCACCAGATGGACAAGAGTCTCCCTTCTCGGCAGTGCTGAACTGTATGGTAAACATTCTGAAAGGTAGTCCAGAGAAGCCTCTTCCCAGTGCTTTAACATAAGATTCCTGGAGAAGAGCTTCATATAAATGGAAGATTACCGAGAAAGGCTACTTAAGCCCTGTGAAACTTGATATAACATTCGTAAATGTGATGATTATGTCCTCCGCACCAAGTCAATAATCTGATCAGGAGCATTTGCAACAATTCTTTTTGAAAGTATTGCATACATAGTTTCTTAAAAACTTCACACCTTACATCAGATTAACCCAGAAGCATGAAATACGGTATATGTTCACAAACCATGACCAATTCAGCAACAACTAATTTTCCAGGAAAAAGCAATAGTAAACAACGCAGAAAGGAGGTGCATGTTGTCTTTAGGAGGACAGAAAAAAAGAAAAGAAAATGCATCACGAATACAACTATTTTCTCTGTTGAAGGCCACGTGGCACAAAATTAATACTAGAAGTAATGAACAGAAAAAGAAAAAGAATCGGAAGCAGATGATCGTTCCAGAGTATCTTAACAAACCAGTATGAACTTTCAATAATAGAGAGGATCCGGGTACCTTTAGAGTCCATAATTTCACAAAATGCTGATGCTGAACTCCAGGGTCTGAAATTGAACTCAAAAATTTCACTTCAAGCGGAGTGAAGTACCTCCTAGCAAAGGCTAAAATATTGTTCTTCAATTTCCTTTGCTTTTCTTCAAGATCAACACCAATCTACAAATTAGAAGAGCAGGATGCAGGGAATCAATATCATCAGTAGACTATCAAAGAAACTTACGATGAAGCAGAAACTTATAATTGCTTTGCAAGCTTAAGAGAGTACCAACCGGTGAATCTACAGTCACTCCGCAAAGTATAAGAGAAGAAGTATGCGAGATGTTAAATTGTAGCCGTGATGCACACTGGAATTGATCCTCATCCCAGTCCAACTACCACAAGGTATAGAAAATCATCAGACAAGTTACTGCAGCAAAGTTTAAAATCTCTAGCCATTGAAGTACAAACTCACCTCGGGTTTTCCATGGATGTTCTTCTTAAACTTCAAGGATCTTGGATTAACTTGGCCATTAATCTGATCTAATATAAAAACTTACTGCTTAAATGCATCGCATTACCTCAACCTATTACTAAATGAAGAAGATCAAAATCTATCCATGTGACTATGACACAAAAATAAAAACTCTAGTTGTAGCAGCACAGAAATAAACAATCTCCATAAAAAACATTAAACAAGTAAGTAAAAGGTTCTTTTCTCCTTATACAATGAAAGTGAATGAGGTTGCTAGGAACTTATAGAACCAGTGCTACGTGGACCACAACACATAAACGTATAGATCTGCTAGATTGCTACTGGCCAAAAGTTGACTGGATTCACTGACACTGATCGCAAATAAGAGAAAAAGCTGCAGACGAAACAAGGGCACATAAGGAATCAGTAGGAATGAGCTTACATCTTGCAATGGTAGTTCGAACAAGGACACGGGCCAGCAAAGCTGCCTTTTGGAGCTGCTCCCCCCGCATGCGGGAAACATTCTCCTTCTCGCATGGTGATAAAATATCTAAATAATTACTTAAAAGGGATGAGCTTTTCACTTCATTGGGCACAACATACCAGAGATGCGCCTCCCTATCAAAAAATGAATAAGAGTTCTTGATTGGCTCAATCATAAGGTTATTCGGATATAAAAACCATAATTCACAAGAAAAAAGAAAAGGTATGCCACACAAATTGTATTCTCATTTCTACAAACAGCGCACACCGTCGACATCCCAAGGTTTCCAATGCAATTAAAGATCCATAGTGAAGGCGCTGAAAAGTTTTAGATGCTCGATCATAAGGTTATAAAGCATACGGAAACTATAGTTCACCAGGAAAAGAAAGAATGCCACAAACTGCATTCTCATTTCTATAGCATATACCGACAATGTCCTGGGGTCTAGTTATCAGTGACGCAGAGCGAAGGCACCAATGAGCTTCCAACTCTATCGGGCTCAGAGGGCAAGGTAATGAAAAGGAAGAGTATCTCACATGCGCGAGGGAAGTGGTACCGGGACCAGCGGCGACAATGCAGCACAGAAATTCCTCTGGAAGCAAACGGCGTTCATGGCGGAAATCACCGCGCGCCTGAACAAGATCATTCAGCACGAGAGCTCCCGGGGCGCTCTCCAAATCCTAAGCGCTCCCGCGGGGACAAATTCTACCTACAAACGACGGCGACAACGACAAGGACGACAAAGCGATGAGCCGTCACGACAAGACAGCAGGTGTCGACACATGAAATCTCCGACAAAAGCAATTCGCGTACGCTAGAAAGCACCGCCCGTTCGCGATCTGACAAGCGCGCGCACAGAGGGGAGGGGGGCAACGCGACGCTCACCTTGGTTTCGAACGGCCGGCCGATCGGCGAGCTCGCCGCGGCGAGGCGGCGGCGGCGGCGGCGGCTCCCGGTTGCCGAGCTGTAGAAAGACGAGAGAGGCGGAGGGAGAGAGGACCTTCGAACGGATGGGAAATGGCGTTCTACCCTTCTCCTTCGACGGAGAAAACAAGCTCATCAGTTCCACTCTCGACCAATCTCCGACCGAGGGGAGATGGGAGCTCGAAAGATGGGCTCAGCCCAGCCCCATTTTTGGGCCCAAATGGGCCAGAGCTGACATTTCAGGCCCGTCTTATTTTATTTATTTATTTATTTTCTCGGTCGGTCGGGGCATTCTCGATTCCCGAACACTCAGGGCAATCAGTTCCTAGGCGGTCCTATTCCCAGCCAGGAACCAGACTGGTGGGACCGGTTCCTCGTTCTTTGAAACCGGGTCCGATGTTTGGTGGATAAATGGAACCGGTGCCATATATTTTTTTTCTTTTTTAAAGGAAATTGCACCATATCGATTCTCAGCACTATCTTATCAGTTACTAGATAACTGATAGGATTTTGGATTTTCTTTACAGCCAACCTTCTTATGGCCCATGAAGATGAGAGAAGGAGACGAAGGAGTGTGAATCAATGAGGAAAAGATTTGGCTGTGGCTAAGTACGGAGGGATTATATATAAGCCAATAGATGAGATGATGCATGGGATAATTACATAGACAGTTTTTGAACTTTAGCACAATGTGTAATGTGGTTCTTGAACTTTTAATTTGTTCAATGTAATCATTGAACTTCAATTTAATGTTCAATGTGATCTCTTAACTTTTATTTTTTCAATGTGGTCTCTGGACTTTTAGTACATATTTAATGCAGTCCCTGAATTATATGAAAATATGCAATGTAGTCCATGGACTTGAATTGAATATGTACCAAAAATCTAAGGATCACATTGAACAAAGTAAAAGTTTAGAGATTACATTGAATATTAAGTTAAAGTTTAAGGACCACATTGAATAAATTAAAAGTTTGAGGATCATATTGCACATTTTTACCAAAGTACTGGAACTATTTGTGTCATTTTCCCACGATGCATTTAACTCTCCGGTCCATGAAAGTGAGAGTCATACTCATCATAAGAAAAAAAAACACTCTGTCTTCTTTTGAAACTCTTTCTTAACTCTATGGAATTGGCTTAGTGGTTAAAGAATGAAGTTTTGTAGATAGACTTGACACACATAACACAGGTTCGAGTCCCTACACAACAAAATTCAAACATTCCTTTATGTTGACCATCTACTCGGATTTTGACTGACATCTTGACTGGTCATATTGAAGAATAAACTAACACAACCCATTGTACTGTGAATCCAAAGTCTACTTGAAGCAAGGGTCTGCTTTCCTTCACGTTAATTGAACACAAAGGACTGGGATGATTCAGTCCGAGTCTAGCAGCATGTTAGAAATGCACAAGGGACTGTTCCACATGATGTGAGCCTGTGAGGAAATGTTCCAGAACATCAACAGATAAAGGACCTCTTTTTCTACAAGCACACGTTGAGATTAGAAAACAAAAGCACTTCTCAAAGGACAGTAATACATAGCATGCCAACTTTTGGTCAGTTGGGCAATTTCCCAACCCAAATCGAACCCACCCGTGGACCCAGACCCCCTTCATCGCCAAGCCTCCCTTAACTCTGCCCTCGGATTTATGTTACCGATGATTTTGCCCTTCTCGGCCGGTGTTGCTTTCTGAATGATCTGCACCTCTTTCACCTTCATTGATCCTCTCCTGAAATTGGAACTGCTCTTTGGAATGATCCTCAGCACGGCCCCATTTGAACCGCCCGAAGGACCGTTGCAGACTTCACTCTTTAGCGAACCGATTTGGGAGGCAGCTTCCCAGGGGCAACTGTCAACTAGAGTGCGGTTTCCACTGGGGATTATATTCTCAATGGAGGATAACTTTTGAGGTTCACTTCCGGTTAAAAGTTCGTTATCAGCAGAACGAGAAGAACACTCCGCAGCAGGTTCTTCCTTCACATAAAGTTCCTCTTTTCTGCGTCCCTCTTCAGCTTCGGCTTCTTCGGACAATGGGACAGAAGAACTCTGGGGCCCAGTGCCGTCAGAAGGATCCACATTAAGAGGAGGCGGATATTCAACGGGGGAGTCGCCTCTTTCTCTCAGCGTCTTCTCAATAAGAGTTCTCAAGAAGTTCATCACTTGAACAGCATACATCAAAGCTGTTAAGGGATCAGCCATCTGCTCAAATAGCACAACCATATGAATAATGTATTAGACTATGTGCTCATATAGATAATTCAAACAAATCTTACTCCTGTTAGAAACGAAGAATTGCAATTCCTTTAAAGTCTGACTTCCATTTGAATTTGATGAGAACAGAGTGTCGTGTAGGTTTTAATGTAAATCTATCGACAATCATGCGGGACCATCGATCCCGTTGACTCCAAATTTAAAGGCCCTAGGCACCAGCATGCTAAGTCACCATCATACTGAAAACATGATCCACTCACCTTCGTCATGTTGGGTGCGAATACCACGGCGACGTTCCGTGCATTCATCTTGTTCAAATGGTCAAACTGAACAATGTCAGCCATTAGATTGATGGCCCAATCGAAGAGAGCGGCTTGCATTGGGGGGAGGAGCGTCACGAGCCTAGCACAATCCTCTTCCGACTGTGAGTGCATTACCTGTTCTGGCGAGAGCGAGTCCAAAATGCCACTGGGGAGTTCTCTAAACCAAGCCTGGACAAAGACCAATTTCATTCATCAAGAAGAAAAGACACCGGCAAAATTCAATCACAGACCAATCCAGCGACCTTGAAGAACACATTTGGGAAACTTGTTTCTCTTACAGGTAAATCAACAACTTGTGAAAATTGGTAACCCTATGCATCCGTGACAGCCAGCCAGACAAGCACATATAAAAAATTTGATCTCGAGATTAATTTCTATCAGAAATCAAAAGCTACACACTTCAAAGAAAGGCCACAAAAGTCACCTTTATAAGACCAGCCAAACAGTGCACGTCAATACCGTCAGGTACCACTCCTCTGTTCAATTGCTCTCTAACGTATTCCTCCTGGCCATTGTCAGCATTAATCCTGAAAATTCCCTCCGTCTGAACAATAAAAGACAACATGGTCAAACATTGCAATTAAGGAGATCAATAGACCCCACATGTTTTCCACGATTTGCAGCAATCTTCCAAAACAAACAGTGGTTATGCTCAAGGAAGGCAGGCACTCATAGGAAGGAACTGAATTCAAAGCAAAAGCTTTGAAACCGGAAGATATGATAAAAAAAGAGAGGATATGGAATTACTGTTCCATCTAGGTACCTGGAGGCCTCCTTGGGCATACAAATGCCTCTGCATCAGGAGTAGTATCGTAGGCACGCTATTCCCTCTAGAATCGAATGAAAGTTGCATAGACTCCGTCGAAACGCCAAAGACAGTCGTGCTGCAGATACGAAATAACAAACACATTATTGATCTGGCCAACAAAAAGCTACAAAACCGAGTGCAGACATTTTCTGGCAGAGAGTATAAAAATAAACGGTTTGATTAATCTTTCATTGCTGGGCCAGGGTACAAGAAACTTTCTTTTGTTGCATGGTGTTTGTCAACATGACCACAGAGAGGCCTTGATTTGCAGAGGACAATGAAAGATCCAGACTGCAATGACACAGAGAAGGACACATTTTGCTCCAACTGATTTTATCTTCCTTTCTCCATTATTTTGCTAGCTAAACTGATTTTCTCATCATAGTACTCAAGATCCTTCCGAAACAGTAAGTATCATCAAGAAGATGATTTTTATGCCGACAAAGGAGTGATTAGTCTAGCCGATAGTACATCAAACGGCCAGAAAGTCAATTTTAGATGGCTCCCACCATGATGTATCCACATAAAAGCAGCAGTAAAATTGCCAACCCTTGAAGGTAATTCATTTATGTAAAAGATAAAACTCAAACCATTGATTGATTGCGGACAACAACAGAGAATAATTAGTATAGGACAAGCTAATTTAGCTAATCTTTTTGGGCCAGAAAACATCGTTCATTCAGTAATGGATTTTCAACACAAACAAACACAACTCATGGTGGTTTACATCTCCATTCAGATATCAAAATTTGAAAAAGGAGAAAATATAACTTTTATTTGGAGAAAAGTAACACAGTGTTGGTGATAACTATATACATGTTGACAGAAAAGTAAAACAAGGAGAGAATTGGGAAACTGACAATCAGCTCACTTTGATAACTGAAATTTAAACCGCACAAACAATTGCTTTCCTCGAACAAAGAAAAATAGATCGGTGATACATGGTTAGATAACCGCATCCTACAGCATCTTCACTACGCAATATCTACCAAAAGCACAAAAACAAAGGAAGCATTTTCAGCTACAAATTCTGGTGACTCAGAAGATGCTGATCAAAGGATCTAATCATCAAAGCCATATAAGTTGCAAGCAAAAAAGGGACAAGTAGGGCAATCCATGTATCTTACTCCCCAACAAACTTCTAAATTTATGCATAAGAAGAGAGATGAACTAGAATTACCCCAGAATTTGTACTGGAATGCTCCTTTTGTTCAGACAAATCACAATCATCAGACCCCCATAACACAATTTTCCAAAATTCAACATAGAAAATGCCATATAATACCCCCAAATTCGAATTCCCAATGCAAAGAAGGAAAATACCAACTTCAGAATGCATTTGATCAAACAACCAGGCCTCTTCCCAAGAAGAAAAATGGACCCATCAACAAGAGAATTTTCGAAATGAGAGAATTTTCAAAAAGAGTCACCTGGCACTTGGGGCTCTTCTGGGAACTTCTGGCTCAAACTCCACAGGAAGGCCAAGAAACCCATCAAACCTGTCGAAGGTGACATGAGCAACATGCCTAACATCAGTGGGCACACCAATTTCCATTGCTGCAGCACAAATATCTCTGCTACCCCCACCCCCACTAACGCTGCACCCAACCAGTGACTTCCTAAAAGCGGCTACCAAAAGGGCCAATACAGACAGCTGATCTCCCTCCTCTCCCTCTCTATCCCTTTCTCTCTCTTCTACTTCTTCTTCTTCTTCTATTTGTGTTGGTTGGGTGTTCAACACTCTCTGTTGTTGTTGGGATACCGCTAGGCCTTGTATTGAAGGGCCGAGGCCAAGGGGGTGTTGGCGGTGGTACGAGTCATGATGGGTATTATTATTGGGGGGTGCACATGGAGCTGTGGACGAGCTTGTTGGTGAAGGGAAGTGAGATGGGGAATGGAGTACCTCGGTCATTTCTTGAGGCACCCACGAAAAAACAAGAAATAGAATTATTTTCTTGGCCAAGAAAGGAGTCTCTCTCTGTCTCTCTCTGGAACTTGAGTGACAGGCCAAGATGTGGGAATTGAATAAGGAGTAAGAGTTGGATTGAAGTAAGGTCTTTGTATGGTAGGACGTGACTATCATCACTTTACCCAATGTATTTTATTGCTCTTCCTCCCTTCATACTCGCTTTCTTGGCTGGCTTAGCTGTGGGCACTTTTGAAACGGCAACAGAAGCGGTAGAAGAAGAGATTTTCTTATGGGGAGAGAGAGAGAGAGACAGAGAATGAGTGTGTTTGGTACAGAGGAAGAGGAAGAGGCTTGAGAGAGAAAGGGTCTAGATTTGTTCCATGTCTCTATATCCTATACAGAAAAGGACCACAGAGAACAAGATACTAAACAAAGAAAAAGATGATAAAAAAAGCGGAGAGACAGTGTGCGCGCGCGTGTAGGGTCATCAGATCCATACAAATTTGCTCATCTCTTACAAGTAATTGGAACAGCTCAGTCCCGTTTGGTTTGGGCAGAGACAAAGATTAATCTTCATCTAGAGAAAAGAAACTAGAATTAGGGTAGAGTGGAGCCAATTTTGTGGTCCTAAATTCTCAATCACCCAAATTCGATCGAGTCTTACAGCACACCAGATTTGGACCGCTGCATGTTCTTTTTTTAGTGAGGATGTGATCATCTTGAACCACTTTTGACAAATACGGAAAGAATTCACTTTCACGTGAACTTGGCTGCCATGTACGTCCATTCAAGATCAACCCCAACGCAAGGAAATCTGGGCTTGGAAACAGAAAGGGAAAATGACACAAACAGTCTCTGAACTTTGGCTCAATGTGCAATTTGATCCCTGAACTTTTAATTTGTTTAATGTAATCCTTGAACTTTAACCCAATGTTCAATATGGTCCCTGAACTTTCAATTTGTTCAATGTGGTATTTGAACTTTTGGTACATGTTCAATATAGTCCCTGAACTTTATAAAAATGTTCAATGTAGTCCTTCAATCAATTCAAGTTCAGGGACTATATTGTATATTTTCATATATTTCAGGGACTAAATTGAACATTTACTAAAAGTTTAGGGATCAAGTTGAACAAATTGAAAGTTCAGGGACCACATTGAACATTGGGTTAAAGTTCAGGGACCACATTGAACAAATTAAAAGTTTAGGGATCAAATTGCACATTAAGCCAAAGTTTAGGGACTGTTTGTGTCATTATCCCAAACAGAAATGGGTAATGATTCGTCATTTCGCATGAGATTTAGATATAATAATCCATTCTCCTCAAGCGATCGGAGTAAAGAAGATAGCATGTCTCTGTTCAAGATGAAGGGGTGACAGGGTGTTCTCTCTTGTCCACCCTGCGATAATGACGTAATTTGGTGTTTTGTACTGGGTTAATTCCCATTAAAAAAAGCTTAAGCTTCGCTTGCAGAGACTTGGGTCTTGACAGGTAAGAGACCCAGAACCAGAAAACTGGCTAAATTGGTCAGTCTTCAAAATTCTGAAGGCCGGTCCTTCACACTTCACCCAACTCTGTCTCTCTCTTCGAAAAAACATCTTGTCTTGGACTTGTCTCCATGGGGGCCACCGATTTCCTTTTATTGTAACAACCCTATTGCCTTGGTCTTCTTAGCGTCCTAACTGCACACCAGTCTTAGGACACCCTGTATCATCGCGGGTTCGGAGCGTCGACGGGGACGGTAATGGGACGAGGTGGGGTTAGTGTTCCGCCGAGGAGGGGAGAGGTGAGGTGAGGTGAGGCGAGGTGCGAGATGGGGACCGGCATTTCCTGACCTCGCCTTCCCCTTCTAACACTTTGGCCAGGATCGATAGGGCGACAAGAAATTAAGGTTTTTCCCTCAAGCAACTTAAAAATAATGATGACTGATAAGAAAAACTAATGAATTATGATAAATCATAACACTAAACTCCATTAAGAGTGCACTCACAAAATTTAAGTGCCTTCTAATCTGTATGTCGTCTTGCACCTATCTCGTAACTTTGGTATGAAGGCAAACGATTGATGCTCTGCTACTCCATCATTGGCTCCTGTGGGGTTTTTGACGGAACAGCATTTGCACTTGGATCTTCAATGGCAGAGCCGTCTTCCTCACTCTGCCTATGCTGCGTTGACTTTGTTTTATGAAGTGGTTGAAAATACAATCAAGCTCCTCATTCTGATTAGATTTTCATTCTATTGAAGGCTCAAAACACCGAGCTGCATTGGTTGCTTGGACATATGAACAGTAACAGGGTACTCCATGATCACGAGCAGCCGTTCAAGAAATTCTCTAAAGACGATTAAAACTCGCTTTATGAACCCCGTACATATGTGCTGCGGGGGCGAAAGCGACTTCGCGAGGGCCATTAGTCAAAGACGACGCGATTACCGAATAATTGCTTAAATTTCAATATGATCATGTGCTTATGCGATTAAAATATCAATTGCAAAGAGATTATCATTACCAAGGGCCCCTGCTTCTTTTGTACTTTTGTTTCTTCTTGTTCTTTTCTTCCCGAGGGGGGACCCCATGAAACGAAGGCGTCTATCATGTCCGGATCGCCAAAACGTCCCTTGCGGTTTTCCGTGGAAGTTGTATTGGAAAAATGGGGTCATCTCGGCACGCGAGATGGTTCGATGCCGTGAACCATTTGGGTCCACAAGCGTAAGAACAAGGAGATTTGGTCAATTTATATTAGTTAAATAAGAACTCTTCTGCTTAAGTTTTCGAGCGAAGGTAAATTCGATGTGTTGACGAGATCGATTGGTGGGCCCCAATGTGGGTCGGTGTTTTGTCAACATCTCAAAAAAGGAATCTCGGATGTGACTTCTTAATCGAGGTGGCGAATGGTTTCTTCCGGCTTCATACCGCACTTGGTTGAGCCAAGACGATGAGAGCAGAGTCTATAGAGCGGACATTGTTTCTTTCTCCAACATCGGCCAAACTTAGTCCGGCCAATGTGGAGATTCGAATTGAGATAATGTTCGTGTTGAAGGATTATCTGGATTAAGGGGAAACGGACTTAACACAAAATACCCACACGTGAGGTAGAGATTTGTTAAGGTGTACTTCGGAGGGTGTGAGGCGAAAGAAGCCCTACATCAGGGATATGAAATAACTGGGAACAGCGGGTTCAATTGACTAGATCAAACTTGGTTTAACAAGTGAAAAAAAATCGAAGCAATTGAAATGATCATGAGATCACATGAAGATTTCACTGTGTTGAGTGGGACTCTTATTCTATCGTGTGGCATCATATTCTAAAGCCCGTGATCTACCTGCCCGGTGGAGTCGTCGATTTGCTTCCTATTACCTTCGTGAGATGAAGGGCCATGTACGTTGGAGTTTGTCTGATGCGATTGTGGCATTTGACTTTATTTTCTTACAAATGACATTTGATTTTTGGCTTTAATTTTATGACCCTAATAAGAAACGTAATTCTTGGAAGCTGGAATTCTTGTATCTTTCACTCGAAATAAAATATTGAAGTGTAGATCAAAGTATGTGATATTCTTCTCATTAGATTAGGTATATCATGTATACTGATTGCAAACAATTAACGCTCTTTACTCGTATTTGCTTACTTCCAACTTTCGATTTGGAGCCCCATTGGAGGATTTCAAATAGATTGGACTTATCTATATTTTCAGGCTCCGATAGGAATTCATATAAGACCTTTATTATTCATCTCTCTTTCCAAATATAAGATGTTAGGCTGTCTTCGACCGTCGAGACAAGGACTGTGTCGGGATACGATAAACGAGAGCACGATAAAAATTCTCCCAATGATATACAGTGAAGTCCCTTTTCTTTCCATAATGGACAAAGTTTCTCGTTTGTCAAATGACTTGCCCGTTGCAGGAAAGCAAAGGAACAACTTGCGAGGATCTTTACTGCTGCTTATGAGGGTGCCTGTGTCCCAGAAGACCTGGGAAACGTAGAAAAGAGGAAAGTGAATGGGGGGACGCTGCCGATGGAGGAGGAGGAGTGGAGGACCGGAAGACGTTGCGCTTGTTGTGCGCTGGTGGCTGGCTCAAAGGAAAAAAGCAGCTTTTGAGAGAGAGGAAAACAGCCGTTGCGACCCGGCTCCTCAAGCATCGCACTGTTTTTGAATTCAAATTGCGCAGCTCGCCCGACCCCTGGTTGGCAGCACAGAGGGAGAGCTCCTCGAAAAGAGATCAACTTTTTCCAGCTAAAGAGGAGCAACAGCAACAGACAATGGAGTCGTCCACTGTTTTTCAGTCCTTCTCTGACCCACTGAACCGCATGTACACCGAAGAGTGCAGCAGAGCTGGAACTCACTGACACTTTTGCTGTTTAATGATAGCCTTTGGTCTCGAACCAGAAATGTTCAGCACCTTGAATCGAACCCTTGTTAGCTAGATGCCGGGTTTAATACTAGCCTGGCTGGGATAATTGAAGTGAGATTAGGTTTAATAATAGACCGGGAGAGACCCCCAAACATTCGGGATCCATTCATTTCGTGAACAACGAACGATTTGGAAAATATTATTTTAAAAATGATTGATTGTATGTATCGGTTGGAATAATTAGCCAACAAAAATGTTTCATATATTTTTGTGGACTTTGTCGTTTGTATCTTTTTGTAATCGATATAAGCGATCGTTTTTAGGAAGATATTTTTCAAAACGGGGGTTCCAGCTGATCAAACGGGCTCCAAGAATATAATTTTTCCTATCTGTACAATTTACTTCTAGAAAATTATAGTTTCTTATGCTTTTTTTTTTTTGGTCGGAATGGTTTCTTACACTTGACTTACATGTGTCTGCACTTGGAGATCGATCCTCTTTTGGTTTGTGCCTTGTGGGGAGTACTGGTGCTGTCGAAATGGAGTCGGTTCGAGTTGTAATTGAACCCACGCGGGTTGGTGGTCCTTTCTCATGTGGCCACGGTGGCCGGGCCTTTGAGGCCCCATTTTAATTCTTTTTGGGCTCATGTGGCCACATTTGGCCCAATCATCTTTTTTGGGCTTCGGCCGGCCCAGGCCCATCCATGCAGTGGCCAGGAGCAAAGGGGCTTATCATGGGCCGGCCCCTTCCTAATGGGCCCGGCCCGGTCCCTCGTACTGCGGGACCGGCCAAGTACGAGACCAATCGTGTCGTGTCGTGCTTGGGCCGGTATGGCCCATTGGCCATTGCTAATTAAGGAATGTGTTAAAAGTTTGAATTTCGATGGGGTTTTAGGGGAAATTAGATCGTGAACCAATTGACCGGCAAAGTTGCGTAAGGTGCAAGGGAGCAAGCTTGACTCCTCATGCCACAAAATGCAAAAAGATTCATGTTGTGACCATGCATTTTGACTTTAACTCGCATTTTATTTGATCCACGAGATTCAAAAATTGAATTTTGGTGGGGTTTCAGAGAAAAAATTAGATCATGAATAAATTGACGGGCAAAGTTGCGTAACGTGTAACGGAGCAAGTTTGACTCCTCATGCCACAAAATGCTATTAGTTTGTTGTGACCATGCATTTTGACTTTAACTCGCATTTTACATGGTCCACGAGATTCAAAGATTGAATTTTGGTGGGGTTTTAGAGAAAAAATTAGACCACTAATCAATTGACGGGCAAAGTTGCTTAATGTGCAGCGGAGCAAGTTTGACTCCTCATGCCACAAAATGCAATTAGTTTCATGTTGTGACCATGCATTTTGAGTTTAACTCGCATTTTACTTGATCCACGAGATTGAATTTTTGTAGGGTTTTAGACAAAAAATTAGATCACGAATCAATTGACGGGCAAAATTGCATAATGTGCAACGGAGCAAGTTTGACTCCTCATGCCACAAAATGCAATTAGTTTCATGTTGTGACCATGCATTTTGACTTTAACTTGCACTTTACTTGATCCACGAGATTAAAAATTGAATTTTGGTGGGGTTTTAGAGAAAAAATTAGATCATGAACCGGGCAAAGCTGTGTAATGTGCAACGGAGCAAGTTTGACTCCTCATGCCACAAAATGCAATTAGTTTCATGTTGTGACCATGCATTTTGACTTTAACTCGCACTTTACTTGATCCACGAGATTAAAAATGGAATTTTGGTGAGGTTTTAAAGAAAAAATTAGATCATGAACTGGGCAAAGTTGCGTAATGTGCAACGGAGCAAGTTTGACTCCTCATGCCACAAAATGCAATTAGTTTCATGTTGTGACCATGCATTTTGACTTTAACTCGCATTTTACTTGATCCACAAGATTCAAAGTTTGAATTTTGGTGGGGTTTTAGAGAAAATTAGATCACGAACCTATTGACGATAAAAGTTGCTGGATCAAGTTTGACTCCTCATGCCACAAAATGCAATTAGTTTCATGCTGGCGACCCTGCATTTTGACTTTAACTCGCATTTTACTTGATACATGAGATTAATGAGATTTTTGTCTAGCCCGAATTCATTTACTTAAGACGAGCATACAGCCAGCCCAGAAGAACTCTTGTTGATCAGGGGAAAGATCATTCTCATAGTTTTACAGGCCAAAGTCGCAGTTTCTTGACCAGTATGTCCATCAGTGTAGCTGCAAGTAATGCCGAAACGGCACAATTTTTCTTTTCAATGTTACGTGCTTGTTTGATCCTGAATGTGTGATTCCATTTGAGTTATCAAGTTGTTTTAATTTAATATGTTTGGCCCTCATCATGATATTGATTCGTCGAAGTAGAGTTAAGAGAAATGTCACCATCATAGACATTTGGAACCATGTATACAATTTTTTAGTGTGATCAATCGCTGATGATTAATCTCAGCTGGCACTCTGTGTCGATTGGTCTTTTCATTAAACTGGAGAACAAAATGTCTCTGCACTACCTAATGCAGGTCCAGATGTCATTGATCTTGTCCTAAGTGTGGTGTTAAATTCACAGATTTTGGTATATCACTCTCATAAATCAGAGTTGACACTGGGAAAATTGTCCAAAAAGTCATAAACCTATTGCACTTTTGCCAATTCAGTCCTAAACCTTTCAACTTTGCCAATTGAATCATAAACATTTTTATTTATTGACAATTGAGTCCATCCGGCCAATTTTGGCCGAAAATTGCTGACGTGGACATTGGACGGTCACGTGGCGCTGACGTGGACAATTTAAAATAATTTTTTAATAATTTATGATTTTTTTAATGTTTTTTTCTTCTTTTTTTTTTTCCTTTTCTTTCTTTTTATTTTTATTTTTATGGTTCTAAAATTAGGGCTGGCGAGGGCATCGTGACCCTCGCCGGATCTGGGTGAGGGCCGCGACGCCCTCGCTAGATCTGGCCAGGCGAGGGCTTAGTGGCCCTCGCCCGTGGCCGTCGAGGGTCGGCCGGCCACCCTCGCCGGCCCTAATTTCAGAACTAGAAAAACAAAGAGAGAAAAGGAAAAAAGAAGAAGACAAAAAACATTAAAAAATCATAAATTATTAAAATATTATTTTAAAATGTCCATGTCAGCGCCACCTGGCCGTCCGGCGTCCACGTCAGCGATTTTCGGCCAAAATTGGCCGGATGGACTCAATTGGCAAGAAATGAAAAAGTTTAGGACCCAATTGGCAAAGTTGAAAGATTTGGAACTGAATTAACAAAAGTGTAATAGGTTTACGACTTTTTGGACAATTTTACGAGTGCACACTTGTTTTTCACTTGCAAAATCTTTCTAAAGAAGCCAGAAATTCAACAAGTGCTGAAAAAGAGAATGAAGGCTGTGGTGATAACAACTGAAGGTGGTCCAGAAGTTCTCAGGATTCAAGAAGTGGGAGACCCAGAAATGAAAGAAGATGAGGTGCTGATCAGAGTGTTGGCTTCGGCAATGAATTTAGCTGACACATTCCAAAGGAAAGGCCTTTATCCTCCTCCACCAGGATCGAGCACATACCTGGGCCTTGAATGCTCCGGTGTCGTGGAAGCCGTGGGCAAGAACGTCTCTCGTTGGAGAATCGGAGATCAGGTGATTCTCGATTTGGCGAACGAATTTTGCTCTCAGTACTGTGATCCTATCTGTTTGGTCAATGACAGCTTAGTGTTGCCTGTTTGGGTGATTCATGTTCACAAAGGATGATGAATGTTTTAAAAGATGCTTAATTGTAGACATTGCCCGCGGAAAAGTTATTTCCATAGATGAGGTTTGATCAGTGATTCATTCGATAGGTGATTGGTCTAGAGGTGTCGCTCATAAAGATAGACTTCTGAAATGTGATATCAATCCGTGTTCTGACCCTAAGTCCAGAAAAATTACAAGCAGGTACCCAAAAGCAAGAAAAAGATCTGCAATTTTTCCTGCTTTATCCATTTGAGGATGAGGCAAAGTTCATTATAAAGGATTCAAGAGAAATTATGGGATGATATGAGCAAGACATGAGTAATGACACCAATCATGATATTGATCAGGATGTGGGGATCACAGGTTCGATTCCATTTGAGTGCAAAATGTTGTTCTTTGAGATGAATATGTGATTAGTTTGATCCACTGCATTTTAGTTCATTCCAGATTTTGTGACCCAGTATTGTTCATTCAATGAGTGATGTGATTTATTTGGATGGTTTAACTACAGGTTTGCGCTCTTCTCAGCGGGGGAGGATATGCCGAGAAAGTCGCCGTGCCAGAGGGACAAGTGCTTCCGGTTCCACCGGGCATCTCTGTCACGGATGCGGCGAGTTTGCCTGAGGTGGCATGCACCGTTTGGTCCACCGTTTTCATGAGGAGTCGGCTCTCCACAGGAGAAATGTTCTTGGTAACTTTTCTCTCCTGCTTGTCGAATCTATTGGTGTATTATCCAGAACTTTGACTATTATACCTAGTTAAAACATCCACTTTGAAGTGATTTTTCATCATCTCTTCGTTTATTCTTAATCTTTGCTAAGTTTGGTAGAATGTATGAGTCGTTCAATGATGCGACTTTAGCAGCTGTTCTGCTGTTTTCATTTCAGCCGAAGTTCATCAGTCCTTGTATCGTCAAATCAGTACAATCTGTTCTTTAATAGATAACGAGAGCACAAAGCTTCCAATGTTTTAGTGTCCATTATGCTTTTGCCTAAACGAGTCTCTCCTGCACAAATGACTACATAAACTATGAACTGCTGCCTTACAACGTCTAGGTTCATGGAGGTTCCAGCGGAATCGGTACATTCGCAATCCAAATAGCGAAGTACCACGGTGCCCGAGTCTTTGTCACGGCAGGTACGTCAAAGTTTCGTTCTTGCAAACTGATTGTACCGAGTGTTATACTTGCTGATCTATCTTCAGTATTTCTTAAACGTCAGGTAGTGAGGAAAAGTTAGCTGCTTGCAAGGATCTTGGAGCTGACGTATGCATCAATTACAAGACCGAGGACTTTGTCGCGCGAGTCAAGGAAGAAACAGAACAGAGAGGTATATAACGCCCTTTTTAACTGCAATTTCCTTTGCCTCCACGCTCATAGAATTCTTATCCCTTCAATTATGTGTTTCTGGTTCATTATAGATTCGAGATTTTCTTAAACAGCTATGCATAAATTAGTGCAACTTCATCATATGATTGATATCACCCGAAAAAGCTGCGTGTGGAGGAATCGCGTTGAATTTTTCCTTTGAAAACCCAGATTTTGACCACCCTTACAAAATTTTCAAGTTATTTGTCCGCAAATGATGTTGCAGCATTGCATAATACTTGTGTTTTGCTATCGTAATTGTACAAAAGGCTCGCTACAAAAAAAACTGCTTCGACAGCAGGGGTTGATGTCATTTTGGACTGTGTCGGAGCGTCCTACTTCCAGAGAAACCTCGATTGCTTGAATTTCGATGGGAGGCTCTTCATCATCGGTTTTCTGAGTGGAGTAGCGACACAGGTCGATCTGAGAGGTCTGCTCGCCAGAAGTCTGACAGTCCAAGGTACAGAAACTACTATATTTGCGGCCGGATTTTAACTTCAGTTTTCTTGTGGTTTCTGGTCATTATGTGAACCAACATTTGCGCTCTATCATGGTTAATTCAGTTCATAACCAGTCTCTAATGCATGTATCATTTGAATGAGTGGATCTCACCTTATAAAAAAGAAACTTCTCTTCGACTACCCTGAGAGCTTTCTGTGGAACTCGTGATGCTACAATAATTATGTCACATTGAGGAAATTAATTTCAGGTTCGAGGGTGAGATCTCCGTCGCAAAGCATTGAAGTGTCATTATTATTTGAACATGTTTAAGTTCTCTTTTTTTTAGTGATGATTTGTTCCTCACCTTCCTTTTGGAAAAAGCTAATGACTCTGCTAATAGAATTGCACCCCCTTTTTTTCCTTCTGCAGAACATAGACATTGTCCCCTTTTTCGTGTCGCTCACATATGATTTTACCATTGTATTTTCATGCATTTGTAGCCGCCGGCCTGCGATACAGAAGTTCAGAGAATAAAGCCGCGATCGTGAAGGAGGTCGAGCAGAACGTTTGGCCAGCAGTTGCAGAAGGCAAAGTGAAACCTGTGGTTTTCAAGTGTTTTTCTCTATCCGAAGCAGTGGAAGCGCACCGGCTCATTGAGAGTAGCAAACACATTGGCAAGATACTGCTCCTTCCTTGAAGTCGTGGCACCTGTGCCAGTGACCTGAAAACAGCATCTGGATACAAGCCCCTTAAAGAGTTGTCAGTGTACCATCGGCTTCAATGAACAAGACAAATTCGTGTTGAAGTTGTAACGTGGGTGGGCTACTTGTGATGGAATTATGAACATAAGAACGAATTAACGTGCCTTTTGCAGCTACTGCTTCCGTGTTTGGAACAGCAGATAATCTCGTCGCACCGATCGCATGGCAGAAGGAACAGGACAAGTGATATGTGAAAAAATTCCTTCTCAAAGTCGAAACAGATAGAAAGTTACAGGAGCAGTCTGACTTCGACGATCCTCTAGAGCTGCAGCTTTTGCATAAATTAATCACATGTACTAAAATGGCATGAGAAAAAGAGTGTTGTTACAAGCAAGTTTTACAGCATTGTAATATTTTGCCCAATTGGCTACACAGTCCATATGATATAAACACAAAAAACACTAGTTCATCAATACCTTTGTGCACCATTCGAAGTCAATCTACGCAACGGTTGTGAGACCTTACCTGTCGATTGCAAACATAAAAAATGAATTCCCCCAGCATAGTCGTCATCGGACAAAACTTATATGCACCCTTCAATGAAATCTCTTTTTTTTGGGACACTTCTCTATCTTCCCCCAACAATATGTGAAAGTAGACATTTACAAAATGCCATAATCTATAGGTCTATATAACCACAGGGACTCCACAAGTCCAGTGCATTCGAGAAATTAAGCAAATCCATCAGATCAGACTTTCGCCAAAACAGAGAAGAGCTACCTTTTGTGCACCAAAGACGAGAGCACCATCCCCACCAATTGCTTCTCGAAAGCGTAGGAGCATTGCACATCTACTTGATTTCTCTCAGACTTCACGCCCAAACAGAAGATGAGAAGCCCTGGATCTTACTGCCTGGAAACAGTCACCTATCCGCCACTGACCATAGGTAAGCTTCCCTCTCCGATGCTCGTTTCTTGTCCATCCTTTTGAATAGTTCCTTCTCAAATCCTGCGTTAAACAGCGGATCAGGATAAACTATTGTGAGCACTATATGCCAAATTCAGTGAAAAATAAAGATTAAGTAGTGCTTTTATTTTTAAGAAATGGTCAAGAATATGAATAATTATAATAGAAGCAACTAATTTAAACTTGATAAGTATGGTAAAATTCGCGAAACCCATGAAATTGTTTGGTTTTCAAAATCAAGGTATCTACTCGTAAACTTAGGAGTGAGCTATTCCAGGTTCTAGTGTTTCAGGTTCCGTACAGGTTCCATCTGAAACATGAAACCTACCCATGGGAACATGTTTCTCATTTTTTAAAACCTAGAACCTACCTTATATACCTTGGAATCCGAAAGCGACTTTGTCACAGGTTCCAAAATCGGTTCTAGTATCTATCCAGGTTCCACATGTATTATTAATTGAACAATTACAATGAATCATTACCTTTAATGACCATCACTTGCTGCTATATCCACTTACAACAACTTATATTTAGACACACGAAGAATATGAAATATTAATAAATCATAAAATAAAAGTTCAAATTAGTGGTTCCAAATTATACACTTATCATCTAACGCCATCGAGCGCCGCAGGATCACGCGAAGACATGTACAAAAAAAAAACACAAAAAACTTGTTTAAGGTTTCAAGTTCCAGGTTCCACCTGAACCTACTCGTCGAAACATATTTCCTAATTTTTGAAACCCGGAACCTATCCTGCATATCTTGAAACCTATAACTTGCAGGTTCCCACCGGTCAAGTTTCAGGTTTTATCTTGAAACCATGCTTATCCTTACTTAAAACTATTCGAGTTAGTTAACAAATTAAGAGATTGCTCATGTCAAAAGAAAAAAAAAAATCGACGAGAATTTTCTAACTCTCTATTTTCTTGCTTCAAATTACTTAACTCGAAATCAAAGAAGGTTGTGGTATGATAATTTGGTGACGTAATGTAATAAATAATTTCAACAAAACGTTTTTCTTGTGCAAGAAAATAGATGATACTTGTACGTCATCACGCATCGAAAATTCTTAGGCACAATCTAGGCTTCGATGTTCTCTATCATTATAAGCATCTTATATGGAAAGTCAAAGAAATTGAAGAATATGAACATGCTATTTCCATACTCACGCGTCTAGGACCAATATGTTTTAAGGGAAATTTATAAATCTTAAAATTTATTGTACAGCGGCTAATTTAGTTTTAAACTTTATAATTTTGCTAATTTAGTTCTAACATTTTGACTATTTGTCAATGTAGTCCTTTTCGGTCAATTTTGGCAGGAAATCGCTAACGTGGTAACCAGTCTTACGTGGCATGAGCAGCTGACATTGACAATTTCTCTAATTTTTTTTTAAAAAAAATTATAAAAATACTTATTTTCCTTTTCTTTTCTTTTATTTTTCCTTCATTCGGTTTCTAGTCTGCGAGGTCACCGAGGCCCTGGCAATGGCTGTTGACCCTTGCCTGGGGGCTGGCGAGGGCTACCCTCGCTCGATCCGGCCACGTAGGACAGCCGGCCTTGACTGGATCGCCACGTTAGCGATCGTCGATTAAAAATTGGTCACAATAACTAAACTGACAAATCGTCAAATGTTTAGAACGAAATTGGCCAAATTAAAAAATTGAAGACTGAATTGACGTCCGTACAATGGCTTTAGACTTTTTTGGGTAATTTCTTACAGTTTTTAAGTTATTAGATGAAAGCGTAATTCGATATTTCAATGTTCTGTCCCTCCCGTCTCAAAGTATTCGAACTCGGAACCTCCTACCTTGCTTAATCCATCGCATGATTACGTGGTTTAACGTTTAAATATTCCTAACATTATTGTCCATATAGGCTTGCACTCAAAAACAGGTCCCGGTCAAACTCGCGAGCATTCCATCTCTCCTTCTCAATAGACAAAACAACGCATTTTGGGGGGGGACACGGGGGGGGATTAGAAAAAGAATGGCATGATAAGCTATCGGATGATTCAAGACACATCCCAATCACGCAATAAAGATCCGTCAGGCGTGTTCAACATTTGCGACAAATCTGACGGGAAAAGAGCAAAGAAAAAATTGGCAGCAGGCACACGAAAATTCTCCGGAAGGACCTGGCCCGACCGGGCTGACCTCAGGAACGAAGAAAATCGACGCCCTCTGCACATCTCTCCCTTCGTTTCTCCTTAATATAAGTTCGTCAACTTGGAACACGAACTCGCTCTATACAACACATGGATTATCACCACGTGGTCCGTGGATAAGCCGGTACAGATACATACAGCACCTTCTGTCCGGAGGACGGGTGAGATTTTGGAATATAATAAAGCTCGTCCATGTACGACCCTTGACTAGCCAGGCGTCCGCTCTCCCGTCGCAGTCGATCCCCCAGTCGGTCGTCGCATTTCGTAGTGGCGCGCCATTTACGGTCGTCCCGTTCACACCGTGCGGTTCTTTGGTCTCCGAAGGACAGGTACGTACTCGCTTCTCGTCTCCTTCTAGACCGGAGGCTGCTCCATGCTCCATTGTCAAACTCTCTCTCTCTCTCTCTCTCTCTCTCTCTCTCTCGTGGCCAATGATGGGCGGCTTTGAATTCCGCATGCAAACGTTTCAAAGCGAAGCGATTCTTCACGGTTGATGTTTCTTCTCGTCCCGAGTGGCACGGGAATCCCGTTTTCCTATTATTTGAGGAAATTATCGAAAAAGTCCTAAACATATTGTACTTATGTCAAATCAGTCATAAACCTTTTGACAATTTAGCCAATTTAATCATACACATTTTGGCAATTTATCTGTGTAGTACATCCGACCAATTTTGATAGAAAATAATGATGTGGAAGCTGTCTATCCCCAAGGAGCACATATCGGTGCTAATGTTGATAGTTTTTGAAATTTGTAATTATTTTTTTCTTTCTTTTTTTTTATTGTCAAGGGCTTGCAGGGGCCACCGGTCATCCCTTGCTGGCCACTAGCCGAGGCCTAGTGACCCCTGCCAACCAATGGGCGAGGGCCGCGACCCTCACTCGGATATAGGTGAGGGCTCGCCGGGCCTCGACCAGTGGCCTGTGGGGTCCACCGAGCCTCGTTCGGCAGCCCTCGCAAGCCCTTAACAATAATAGAAAGAAAATACAAATAATTACAAATTTCTAAAATGTTTCATGTTAGCGTCGGTCGAGGCACGTAGGATCACTAATTTTCACGTCATTAATTTTCGATCAAAATTGACCGAATGGACTCCATTGGTAAATTGTTAAAATGTTTAAAATTAAATTGGCCAAATTAAAAGATATAGAACTAAATTATTACAAATGCAATATATTTAAGACTTTTCGATAATTTTTCTCTTATTATATTATTTTATGTTGCTTTTTGCCGTTGTTCTTAATCTCTATTTTCAACTGCTTCTATGATTTTCTTCGTAGTATGCATAAACATTGTCACGCCCAAACGGCCACACCAGCTCTGTCTCTCTCTCCGCTGAAGTTGAGGTTGAAATTAGGGGAAAAAAAGGAGAATTATTAGGCTTTTTAGACTTTGGTATATATCTTGTGTTAAAGCACTTTTGGTACACACTGACGATTGGTGAATATTACGATGTGTTCCTTGCTTTTCACCTTTTATGAATGACGCGACATGCCACCTCTCCTAGTCCAAACACCACCACAATCGAAAGTAGATAAGATCATGACCGATAAGTGGGGAGGCAGGTTTCATATTTGTCTTAGGTCTAATTATGTCATTTTGAGAGATGGTTGTGGTTGGTGCTTTAGGTGCAAAGTCAATTGGGTCTCATTAATGACGGATAAGCATCTATTTCCACGCTGAATTATTACTAGGAGATATGCTATTTAAGCGTATCCGTTCGACTTTGTAATCCCAACTCTGTGGTGCATTTAATTGTTTTGAGTATGATAGTCTATAATACCATAATGGTGGAAGAAAACATGGGCCCCCTCTCATGTACAAACTAAGATGAAATAGATCGTTTCTCCTTCTCTGCAATTAACGAAATGAATATAGTAAGACGAGCAAGACAATACGCACAAATCGAGTTATTAAATGAGCTATAGGAAAAGTTGAAACTTGACCCCGATACCATTTCAAAAGTTTCAACTCGAATATATATATGCCTTTTTATATGGTGGATTGATATGTATATGCAAATTTTAAAAGGGATTGCGTGAAATGATTCTTGACATTCTTCCATATACACAAGCCAGTTGAGGAGGGTCGGAGAACAACGATGTAATCGTTACTTTTCTCGATCAGAAACACATGCCCTCATTTCATGTTGACCCAAAAAATGAAAAAAGATGGTAACCCCATACGATTCATAGGACTTTACCTTTTAAAATTACAATGCATGGTCTTCGTCAACTGTCAATATGCACACGAGACAAAAAGGAAAATTCGTGGCTTGGAATTGGTACTATTCTCAATCATTATCTTCTTCCTTTGACGCCGATGAAGAGTGCAAAGAATTGTATAGCCACCCAGCAAATGCATCAACACATCAATGGTAACCCTAAGTGCTACGAGGTGGTTGTAAATGTTGCCCTCCATCATTGTGTTCTCATTTGATACACAGATCTCCAAAAAGAATTATTTATAAATTGCTTCGATCTATTTGAAAGTCAGAACGAAGAAAACTCCACTACTAGTCAGAGATTCCCTCTAATATATTTCCGCAAAAGTCAAACGTCGACCACTCTTGATTGTGAGACAATCGCTCCTTGCCATTTATCACCTAACATATGTATAAATCTCTCCTTCTCACCCTTTACTTCTAAGCAATAATTTCGACATCAGATCACCATCTCTATAACTCTTCACCCACTTCAAAACTCTCTCTCTCTCTCTTTCTCTCTCTCTCCTTCCCAATCTAACTGACATATGTTGGGAAAAAAGATGGTTTCCTTCAAGAAACTAGCAAAGAAGGCCAAGACGATGGGCGGCGGGGTGGACCGTGAGCAGTCGCCGCACCACGAGTTCCTGCTCGGTGAGTCCGAGGAGGAAGCGCCCTCGTCCCCGAAGACGCCCAATGGCTTCTTCGCGGTCTACGTGGGGGACGAGCACCGGAGGTTTGCAGTGCCCACGAGCTACCTCTCGCATCCTCTTTTCAAAATGCTGCTCGAGAAGGCGTCCAACGAGTTCGGGTTCGAGCGGCGCGAGAGGCTGGTGGTTCCATGCAGCGTGTCCACATTCCAAGAGGTGTTGGGTGCTATCGAGGGCTGCAATGGGAGGTTTGACTTTGGGAAATTGGTGGAGGAGTTCATATAGTGCATGGATGATGAAGCTACCAGATGTTGAACAAACAGGTTTTGCATTAGAGAGGTGATTTTGTGAGGGAGTTGAAAGTTTTTGGAGCAATCGATATGATCTTGATCTCCCCTTTTTTTCTTGGTTTAGAGTGTCATGAACATACTGGAAATGTGCCTTACCCAAAAAATAAAAAAACATACTGGAAATGTGTCATATGTGATCTAGCATCAGCTCCCACCATGTAATCCATTCATGGTCGAGCTCAAATCGTTAAGGAATGAGAAAGTTTCAATACATTAGGACAGTCAAATTATTTTGATTAGTGTGAGTGCTATACCTTCTCTCCATTCATGAAACCGTCCAGGCCACAGAAAAACAAAAGCATTGCTATAACCGCATTATGATGTTAATGAAGTTAAGCTAAAGATTAGCATCTGATTTAACCTGGGAAAGAAAGAGAGGAGAAAAAACTTAGCAGCTAAATTATTTTACAAAGCAATTTGTTTCGACGTCTCTTCTGGACGAGACAACTTTCAAGTATTGTGTTGGGTACAAGAACATGCGGAAGGGGTGATTTTCTGGTTAATTATCTAGGTGGTTGTCGGAAACGAAAATAAATCTGTTGGACGTAGAGCAAGCATGATGCCTAATCAAAACTTTGGGGTTTGTTTTATGCTTTAGTTCGTAAGTCGATTTCATTACAGATGGTTCCTTCGATTCATTGACAGAGACCCCATTCGTGTCCATGAGAACTTTATAGGCGTTCGGAGGGATAAGTACAGCGCAAATGCCATAACTTTTGTACGGAGGACACTTAAGTGCCATAACTGTTTTTTGGCTCACTTGAGTGCGATAACTTTCAATAAAATGATCACTCAAGTGCCACTTACGAGCTGATCGTGAAGGCCCGAAACCGCGGCTTTTTCGGTCGAACAGTGACCTTCCCGGCAAGGCGAGCACCACCAACTTGAAGAGGGGGTGTCGGTGAATCATTCCATGGCCTCCGTTTGTCTCGAAATTTCCGTTTTAGCCTCCGTTGATGAAGGTAAAAATGCTTCGTAGTCACACAAATCGGCTCGATAAATGTGTGACTACGAAGCATTTTTACCTTCGTCAACGGAGGCTAAAACGGAAATTTTGAGATGAACGGAGGCCATAGAATGATTCACCGACACCCCCTCTTCAATCTTGTGGTGCTCGCCTTGCCGGGAAGGTCATCGTTTGGCTGGAAAAGCCACGTTTCGGGCCCTCACGACCAACCCCTCTGACAAGCTGGTCGTGAGGGCCCAAAACCGCGACTTTTCCAATCGAACGGTGACCTTTCCAGCGAGGGGAGCACCACCAGCTTGAAGAGGGGGTGTCGGTGAATCATTCCATGGCCTCCGTTCGTCTCGAAATTTCCGTTTTAGCCTCCGTTGACGAAGGTAAAAATGCTTCGTAGTCACACAATTTGTTGAGACAAATTGTGTGACTACGAAGCATTTTTACCTTCGTCAACGGAGGCTAAAACGGAAATTTCGAGACGAACGGAGGCCATGGAATGATTCACCGACACCCCCTCTTCAAGCTGGTGGTGCTCGCCTCGCCGGGAAGGTCACCGTTCGATCGGAAAAGCCGCGGTTTCGGGCCCTCACGATCAGCTCGTAAGTGGCAATTGAGTGATCATTTTTTTGAAAGTTATGGCACTTAAGTGAGCCAAAAAAAAGTTATGGCACTTAAGTGTCCTCCGTACAAAAGTTATGGCACTTGCGCTGTACTTACCCCGGCGTTCGGATGAAGACCCTCTAGGAAAAAGTGCCAAAAAAGTCTTAAACCTTTTGCATTAGTGCCAATTTAGTTCTAAACCTTTTTTTGGTGCCAATTCAATCCTAAACCTTTTGCATTGGTGCCAAGTTAGTCCTAAACCTTTTTTTGATGCCAATTAAGTCCTAAACTTTTTAAATTGGTGCCAATTCAGTCCTAAACTTTTTGTTTTTGTGTCAATTGAGTCCTTCCGGTCAATTTTAACCGGAATTTGCCGACGTGGATGCCTGCCAACCGGCGGCCGGTCACCGGCGCCGACGTGGCGCCGACGTGGACAACTTTAATAATATTTTAATATTTTTTTGAATTTTTATTTTTTTTCCTTTTTTTCTTTTTTTTTCCACTTTTTTTTGTCCCCCCCTCCTTCCTCTGGCCGGTCGCCACCGACGACCGGCCAGAGGCCAGAGGCCGGTGAGCTCGACCTCGCCGGCCACGGATGCCTCAACGAATTGGCACTAATGCAAAAGGTTTAGGACTTTTTTGGACTAAATCATTTAGTATTGGCACTAAAAAAGGCACTAAAAAAGGTTTATGACTAAATTGGCACTGATGCAAAAGGTTTAGGACTTTTTTGGCACTTTTCTCTACATCACAATTCCACGGATGCCTCAACGAATCTCGGTCGTTAACTATTTCATTTCACAAGTCAACGGTTTAGATTTGTCGAAACACTGATAGGAGTACAGTGCGCAGTAAAGAATTCAGCGTCTGTTTCTCCCACCCAACAATCGCTTGAAATCTACGTCACAAAATCTTTACCAAAAATTAGAGCTAGGATTGAGCCGGGAGATCGACACGAGTCCGAGGCATGTGTTTCGAGGTGCCCGTGGTGCGAGGAAGTAGGAGACAAGGCGCCTGAGCATTCAAGGCCGAGAGCCCAGGCAGGCCGAGCCGGCACCCGACCCAACTTCGGCGGACAAAAACCCAAGTCAGTATACTTCATGAGAGAGGAAAAAATCCTGATTAGAGCAAAACCTACTCCTACAGGTCTGCCTAATTTTATCTTCCCAAATTCACATCCCCACTTCTTGCCTTTAAATGGTCAACGGAATATTGAGTTCTCATATTCTCCCCAGGCAGGACACGAAATGTCGGGCTAAGAACAGAGATTCGAGCGCATTATCAGCGAACACCACTACATCAGTACTTTGATGGGACGATGGTTGGTCCCAAGTAAGATATTAAAAGGTCTCATCTTTATTTTCATTCGGAGTTCGGAAATCAATTAAATGCAAAAATCTTAAAGATTTGAAGAAATTGGAGGCGCGGGGCATGCGGGCACCGACATATTAGAATAAGAAACGCATTTGTGAAACCTTCCGTTACTGTAATGAAAACAGACAAGTTACGAGCAAACATTGCCGAAAAAGTTCATTGGTCTTCGAACTGAATCCCGATCGTGCGCCATTGCTCGGCGGAGATTCCATGAAGCGACAGCAAGTGCAATTGCAAGTGCAAGTGCAAGTGCAAGTGCAAGGTGCTCCGTTCAACTCTTCCTTCATTCATTTAACCCATCGATTCCGATTCCGTTTGACCCGGTAAAAAGGGGACCGGATCCCATTCGCGGGACTTGGAAAAAGTTGGGTTTGATTTGGTAAAAAACAGCGACGGCCCACGTTCTACGGCTGTTAATAGCCCCCCTTTCACACAAGGTCTTGCTTTTATATATATAAATCAAATTGTGCTAGCACTAAAAAAATATAGAAAAAAAAAAAACCTTTGAAAAGCCAAAGGGTGAGACTCGGCATGCGCCTTCGACCGGGTCAAACGAAAAGTGGAAACCATATGGAAATCATTTAGCGTTAATATCACGAAAAACCCCAAACTGGTATACGTGTGACAAATTTATCATTCGTTAATTTCCGTTAAATTTTACTGTCAAATTGCTGAGTTAAATGACACGTGACAGTTGACGGATATATCATTTTGAGGTTTTACCCTCTATTTGGCATCGGTGTACTAATTTATGATTTTTTTGTGTTAATCTAATTTAACAAATGATAAATTTGTCACAAACGTACCAGTTTTGGGTTTATGGTAGTGAAAAAATTTAGTTTGGGATAAATTTATCACATGTGTACTAGTTTGGATTTTTTAGTGGTCAAAAAATTAGTTAAGGGTAAAATTGTCACAGATATACCAGTTTGGAGTATTTCATGGTATGAACCCAAATCCTTTAATATACGAGAATATTCTCAAATTGACTCTTCGCTTTGATTAGTAAAAGTAAAAAACAGTACTCCCTTTTTTTCGTCTCAATAAGTGCGAAACGTCATTGTAATATTAAATTTTTTTATATGTTCCGAGACACATGTTCCTCATTTGTTACACAACCCATGTGTACCACCATTAATAGATACTTACGGTTTGCAGATATAACTAATTCGCGAAATCAATGACGACGACCATAAATTGTGTAAAAGATAAGTTAAATAGATTGTGTACTTAAACTTAAGTTTTGATATTAATATCGATGAACAAGTTATTACGAACGCATAGTTAGTATATAATTCATGCGAAACAGAGCTTCCTCGGCCAAGAAGCATGTGCCTTCACCTCAGTTAACAAAAAAGAATACCAAAGAAGATGGGGTTGTGCGAATTATAAAGTATCTTTGCTAGAAAAGTGTGGAGCGGGCTCGTGAAATATTTCCACTAAGGTGATGGATCAAGTTAGAAGCAAGCAGTCAAGATGGACGGCGAAGAAACGAACCTATGGCGTACACAAAATGCACGTATACGAGTCCCTTCTTTCACCACTAATAATGCAGAGGGCAAGAATTGCAAACTGTGACTCTACTTGTGTCCACATGGGCACCACTTTACTAGTACCATATCTTGTTAATTCTTTTGACCCTAGGTTTTAATCAATGGCAGGATTCGATTGCCGAATCTAATGGGGGATTCGATGCAAGCTTTTCAATTCGACTTGTTGGATGCAGTAAGCTTGAGCTGCGAAAGATGGATTCAATTGAATTCATTTGTTCCCTGGTTCAAATATCCCATTGAGTTGTTCGACTCGTGCGTGTGCTCATGTCTCTGCGAAGCTTTTGATTGGCGACAAGTCGGCACCATGATCAGTGTTTTATGATCTGTCATGAGTTGGCTCAAACTCTGTTTTCCACCAAGGACAGACACCAGAAACTCAGTTTTTAGTATATGAACTCGCCTAATTGGAGTTTTGTTGCTCTTGATTACTCATATCATGGGCACGATGCATGTGAGATCGGAGTTTGGTCAGAACCTTTTCAGAGACGGAGTTTTGCATCCATTTGAAGTAAAATTGATGGAACTCGTGAAAGAGCGTGTGCACGATATGAAAGGCAAAGAGGCAATTGATTATGAACTTATTGATAAACAAATTGACTCGGTTGTGTTGGATGAATGGATTGAGAAGTGATGCTGAGGTACTGGGCAGTCCTCGCAGGCAGCTAATGTTCTATGCGCCTCAAACTGTTAATGGAAGGAATGCTTTGAAGCCTCCTGAAGAGGTCATGGATAAGGGCATCGAGAAATGGAGTACCAGTCTTGTTGGACAGGTTTTTGGGTAAGGGACCAAGTCATAATATGATGCAATCAATTGTCAATCAGCTTCTGCAAGAATTCTCTTCATATCATCAATCAGCTTTTGCATCTGCTCCCTCGAATGCAGAGGAGACGGGTACACGCATGCGCAGTCCAGCTCTCCATCCCGTATGGTGTCGAAGAACGCAATAGACGGGCCGACGCCGTGTACAGAGGCGCACCCGATGTAGTCTCCCACTCCGATCTCCTCGTGCAGTGGATTCGACTCGTTGACGACGGTATCCTCAAACACAGAAACAAAGGCTGTTCTGAGGGACGAAGACACGGTGAGGCCTGGGTTGTCGATGGCCTTGCACATGAGGAAGTTGAGGTCGGCCATGTCGGTGAAATGCTTGTTCCAACTTTTGGCGTTCGCGAAGGCCGTGTAGGTTCTCTTTGCCAGGTCCCATAGCTTTTCGCTTCCACATACATCGTGCGTGTTGAGGATGGCCGAGTGATAGAACCCTGAATTGAATATGAACAAAGCATGAGCAATTTTTCGGGTTAGAGATGAACTATGATGACTTGCTACATACAAAATGCGGAGAGATCAGCTTGCACTAATAGCTTCTAATGATGCAGCATGAACAGAGTAAGGTCCAAGACCCCATCTTTGCCTAAAGAATAGAGAAGAGAACTAAAAATGCCAATAGGTTGCAGACTATACAATATGACCCAAGTGAGTAGTTTCATACTCCTTGAATAGACAAAAGGTACTCAAAAGTTTTCATCTGAGAAGAAAAGACGATTAGGCTTACCGGGCTGTTGAACAGAAAGAGGTGGGTCGAGATACGAACGGCAGTCGACAAGGGTGACAACAGCATATTTCTCCCATTTACTATCGGCAGGTTGCTTAGAGGCATGTGCCGCGATCAGGGCGGCCGCTGCCAAAGCGCCGCACAGTTTGATCTCTCTCGACTTGCATCCCTGCAGTACTTCGCAACTTAGTATGTTTGAGCGATGTATCAGATGAAATCACTCGTCAAGCATCACCTGAATCCGTTCCCAAGATATTCATAGGCAGCGAGACGTTCCCCATTTCGGCAATAGCCCTACACACATTTCTTGCATCCAATACAAACAGATCGGGCAACCTAAGAATCCTAATAGAGAGAATGCCCACCGATTCTCCTATAGCCAATACATACACAGCACATATCCTGCAACAAGGATGTGTGGCTATCGATCGATATCAATAACAAACCTCAATGCTAACAGCTCGGACTTGAACAACGGAACGCGGGAGTTTTTCCTCTCCCTAAAATAAGTATTCGAAATTCTCAAATGCAATGGTCATGCCTCGGTCATTTCACATGGGTCAAGCCCCTGAAAACAAGTACTCGGAGCATTCTAATTCGTCGAGAATTCGACAAACAAAAGGACCACCAGATAGTTCCTCTAGCCCATATCCAGAGTGAAGAAACGATGAAACATACAGACCCCAGCCGGATCACAAGAGATCCTATGTTCGGCTCATGGACGGTCTGTCGGTAGATGATCGTATTTGCGTGCGCGAGCGACAATGCGACATGATCCTGAACGATACAGTCGACATCCTAGGCCCCCTCCCGTCACGAAAGGATCAAGAGTTTCTAGCTGGACCACGGCAATGTCCCCGCCGTGTGTTCATCTTTTTCCTTCTTCCAATCGGCCCAACTCCATGGTTGTAACTTGTCCATTCCAATCAAGTTCACCGTGATATCCGGCATTGTTACATGCAATTCAATATCTTATTTATGCAGTTTCTAAGGTTCTGTATCTAAATTTTTCCCGAGGATTGAAAAGAACTGCTGTAGTTTATGTAGATATTTCAACTCAAACGAACGAGACTGTCAAAACGGACAAGAGGAAAAGAGCAAAAAGTAAAGCTGATCGGAACTTACGGCGACAAGCCTCTGAGTGTCGTCTCTGTTCATCTTCAACCTCACCATCCGAGAACACCTCGGCGGCTCCGCCTCCACGAACTCCAAGTTCGCGAGCCTGAACGAGTTCAGCGAGTAACCCAGCAAGTCCATCCCACGCGCCCAGAACGGCTTGTTCGCCTTCCCGCTAGGAACCAGCTCCTCGATCCCCAGATAAGCCTCCTCCTCCTCCTCCTGCAGCTCCTCCCCATTTCGCCCCTCCGCCGCCGCCGCCAGCAGCAGCTTCCGGAGCAGCGCCGCCGCCGCCGCCCGGTCGCACGCGGCCGTGTGGAGCCGGAGCGCCAGCGCCCACCGGTCCTCGCTCAGGTGGTAGAGACTCGCGTGGAACACGTCCGCGTCGGCGTCGGCGTCGTCGTCGCCGGAGCCGCGCCACGCGTTCCGGTTCATCTCGTGCTCGAGGATGACGTGTAACGGCGCCGTCCCGGCGCCGTCCGCGCCGTCGCCGTCCTCGCCGCTCAGGATGCGGGACGTGGAGGAGAGATCGAAGGGCGTGATCTCGAGGTGCGGGGACGAGGGGATGACGAAGGAGAAGGCGTTGGCGACGGGGTCGAAGCGGATCCTGGAGCGGAGCATGGGGTGCGACTTCTGGAGGTCGTGGAGGGCATTCCGGAGGAGGGACAGGTCGGGGGGTTTGGCGAGGAGGAGGGCGAGGACGGTGATGCCGGTGCCGCCGGGGACGGCCCTGCACCAGCTGTACTCGGTGCCGCCCACGGCTCGGGTCGCGGGCTCCGGCGGCGGCGGGGGGTCGGGGCTCTGATCAGACATCGACGGCGAGGGCGAAAGGAAGAGGAGGATAGGATATCAAGAACCGCCAAGAGAGGGTGCGACTCCGACTCAGAGTAGCAGCATCCAGCAGCACTCTGCAAGCCGCAAGGCATTAACTATCTTTCCCTTTAATTTAAGATTTCATTGTCTGAAAATATAATATGGGACAGACATGTGACGTTTGATCGGAAGAACGCACGCGACAGTGCGATGATCCAATTATTTTGCTTACTCTTTTGTAGTACTTCTTTGTCCCTTTCATTCGCGTGAGTCCAAGAGCATCTGGGTCCAGAGTTGCGTATGGGAGTTTTGCTGGTGGAAAAATTCAAAGATTTTGACGTTGCATCTGTACGCCCGAGGTTTTCCTTGTTTAGTCCGAACGTGAAAAATCAATAAATCACACGCTTTTTACCGCTGCAGGATTGAGCTGCGGATGAATTTGGTCTCGTAGACAAGATAGTTTAACCTGCCTTTACGCTTGCGCATCTCGTGACGGCGACTGTAGAAAAGAAGCAGGGCAGGAGGGAAAGCCCAACAAAAGGAGTCTCCTTGCGCTGCGAAGCTAAGTTAGAAATTCAGACCCGTTTTGAATTTGATGTTTAAACGGAAAGGCCGCTGTTTTCTTCTGGCGCCAAGCGATGGAAAGCTTCGTTTTCGCTCGACTTCGTTGGCTCGTTCGGCCCCGGAGACTCTCCCTCACTCTCGTGACCATCGAGCGTCTGAAGATGCGAACTTTTTCGTCCCCAAGTTCTGGGTTTCGTCTCTACTGAACTGTAAGGGCGTTCCAACTATCAGACAAGTTCACACGCTCGTCGCCGTCGCTGGGATGCTCCGTAACCTGTACGTAGTGAACAAGCTCCTTTACATGTATTCTTACCATGGAGCTCTAAGAGATGCGTATGCCCTGTTTGGAGTGATGACAGAGAGAGACCCCGTTTCGTGGAGTGTGATGGTTGGTGGGTTCGCTAAAGTAGGCGACTCTTTCAGGTGTTATGGGACTTTCAGGGAACTCATTCGTTCGGGAGCTCAGCCTGACAACTACACATTGCCTATGGTGACAAGGGCTTGTAGAGATACTTCGGACTTGCAAATGGGTCGAGTGGTTCAAACTGTTGCGTGGAAAAATGGGTTGAGTTTGGATCGGTTTGTGTGCGCGGCACTGGTAGAAATGTATGCCAAGTGCGGGGTGATTGAGGACGCGAGGCAGTTGTTTGCTGAAATGCCGGAGAAGGACCTCGTGACGTGGACTGTCATGATTGGCGGGCTTGCAGATTCTGGGGATGCTGACGAATCACTGGAATTGTTTGATCGGATGAGACGTGAAGGAATTGTTCCCGATAAGGTTGCTATGGTAAATATTGTTCATGCCTGTGCCAAGTTCGGTGCTTTGCATAAGGCTAGAGAAGTCCACAACTACATACGCATGAAAAGTATAACTCTCAATGTGATATTGGAGACCGCTATGATTGATATGTATGCAAAGTGTGGCTGTCTCGGTTCTGCAAGGGGAATTTTTGAGACTATGAAGGAAAAGAATGTTATCTCGTGGAGTGCCATGATTGCGGCTAATGGGTATCATGGGCAAGGAAGGAAAGCTCTTGACTTGTTTCCGATGATGTTAAGTTGTGGGATATTGCCGAATAAGATCACTTTTGTTTCGTTGCTGTATGCATGTAGTCATACAGGTTTAGTTGAGGATGGTCTTCGAATTTTCTCTTTGATGCAAAATGACTACGGTTTAGAACCAGATGTGCAGCATTATACTTCTATGGTTGATCTTTTAGGCCGCGCTGGGAGATTTGGCGAGGCCCTGAAATTGATAGACCATATGACAGTGGAGAAGGATGAAGGTTTGTGGGGAGCCCTTCTTGGTGCATGTAGGAAACACAGGAACATAGACTTGGCAGAAAGAGCGGCAAAGTCCCTTCTTGAGTTGAAATCAAATAATCCAGGGCATTATGTTTTGCTCTCGAACATATATGCAAATGCTGGTAGATGGGAAGACATGGCCAAGATTAGGGACCTCATGACCAAACGGAGATTGAAAAAAGTTCCCGGTTGGACTTGGATTGAAGTGGCCAACAAGGTTTATCGGTTTGCTGTTGGAGATACTAATCATCCACGTTCTCAGGAGATTTACTTTTTCCTGAGGAACCTGTTTGAAAAATTAGAGTTGGCTGGCTATTCCCCTGATACAGATTTTGTACTGCATGACGTTGACGAGGAAGTTAAGATAGGAATTCTATCAACACACAGTGAGAAACTGGCAATTGCATTTGGGCTTCTTGCAACTCCTGAGGGTACTTGTATCAGAATCACAAAAAATCTAAGGGTTTGTGGGGACTGTCACACGTTTATTAAGTTTGTATCAGCAGTCACTAAGAGGGCGATTGTCGTCCGAGATGCAAACAGATTTCATCACTTCGAGGAAGGTGCTTGTTCTTGTGGAGATTATTGGTAACTGATCGTTTGGCTTTCTGGACGTCTGTGACCTCTTCTCCTTGGATGCCGAGTCATCCCCAGAAAAAGAGAAAGGTAACAGAAATCAGAGGAAAAGATTCCTTAAAAAGAATTAAATTCATTGCTTGTGTAGCATAATTGAAGTGAAGTTGTCAAATACTGTCGGTTTGTTCTCCAGAAAGCGTTTAAATTCATTCTGGGGCATAATTAGAAGAGGCGTTGTAAAAGTGCTGTTAGAAACTGATATCTTGTGAGGATTCAAATACCATGCTTTCCTCCTCTAATGTCATCCTTTTATAATGTATTGCAGAGCCACTGTTTAGGATTCAAATAGCTGGACAGATGGGCTCTCATGGCACTGATGTAAAAGCTGTCTAGCTTGGTTGACCTTCATGTTGATATTCCTAACAAAGAGTTGCTAAAATTTCGGTTGGTGAGATTGCTCGCCTGTGAAAGAAGCTTTAGTCAAGCTTAAAAAACAACAGCTCGGGGATGTTCAGGTAGCAATTATCATTTGCTGCCCAAAATGCGAATATACTATTGTTATTCCCTTTGTGGAAAGACTCATAGTCCCTAGAGAATGACTAGCCGCTTTAAGTTTGGAAATACATGTGATGTGACCTTGGTAATAGAAACTTGGATAATCACCTGTGTTTGAAATATTGTACAGTTCCAGGGAATTTACGATAAGTTACTAGTACTCCTACTTCTTCGACTTTGCCGTGTCCTCTATTAACAAGGACCCAATAAGGATACGCTGTTCCATTCCAGGACCAGAATATTTGTTTTTCGTATGGATGAGATCATAGTAAGTAGCTAGAATCTGATGCAACTAGCTCTTGTTTATTCAGAAGTTCTCAGGACGGTCAAAACTTTGTTATTCCATTTGGAAAGCACCTCTGGAAAGAAAATGGACATTGTAGTCGTTGTCGTCGCCGTTGTTGTTATTGTCGTCGTTGTTAATTCTTTGTTGTGTTTTATTTAGAGTGTTAAAAGCAATTTAGCTGACTTGTACCAATGATAACAACTGAACAGTGACAAGAATAGAAAAATGAGTTGACTTGAATCTAGCTTTTGTTAGGAAAAGCCAAAAGCCAGCAGAAATTTCACTTTATCTTGATAATTGTTTCTGCATAATACTTGGCCACTCAGCCTTTTGTCGGCACGTAAATGGAATCGTGGAAGAATATTTCAAGTGGCAATACATCCAAGGAGTTAGAGCTAACAAAAGAACTGCAGTCTAGTTGAAGAAATCTCAATGCACTCTTCCTTTATATTCTGTTCTTAAGCTCATGGATTTAGAATGCTTCGGCAGGTCCTTTGTATACCAAAGCATGCAAGCGCATCCTCATCATTTCAGGGGAGTTCTTTTCGATCTGCTTGACGTCAACACATCATTGTTGGCCTGGATTCTCCAACATTGTACCGCGATGGATCTGTATGAGCCCTCGTCTCAGAGAACTTGAAGAATCCTGCTGCAGGAGAGAGTAGCAGAAGCGAGAATTTTCAATATGAACTCCTGGATTGTTTTATGCCTCCCCTAGAAGAAGGGGAATGGCATTCCGAGTACTTCTTCGTCAATTTCATGATAAACAGAAGATGGATGCAGAATGCCGGCTAATAGCCGATGCCTTCCTAAATGCTCTTTCTCATGTTGATGCGGTTACTGCTACTCTCTCAGACTTCTTTTCGAATTAAAATGCGGGAGTGGCTACTTGTTTGACTCTCTTTATCCTCTTTTGCTGCAAACTTTGGTGCAGCCTCAAAGGGCAGCATTTTCTACTTTGTCGTATTTGTTAGAAATATGAAATTTCGGGCAGGTCTACGCCATCTCGAGCTTCACCATATGAAGACCAAAATCTCATCCCACCCCAAAACAAGAATTGAAATAGGCCCAAAGACTGCCTCGGTCATTTCAGGCGGGCCGGTATGATCCGGGTTTTTTGGGTTTCGATTTTTTATTTGCACCCGCCGCACCTCGTCACAGATCGTGTTCTGCCCGGGTTTAAAAGGACAGTTTTCTCAGAAGTCTTCTAGCGATTGTATCGGGTTCTATATCTAGCTGAAGCTGATATAAATCTCTTCACTAATTTTTTAGACAGCAACAAGCACGATGACAAATTGACAGCAATGGGTTGGATAATGAAAGGGGGAGTCTTTATCATGGTGGCGTCCATTGATGTTATGTGGCTTACTTCTCGCAAATGGTTGCTTGTACCTGAAAAACAGCATTGAGAGTGCTTTTGATTCTTGCTTAGAGATTGTTCCCCCGTGCCGTGATGCTTCGCCCGGCCAAGTTGCTGTGGACGATCCAATGGTTGATAGCAAAACTTTCTCATTGGACGGTCGACATTCATTGTCTTTGATCCGACGGTTATTGGCTTGCATGATAATTAGCCGTGGAAAAACGCACAGGCACTGTAAACAAGCCCCGATCTAGCAGTATAGGGGGGGCACTAAATGGAACTTAGTGCTATGTTTTATATCCTCACAAGATTTCCATTACTAGTTCAAGCAACAAGAATAGAATTCCATATTCAATTAAGGTTTTGTTTGTTTCACGGAAAATGTGACATTTCTGGAAAATATTTTCCGGTAAGTTATTTTCTAGAGTAATGACAATATTTTTCGATGTTTGGCTAAGACCTAAAAGTGAACTGAAAAATATTTTTCGTCATTTGGTAAGAAAAATCTTATTTGGTTTTCTTCAATAAATATATACTATTTGAGTGCTAATAACTTGCGCATGGGTAGCCAAAAAACCCGACACGAGCACCAGGGTCTCAAGCTCAAATCGTCGACTCCCGGGTATGAGCACGGGCATTGGTCTTGGGTCCACCGAAATCAAGTCCGAGAACTCGGTGCCCATACCCGACTCCCTTGTGCCCCAACCCCGGTCCACAGAGGCCGAGCCCAGGTCCCCAGCGCACAGCCTGAGTCCATCAAGGCCGAGCCCAAGACCCTAGTCGGTGCCACGGGGCAGGGTCAATCGAGGCCAAGCTAGAGACTCCAGTACTAGTGCCTACATTGGGGACCTTGTCCCGGGCGCCCGGCCTCAATGGACCCAGGTGTGGGCGATCGGGGTCCGGGGCATGGGCTCGGTGTTGATGGACATGGTCTAGCATTGATGCACGGGGGGTGGGGACCTGGACACGGGCACAGGAATCCCGCCTTGATGTACCCGAGTAGGAGCGCCCGAGGACATAGGCCTGACCTTGTTGGACCTGGGCGCAGTGGTCGATGTGACATCCAGAATTTTCAATATTTGGTAATAATATTTAAAACGATTTTCCACAACGTAGTCGCCCAAAGTCCGATGCGTTAGAATTAAATTGATGAGAGGTTGACGTGTAAATTGGTGGTGTAATGAGATGGGAATTGATTTACTGCTATATTAGTTGTAGATGTGGACGGGTAGGCTTCAAATTTCCTATTTGAGAATTTTCAAGTTTAAATTTACTTTATTGAAATTTTCCTAGCATTCGGAAGTGTTCACAAATAATTTTAGTGGGTTCAAAATATTTTTCAGATTTATCAGTGTTTATAACGAACATCGGTTTCCCTGTTTACATATTGATTTACTAGATATTTTGAGTAACTTAACAAAACATCTATGTAAAAAAAAAAAATCTATGTTGGAAACTATAGAACCGAGCCATTTATCACTCTTATTTGCGCCACCTCTCTTCATTTTTCCATCACTCATCTCTAACCACATACTCTTGATGACATTGAGCTTAACTTAGTATTGATATCATGCATTGTATCATCTATGTTAAGCTTAACCCATAAATGCCTTGTTGACTCACCCTCTTTGCTTGGCCAAGACGGAGCTATCTTCATTTGGATCAAAATATCTTATTGAAGTTAATAATATTAGACCACTTGTACACCCTAGCTACCTCTTAGACCTAATTATTCAACCTAAGACATTTATTATCTTAATCTTGGTTAATCTTCTCATTCCGACAACTTTTATTTTGGCCGATAGTATTGATCTTGGAGAGCTTTCAAACTTCCAAAGATAAAAGTCTTCACTCCATTAACTTCCAACTTCCAACTTTTCCTCTACTTTCATTTTCGAATCTTGCGAGTAAAAGCAAAGATCCCACACCAGCGATATTGAAGTTTCTATCTCAATCTTTCGGTCATCGACGAGGTGACTAAAGCTTTGAAGTTGTTAAGCCTTTCTTAAGGTAAGTGAAACTATAGGGACTAAGTTAGGTTGATTTACTTGGTGCTTTTAATTTGGTTATTTGATGGTTGTTAGTTTTTGTTCGACCTTTGACGATGAGTGTGAGAAAGTTTGGATGATTTCATGTTAATTTGTTAGATTCGTTTGACTTAAATCGACTTCCAAAAGATGTGATCGTATAACGGATGAGAAAAGGGGTAATGACATTCACGAAATTCTAACTAAGTGTTGGCCAACCAAATTATTGTCGATTCATCGACTTTTACCGAGATACAAATTTATGTTTTTAAGTTGTTGATTTTCTAACTATGATGTAAATTTTACCTTTAACCAATTTCCGTTATTCTGTTCGTTTCGATCACCTCACCGATTTTAAATATATTACTGATTTCTCATGCCAAATCAGTTTCTTGACCAATTCGTTGATATTAACGAATTGGCTAATTGTTGAGATATCGATTTTCAAAAGGCCGTTCCCAAAGTGATCGATTTCTGAATACCCAATTCAACTTGTCGATTTGTAACTTGTCTTTTTCTAACGATAATACTAAGTTATCAATTTACTAACTAAGTGTTGTCGATGTCCATATGGTCAATTCGTTGAGTCGTCGAAGAAGGAAAACATTCCTAAGACGGCTTTCTGAACTCAATATGGTCATTATGAGTTCTTAGTCATGCCTTATGGTTTCACTAATGCTCCAGCAGCATTTGTGAATTTGATGAATATAGTGTTTAAGCCATTTTTGGGTCAATTTGTAATAGTGTTCATTGATAATATTCTAGTGTACTCAAAAGGCCTGGATGATCATGAGCAACATTTAATGCTCATGCTCCAAACACTTCATGAGCACAAATTACATGCTAAGTTTAGCAAATACGAGTTTTAGTTGGATTGTGTGGTATTTTTAGGCCTTATGGTTTCAAGTGAAGGAATATTTGTTGACCCAACAAAAATCGAGTCAGTGATTAATTGGTTGAGATCGACGACGACCCTAAAGTTCGGAGTTTCTTAGGTCTAGCCGGAAATTATCGGAGATTTGTAGAAGGATTTTACCGCCTCGCCGCTACGTTGACTCAATTGACAAGAAAAAATACGAAGTTCGAGTGATCGAATAAGTGCAAGCAAAACTTTTTAAAACTTAAAAGAAGATTGACTACGGCTCCGATCTTAATGATACCATTAGGATCTAGAGGTATTGTAATCTACAGCGATGCATCGCATAAGGGACTTCGTTGTGTTTTGATGCAACATGGAAATGTTGTTGCTTATGCGTCAAGACAGTTGAAGCCATATGAGTTGAACTATCCGACCCATGATCTAAAGCTCAATAC